GTTAGATACCGGGAAACAATGCCTACCAGGGACGCGCAAGGAGATTATCTCCCAATCACGGAATGGATCTATAAAAGTGGAGATTCTGCTGGACGCGTGCTGTGGCTATCTGGCACTGCTGGGACGGGTAAAACAGCCATTGCTCACACAATTGCTAGCTCATTCATCGGTGTGGGGGGGCTTGGGTCTTGTGACTGTTTCGACCGCTACCGAAGTGCCGACCTCCGCCATCAAAAGGTTTTCTCCACCATCGCGCGCGACCTGGCTGACCGTCATCCGCAGATGAGACGAGTCTTGGCGAGTGCAGTTCAGAACGACATCGCGCTCAAGAATACGGCAGATATCGTTCAGCAATGGGACAAGCTTTTCACGAAACCACTGGGGAAGCTCCCTGAATCAACTGTAGGCCCTGTTGTGATCATTATCGACGCGCTGGACGAAAGCGGCAAAGCAGACACACGGAGCGACCTTCTTCGCATTCTTTCTGGGAAGCTTCAAAACCCGGATGTTTTAGAAATCACGAAGCTCCCAAACAACTTCCGCTTTATCGTTACCTCACGCCCACTGCGCGATATTGATGCTCAATTTGCCGATGCACAGCATATCCAACGAATGTCCATGGACGAAATTCCACCAAAAACTGCGGAGCACAACATCCACACTTACGTGTCGAAGAAGCTGAAAGGGCTGTCGAATTTTGGGGAAAGAGAGTTTGAAATCATCGCTGAGAAAGCTGATGGACTTTTCGAATGGGCGCGTCTTGCTTGCGAAGCCATCCAAGAACCTCCTGCTGGCGTATCTCCAGACGAGTCCTTTGATGCTGTGGCATCCCGTGATCCTGCTGAGCGAGAAAGTCTGCTGTACGATATGTACCGCTTCTTTTTGGAAGGGATCATGCAAAAGGATGGACATAGTACGGCGATTCAGCCCAGACAGCTAACAAGGTTTCGTTCCGTGATGGGACAAATCCTTGGCGCAGCAGATCCCCTCCCTATAGAGTCTCTGAATGCTATGCGGTGCCAATTTCCAGACGAAAAGGAGCATTACAAAGTGGAGTTTATAGTGGAGCATATGGGATCCCTCCTCAGCGGCACCACCAATTCATTAACCCCCGTCCGACCCCTTCACGCAACCTTTCGCGATTTTCTCACGGACAAATCTTGCAGTGGGATTTTTTTCGTCGACATATCCAAGGTGCAATACGACCTTGCTTTTGCATCACTTCGAGTGATGAAACTTGGACTTTCTTTCAATATCTGTGATTTAAAGACATCGTACCTCCCCAATTACAACGACAACCGGGCTACAGGGACGAGTCAAAAAAAGCATTCCCCCGCATTTGTCCTATTCCTGTCGATTTTGGGCTACGCACGTACAAAAAACAGTCTTCGACACGGCTCTCGCAAAGAAAGTGAGAAATTTCCTGCGTCATGAGCAACTGCTCTTTTGGCTCGAAGCACTCAGCCTTATCAACGCACTCAACCGCGCAGGTCCTGCCCTGTCACTCATTGTCCCGTGGCTGAAGGTAAGCACAGTTACTACTAGATGGCGTTAAATGAAACACTGACGCGCGAGCGCAGGGCCATTCCGGATACGAGGATGTTTCGTCGACTGCAATGGATGTGCAGAAATTCATCCAAATCTTTGGCAACATCATTTTGCACAGCACGCCACATCTATATGTATCAGCGCTGCCGTTCTTGCCCGTTAATTCCGTGATATCTGAAATATTCACTGCAAAGTTTCCGAAGACTCTCCGTCTGGCAGCTGGACGTGATGTGAACTGGACAGCTGTTCAGAGTGTGCTCCGTGGACATACGCGAGGAGTTCTGTCAGTCTCGTTCTCGCCGGACGGGACTCGCATTGTGACCGGTTCTGAGGATATGACTGTCCGGTTGTGGGATGCAGCGACAGGGCAGCCAGTTGGGCAGCCCTGGCAGGGACACACTGGTTCAGTTAACTCGGTCGCATTCTCGTCAGATGGAACTCGCGTCGTGACTGGTTCTTCGGACAAGACTGTCCGGCTATGGAATGCAGCGAAGGGACAGCCCATCGGTGAGCCCTGGCAGGGGCACACTGGTTCAGTTAATTCAGTCTCGTTCTCGCCGAAAGACACCCACATCGCAACTGGTTCTTCGGATCACACTATCCGGTTGTGGGATGCAGCTACGGGAAAGCCAGATGGTGAACCCTGGCGGGGGCATAATGGTTCAGTGAACTCAGTCTCATTCTCACCGGATGGGACTCGTATCATGACTGGTTCTTCAGACAACACTATCCGGTTGTGGGATACAGTGACGGGGCAGCCAGTCGGTAAACCCATGGAGGATCACACTGATTCAGTTAACTCAGTCTCATTCTCGCCGGATGGGACTTGCATCGCAACTGGCTCTCGAGATTTCACTGCCCGGCGGTGGGATGCGACGGGGAAGATAGTCGGTCAGCCATTTTTGGGGCATACTCGTTCGGTCAACTCAATCTCGTTCTCACCGGATAGCAGTCGCATTGTGACTGGTTCCTCGGACAACAGCGTTAGGCTGTGGGACGCAAAGACGGGACAGCCAGTTGCTGAACCCTTGCGGGAACACACTAGTCCAGTCCAATCGGTGTCATTCTCACCGGATGGCACTCGCATCGTGACTGGCTCCTCGGATGGGACTGTTTGGCTGTGGGATGTAGCGACGGTACAGCCGGTCTGCCAGTCCTTGTGGGAGCACACTCGTTTTGTTAACTCGGTCTCTCTTCTCTCCTAATGGGGCTTACATCGCCACTGGTTCTTTGGACACCGGAATCGTCCGACTGTGGGATGCAATGACAGGGCAGCTAGTCGGTCTGCCCCTGGAGGGACACACTTCCTCGGTTAGGTCACTCTCATTCTCGCCAGATGGAACCCACATCGTAACCGGTTCTTGGGATAACACCGTTCGGCTGTGGGATGTAGAGACGAGGCGGCAAGTTGGTGACGCCTGGTGTGGGCATGATGGTCCGGTCAACTCGGTCTCCTTCTCGCCAGATGGGATTCGTGTTGTGACAGGTTCTTCAGATAAGACTGTCCGGATGTGGGAAGTAGAGACGGGGAAGCAAGTTGGTGAACCCTGGGAGCACCGTGGTTCAGTTAACGCAGTATCATTCTCGCCGGATGGCACTCACGTCGTGACTGGTTCTTCGGACACGACTGTGCGGTTATGGGATGCAGCTGGGCAGGCAGTTGGTAAACCCTGGTGGGGACATCGTGGTTCAGTTAGTTCAGTATCATTCTCTCCCGATGGCACTCGCGTTGTATCCGGTTCTTTGGACAAGACTGCCCGGTTGTGGGATGTAGCAACTGGGAAACAAATCGGAAAGCACTTGCAGGAGGACACTGATTCCATCAACTCAGTCTCTTTCTCGCCAGATGGAACTCATGTCGTGATTGGTTCTTCGGATCACTCTGTCCGGCTGTTGGATGCAGCAAAGGAACAGCTGATTCAAGTTGGCGAGCCCTTGCGGGGGCACACTGGTGTGGTGAACTCCGTCTCACTCTCGGCAGATGGCACTCGCATCGTGTCTTGCTCGGCAGATGGCACAATCCGGCTCTGGTATGCAGGAGATATCAATATGCCAGAGCGCGCCGTGAATTTCTCCCCCGATTCTACCCATCGCCTCTGCAACACTGCCGAGTTAATCGCAAACACCTCCCATGATGAGCCCAGGTCGACCTCCTTTTTGCTGAGAGATGACGGATGGTTGGTTGGACCAAACAATCGGCTCTTATTTTGGGTACCGCCCGCTTCCCGACAGGCATTTTATAGTCCCTGGAATGCCTTGGTCATACCTAGGGGATTTGTTGAGCTTGATTTGAGCCGCATGGCACATGTATCACGCTGGCAGGATTGCAGAGGTCCGACTCGGAGAAGTACGAAGGAACGACTACCTTCCTTCGATTCGTCTGGCTAAGGGAGATTAGGTCTGACATGAGTGAGTTTTTTACCTTTTCGTCTGTCGCAGTCTCTAAATCAATATTTCTAGCTGCACATCTTATTCCAATGATTGATATGTGAAGATGCCGTATACAATGTGATATTGAGTGTGCAGTAACAGGCGCTTGTGGACTGAGTGAACGACTTCCGGCCAGGTGATACTCGCCATTTCCCTGTTAGTTTTTAGGGCATGTACCGAATTACTGATGGACAACAAATGAAGTTATAAGGGATGTGGTTGCGTGTGGGATGGAGAGAGTCTTACATGGGGCGGGGTTTGTAAACTCCGCCTAGAGTGCCGTTGGCCGCCGTCGTGTCCCAGACTTTGGCCCAGACGTTATCCGACCGGCCAAATCTTTGACATTCTAGATGAATAGGGCGATTGCCCATAGGATGGGCGAAGGGATATTAAAAGGAAAAATCCCGTGGGAACGAGATCATTCAAATTTTATGTTTAGCTTGTTCTCGATACACTAGGCTAGCGAATTCCTGGCCTCTGAGACCGTTGGACGAAAACACTTCATCATGATTGAATCGAGATAATTTTCAATGGTAGTACAGGCATGACAGCTGATTTGCCAAGACCTCATTCTATCTCTAAATCACTCCGGAACCACAACGAAACTACACATCTCCACCAGTCAATGTATCTCGCAGTCAACGCATCTCCACCAGCTGGAAATGAATGGTCGTCATGGCTATTCCCTCCTCGAACCCTGGCCACTAAGCTCAGCGTGATATTCGCGAATGCTAAGGATCAGGCGTGGTCCCAGCACAAACATCTGCAACACCTGGGCAACTTGGAGCACATCGGAATAAAGGGCAGCTCCTACAGACGGTTGAAAACTGTAGAAATGAATGATGATGAGCGGACAGGACACATATTCGCAGGTTGGCGCACCGTGATATTTGGAGACAGTGAGCCTAGGGTGAAGCAAGTTACAAACAGCAAAGCTAACACATGCGAAAACTTCAGCGAAACAAGATAACAACATCCAAACCACCAAACTCACGCTACAAAGTAGTAAAATGCGTGACTTTAATCAACGCCATAAAACAGTCCCCAATGGTCGATCCTGTCGAAGATTGTCGCAGTTCACGGAAGTGTTTTTATTGACAATCCGGACTGCCAGAACGGAGGCGAGGGACTTCCCATATAGCGGTGGATATCACACTCTCATAACCCAGATTCATTTGGTATGTGCCAATTTTTCGAAAAGACAGCATAGGGGAGCCAAAAAGGACGAATTCCTCTGGTATTTGTCCATGAGTCCTATGTGCCTTGAGGGTTTCATCAATAATTAAAACTTACCCACTAAAATACCGGTGTTTGACATTACTGTGGTAATGACGGAGGTGATCGTGGAAGCAAGCAAGACTATAACGAGAAAGATAAGCATCTTTTTGGATCGTCCATACATCGCATGTATCCGAATCAGCATGATGACTTGATGTCACGATTCAATAAACCATTATCTTTCTTAAACACTCAGTAGACACCGCAGGTGAGCTCACCGCCCAGCATAGCATTGACGACGACAGGGTCAATGCCCATATGAAGTAAAGAATAAGGCCTGAAAACGCAGGTTATTGGTGCGCATTGATGGACTCGATGCTTTGAATGAACTTACAGCTGAAAATATAACTCACTCCTGTGTGGAGTGCAGTTAGCAAATGAATGGGAATGGGAGGCATCGGTACAGAACACCCCTACGTCTGTCATTGAGACTGGGATATTCCCTACATGTTATCAGTTAGAAGAAAAAACAGTGTATTTGGGGGGATACATACATAGTATGAGGGTCCTAATTGTAAGACATGGCTTGTTAGTACAGTGCAGTGTCAACTTTTAGCCTCGAAAATTTACACAGAATATAGTATTCCAATGTAGCGGACCTAGAATAGTTGAAGTCGACTCAGCACAACATGTCAACTGCGCTCATGACATAACGTACACAGATATAAAAAACGGTCATGAAGGACCAACGTTGCCTCTGCTCTAAGTCAACCGCATTATCCAGTCTGCTCTATAGGACCTTGCTTACCCAGACCAGTTCGAACTGTCGAAGTGTTCTTAGTGAGACGGCTGCGCCGATGATGACATCAACTTACCTCTTGTCCGAACTGTAAATACTTGCATACCATATAAATATTAATGATACCCTCGGAACGCATTATTGATCACCCCAATCATATACAACAGCGGCCAGAAGATACAACTGCAAAACAAATGAGTGACTGTGAGAAATCACGATCTTCATCCACAATGCTCTCTACGGACCTGAAAAATAGCTGATAAGACTAACAGTACTGATAAACGGCAACCAAGCGGGATCATTTGAGACTGCAGTCATATCTGGATGGGGCGTTATGGCGTAGGTTTTGTGCAGACATATCACATCCAGAGGTTTTATAGCGATCAGTCTGGATATCGGTTCCTCGAGTGAGAATCTTGCTTGGTCGTAGCAACTTCTTGTCAATGAAACGACGAGAACGGGGGAGGACGTTCCATGATCAGGAGCCCTCGATCGAAGCAAAGTAGTACATGATTGCGGGATTTTGGATTTCAATGAAGCGTGCGAAATATTTGAAGGCGCTGAAAATCAGTCGGTAAAGTAATATGTTCCAAATTCAATGCTGTTCGGCACGTTCTGCATCAGTTTCATTCAGCGGTCATCTAATCATCAACCTAACCTAGACTAATTGTAGAGCCTCATTAATATTGCATGGACAGAAAGCATCGGTGAAGGAACGTGTTCCAATATTCTGTTCGGCACGTTCTGCATCAATTCCATCAGTGGTCATCTAATCATTAATCTAACGTGGACTCACTGCAGAGCTTCATTGGAGAGCAACATGACCAGCAACACCAAGAGTCAGACCGCTAGGAACAGCTGAGTTAATGTCGTCTTCGACGCATCGAGACATTGATCATTATTCTGTTGCACCATCCACTCAGAAGGTAGCGACATACCAGCAAGTGCAGCCTAATTCTCGGCAAGACTGTGCTTGGGAGGGCAATTCGTCAGGATTTCATCAAGAAAGGACCTTCAGAAGCAATGTTATAGGTCGCAGATGTGTACACTGGTCATCGACAGACTGGACGCTAGAACTTCTCAGTGGAATCCGCCAAAGGTGTTCCAGCTGCTAGCTCTCGACTGGCTTGATGTCATATGAGTCGCACCGATCATGCAGGGCTTCATCATACGACCACACTGCTGTTCATGGGATGCAGGATAATCGGAAACCTGCGGCATGAGCTCATTCTTCGTGTTCTAATGATCAAGAAAATTCCTTGCCTGAATGGTGTGATATGTATTGTGCTGTTCAAATATATTACTTGCATCAGTGAGACGATGATGTAAGGAGACAGAAATGAATTACACCCGCGTCTCGAGAGCAGAGATAAGAATGGGCAACGTGCCCAATCATCAGCGGCCTGCAAACTGTTAATATCGACAAGGATCTCTCCTGGCGCCATCTGACGGTAACGTAGTGGCGTACCAGAAGGTTTTCGCTTAAACAATGTCATCTTGATGCATGAGATACTGCTGCTTCAAGGGTGGATAAGGGTAAAATATTCCACCCGCTGCTCATCTGTCGTCATCACTTCAGGGCCGAGAACCAGGTTTTCCGGGGAACGTTTCTGACCGTGTCAGCAATGCCCTTCAGAATCAGATACGCGCGAGGTCAAGAATGTACATAGCAAGCTTGAAGTTGATATAAATCGAGAGTTGGGAGAGCATTGAACAGGGTGCGCATGTTCGATTCTACATAGCGAGCTTCCAGAACGCATACATTGGAAAGTGATAGAGCATTGAACAGGCCAGACATTTTCCTCCTGTTCCCAGGGTCATGAGCAACACGTAAATGCAGGAGACGGTGGAAAAAAATGTGGGATAAGGCTGATATATCGATATATTGGACCTTGGTAGACCTTGGTTACTGACACGAGGGATCCAGGAAAGATTGAAACTGTAGAAGAGGGATTAGACTCGTGGTGACAGTCGTTCCTTGTAATAAGCACGAGAGATTTACTGGTACTCTCGGTCTCTGAACTGATAGTGATAGCCGCTACCATTCAGATGCACCGGGTTCGAGTGCAGCGGATTGGTCGTCTGCACGCATAGCCATCAGAAGGTTAAATTTGACGTGTTTGTGATGGCGGCCTGTGTCAGACTCGAGCCTTGTCAGTAACGTCACCTTTTCTTCTTCGACTCGCACACTAAGCGGCGCAAAAAAGGCGAACTATCACGCCGGTGGGTCATTTGGTTAAATCCAGGATGCAAACTACTCACGTAGTTGCCGCAGCACTGGCTACTTTTACGCAAAAGACAGGACAGTTCTTTGTCAAAGCAGCAACGACCTGAGCGAGGACAAAGAAGAAACGCATTGTTTGTGAGGATGTAATAGGGGATCAAATAAATCTGAAGAAGACAGTAGGAAGACACCTTGCTTTATATGCTGAATATATTGGCGAAGGAGGAACCTATCCACCTGGAATTCCCTTTCGAACAGTTGATATCTGCAAAGCCGACGGATTTCCACCACCTTGTGAAGCAAGTTTTGTTGGCGATTTGGCGTGGAATAATATATCATCTTGCGAATGCAATCAGCAGATTGGGTAGATCCTCTGACTTGATCACGTTGGCTTAAACAGCAGTTTGAGTTTCCGGAACTTTGCCTCGAATGCGTGACGCTCGTACTTTATCAGCAGAAAGATCGAGGAATTCCAGGCCCGGTAACTCGTACAAACTATACCGCGATATATGCACCTCCGCAGGGAAGTACCATGAGAATGTCGTGTAAAAGGGTATGCGGGACACCCTAGGCCACGACAGTCAGGAACATTTTCGATGACCGGGGTATCTTGGCCATCCGCCGCGTGGTCCATTTCAGCACAAATTGAACTTCAGTAGAAGGTCGCCTCCACATGAGAAGACACTGCAGGATGGTAATATGGTATGGCCATGCAGATTCATCTTACTATCAAAATATTAATTTCAATTTCCTCTGACCTTGTGATGATGGTGGTTTCAAGAGTCGGCCATCTCCGGCATCCGCGGCAATTCGGAACACTGCACAGTGCACAGCGAGCAACTCAGCCTTGGCCCTTGGCCAAGTGGTCACTGGTAAACTTTGGCATGGCTGGTGCATTTAGGTGGGCACAGTTCGATTCTCGAAGAGTTGAGCATCTTGATGTTATGTAGTATCATGTGAGTACATCATATTCAGGAATTCACACCCAAGACTTCGGCTGACTTTTCGAAGTGACTGAATTCGGGCTATGTCCATCACAACCCGAGTTATCGATGGCCGTGTCGGCACTGCTCTTTTCTCATCACCATATGATCACCTGTCATCTGTGTAGACCGGTCTTCTTTATATGCGTGCGGTTTTCTGATCCCGCGGCAACGAACAGGAAGTAGCACTTAGTATCATATACCGTCATACTTATGCTCGTTCATGCTGGGCCGCCATGATTAATCACCCATACGGCGCCCCGTCGAGTTACTTGTTTGCTAATGTGGTGAGTTTTCATGTTGTTCGAGTAGAGTGTTCTCAGTCTTACGTTTCGGGAATTCTTTCAGAACGATAGTTATAGTCAAGTCTCTTATGTGTCGCCTCCCCCGGATCGCCTCTATAGCTTCATCCCGGTAGGCTGTCTCACGGTCTTGTTTAACCAATGTTGAAATTGCAAATTCGAAGAGGTTGTCAGTCGATTCCATGCCCTGGTACGGGGCAACTGAGTACTCAGGTACAACTTCAAACAGAGACTATGACCAACGAGATTCTTTGCCAATTCGATGGACACCTCGGGTATGTCTCTAGAGAACTTTATAGGACCTGTTTGGAATACTGTCTCCCCTAGGAACGTGCTTGTCGGTTTTTTAAAGGAGTGCAGTCGAAAGTGAGGAGTAGATGGCGACCGCTTCATTTACGATCCCTACTTTTACGCCCTTGTCACAATGACGTCCGTGATGACCCAGGTGAGTTTATGCTAGGTATATTTGGCTCTATATCTCATTGGAGGCAGATATATATATCTAGTTATTTAACGATGTACTCGAACTTCTACACTCAACTGTACTAGTAAAACATATCTTTATTGTTTTGCCCTGCTATACATCGCCGCTCAGGGCTTTCTTCCTGTTTACCGGACGTCGGTCCCTTCGAAGTCCCAATACTGTTCTAGGTATTTCCCAAACGACAAATGCTTCAGCTAGAGGTTTAGTCGATAGTCGTTGAACTATTTCTCACCGTTCTTGCAAGTTGTACATGCCATCCTAGAAAGAAAAAAAGGTGTAGGTGCAGACAGGCATGTCATTGTGATCGACAATGTTCATGTCGGCTAGCCTCGACTTAGCACATGCATACTTCTGAGTCAGACCTTGAGCTCTTCAAGTTGGACCTAGTAGTTACGTACAGGACATGCATAGGCTTGTATGACGTAATAATATTCTTTCGATTCTGATCTCCGTTCTTTCGTGCCTGCTCGTGCCAATGCCTACAACACTCATCGAAGACCTGCATGCCTCAGTCGAGGCTCATAATGATACCTTCGAGGCTTTACTAAACTTGATACCCGCCAAGTACTACCTGGCGAAAGATGATCATGATGCAGACAACGTGCGTTATTGAAAATTTCAGTCGTCTATTGATGAATCTGAATAGCATGATGCGCGTCGAACAGATTCCGTCCAAGTATCAAAAAACACAGCAAAAACCAAAAGGCACCCAAACAAGCTGCGAAGGAGGCATCAAAAAAGGCTCGCAGGGATAAGGTCTTCTACTATCATCACTGCTTGATGTTCCCTTCTAAGTCTGAGTTCTTATTTTCCTAGCTGGACCCAGCCAATCAAAAGTCGGTCATTGACCTTCAGAATGAAGCTGCTCTTGAGCTGGAAAAAACCAACTCGAAAGTCAAGGGGAAACGGAAAGCTGCGGTGATCGGGTCCGATTCTGATGCCGACGACGACGATATGCAAGTGGATGATGTGGATCTCAGCGATGCCGTTGTGACTGCCCCACTCGACTCCATAGTGCCCATGGCTACACCAGAGAGCATCGCTGCTCTCCGAGATAAACTGCATTTGCGCATGGCAGCTCTCCGACGTGGTGGACAAAGTGGCGGAGAACCGGGAGACAAAGATGAGCTTTTGGAGGAACGGAGAAGGCAACGTGCCGCGCTTCGTGAAAAAAGACGAAAAGAGACAAGAGAGAGGCGCAAGGCAGAGGCTGAAGGCAAAAAGGGAAGCAAGAAGGAAGCGACGAAGGGTCTTCCTGTCAAGGTATTTTACATCTTGCAAGGTTCCAGCTTGAGTTCATCCCTTTGTGCTTGACCAACAGAATCAGCTACTTGTTCCGGACTTGCCGGTCGCTTCAAAAGGAACTGCGGCATCTCGTCTTAACGACGGACCCTTGACTAATGTATCTTTTTCTGTGGTGGCTGGGAGTTCGAGCAAAAAGGCCGCATCACTCAAGACGTCTTCCAATCCCAATCAAGCTTTGTCGCAGCTCGCTGCGCGGAAGGAAAAATTGGATTCGATGCCGGAGGACAAACGCAAAGCTATAGAAGATAAGAGTCGCTGGGCAAAAGCGGAGGCGCGTCTTGAAGGCGTCAAGGTCAAGGATGATGAAGTGCGCCTCAAGAAAGCAGTAAAACGGAAAGAAAAGGAGAAAGCGAAGAGTAAGAAGTCCTGGTAAGCCGTTAATGATACATCCAAGTTCTTATTGATACTCACCTCGTTGCAGGGAGGAGAGGAAAGACCAACTCACAGCTTCCATGGCTGCAAAGCAGAAGAAACGTTCAGATAACATCGCGATGCGAAACGAGCGACGGAGCGATAAACGAAAGTCTTCGTCGTCAAAGGGGAAAGCTAAAGCTCGACCTGGTTTTGAGGGCAAGACTTTCCATAAGGGTAAAGGGAAAGCTACGGGCAAGCACAAGTAGCGTAGGTATTGTAGCCTTGATGTATGGTTAGGGTTAATTTCATTTCAAGTGGGTCATTCAACTGGACACTTCAGTCGATGCGTGAGTCCTAGGATTCGGGGTGAATGGAAACATGACAAGGCCAGCTTAATCTCTACAACAGTGTAGATTCTCTTAATCGGCGGCCTTGCGCTTTCAGGTGACAGACTATTTGTCACTGTTCTGCACAGGCGAAAATATTTGTGTGGCTGTATTGAAAGGGGCCAATTGCCCTGTGCCCCAAGCGTTGTGAGTACAACTACTAAGCAACTCTACCAGAAAGGCAGTTCCAGCTTACAGTTCAAATTGGCCAATTCAGTAAAAAGTCAAAGAGGGGACGTTGTTGGCTTGGCCAATACAGTACTGACTTCCGAATTCAAAGAGGAGACGGTTATGACGTCTTCGAACCACGACAGTTTATATACCGCTTACCTCGAGTCTCCTCTCTAGTCTTCCCCGACTGTTCAACAACCATCTACACTCGCACTCAAAGCTTATCCACCACAAAATTCACCATGTCTTCACCTTTGACCATCGATTTTTCGGGTATGTCGCCTGGGCCATCAGTGTCGGTCGTCTGACTCGTCCTAATTCTGCCTGCAGGAAAATGCGTCATTGTAACTGGGGGTAACCGCGGAATTGGACTCGCGTATAGCCGCGCTCTCGCTAAGGCTGGTGCCCGAGTGGCAATCGTCTACAGGTTAAGCTTAGCTGCTTTGATGCTACAATCGCTAATTTTTGGCATGAATGTATGTTAGGAGTAACCCAGATGCCCCTAAAGTCGCTAAAGAGCTTCAAGAGGAATACAAAGTCAAAGTCCAGGTATGTAAACATTCTAGTAGAAATGCCGTACTTCATCTAGACCCCTATCCTCCCACGCAGGCTTACAAGTGTGACGTCACCAACGCTGAGCAGACAGTTAACACTTTTGCTCGCATCGACAAAGAACTTGGCCCCGTCACAGGTCTTGTTGCAGTGAGTAGAACCGTTTCCCGCCAGATGATGTCTCAATACGATCGGTTTGATCACAGAATGCTGGGGTTTTCTGCCGTGAAGCCTGCTTTCGATCTGACTACGGAGGATTTCAATAAAGTGTACGGTGTCAATGTCCTCGGCGTAGTTCAACAGCGCCGTGGCTGCTGCAAAGTAAGCTCCACCATGTATTTTGTGGAAGGTATGACCTGACGAATATGGCAGGCTTTGGAAAGGCAAGGACTTGAAGAACCTTTCGATCGTGATCACGTCCTCCATGAGCTCGCAGATCATTAACCAAGCTTCGACAAACGAACCCTTGACACAGGTCTTCTACAACTCCTCCAAGGCCGCCGTCTCCAACCTCACAAAGGGGTTGGCTGCTGAGTGGGCTAAACACAACATTAGAGTCAACGCAGTGTCTCCCGGCTATGGTCAGTGTTTTTTTCTATCTCCCTCTCCCGAGCACGACGTCCTGAAAATACGTATCAGTGGAAACGGATCAAACTCGTGATTTGCCCAGAGACGTCATCGACTATGAAAGGCAACACATTCCCTTGGGAAAATTCGGTCGTGTATGTACCGTGTGTTCTATTTGGCTTTCACTGATTCACTTCATTTTATAAACCATAGCCCGATCAGATCTCAGGCCAGGCACTTTTCCTCTTGTCTGAGCATGCCAGTTACATGACTGGCGGGGAGCATTTCGTTGACGGGTATGTCTGCCTGTTTCGCACTGGTCAACATACTGAGCCCTTTGCATTTGTATAGCGGCCAGCTTATCTGGTAGATTCACTTGCCATCGTAAGGGAGTCGTGATCAATGGCGCGGCTTAAGAGGGAGTGGTTCATTACAATGTATGGATGTAATGTGTGTACAATAATCTCAGAGAAAGTCGACGTTGCTGCACCGAATGAGAAAGGATTGCGACGAAGTCGACTCTGTCCGCTCAATCATTCATGTCTATATTAAGACAAATGTGTACTGAGATCTATAGCTATAATCTCAGCAAGCGAGGCTAATCAAGCTGTGTTGGACGACTGGATTGTTAGTGGTGCAATTAATCGACGGGTCTCTTCGAGTCTGGGCGCCCGCGCTCGTCCTTGTCAAGCTCAACAAACTTTCTGTGCGACATGGTCACGGCGAATAGGCAGATGAAATAAAAATTACAGATCGGTTTCATCAGCGGGTGCAAAGTCGTGCCGCCTTGCTCACACCGATGCTCTCTTATGCTGGTGAGGGGGGAAGGGTCAAACAAGTAAAACCATCATTGCTTCTTGGACCTACACCAAGTGGCACCCCGACTAGGACCCCGGAAACCAAATTTTCAACATCGCGCCCAACAGCGCTAAAACGCCTCCAGGCGTTTAAGTATCTCTCTGTATACCCCATAAAACTCACAAAAACATACAAATAGATATCCAAAACAGACTAACATGCCCGCACCAAAGGGGGCGAAGGGTGGGCCCACCGGCTCAACCATTACCTCTCCTTCTGCAGGCCCAGCTACTCGACAGTCTACCAAAACTCCATTATCGCAAAGTGAAATCGAAGCAGTCTCTAATGCAGTGTCTAACTACACCTCAGCAACGAAGTATCTCAACAAAAATCTCCTCAGCCTCCCTGATGAACCATATACCCTAACGCACGTGATTTCCATTCTTTTTCAGATCACCCAGATGCGCGACAATACTCCTCTCCCGGTCACTACTGCAATACGAGCAGCTGCTTTCGTTCTCAAGAAGCACGTAGCGTGCGAGATGGCCACTGAGGTAGCCCAACAACTCACAGACACACTTACTCCGCGCATTATTGAGCACGTTGTGGGAGCCATAGCCCCTCAGATGGCTAAGTTGTTATCTACTTCTGACCAGCTCTCAGACACCCTAGCTCAGACTGAAGTGGTTCGCAAGGCCATGGCAAACGACAGGGACGAGATGGATGACGGCCTGCAATCTCAGCATCGTGCATAGAAACAGTGGCAGATGAGCTTCATGCGTCAGTTGAAGACTGCCAGAATGCCATAAAGCTTCTATCCCCATCCCTCGACACCACTCAAGAACGCCTCAACACCCTATCAACCCAGCTGCTGACTCAATTCATGCCTACCCCTTGCGGCGGGGATACCGAGGACACCAACATCAACATCGACAAACACCAATGACAAACCTACAGTTCCATTGTGACCTCTAACCTATCCCCCTCAATTGATAAGGCCATCGGACGGGCAGCCATCCGTGCACGCCAAATCCTCCTGGACCCCACACCGGGCAACACTCTGTTCCCACCAGGCACCTCACATGGTGACATGGTACAGAAGGCGAAATCAGCTCTCGCCAACATTCGTGAGGTCGACACCCCAGTTGGCGATGTCAAATCCATCACAGCACTACATAATGGCGGATTCATAATCGAGCTCGAGTCAGAGACACTGGCGGAATGGCTCCGCAAACCTGCAAGCAAGGAAGCTATGAAAGGACAATTTGATAATGCTATATCGTTTCGCACCCACACCTTCCCTATCGTCGCTAAATACCTCCCCATCCAGCTCCAGATCCAGGACGAGGCATTCCTCAGGTCAGTAGAGCAGGACAACAGTCTCCCGACCAACTCGATCACATCCGTCTGGTGGATCAAGCCTCCTCTACGTAGATCTGCAAACCAACGCAAGGCCTTCGCACTATTCCATATTGCAGACCCTCACATGGTGAATCTCATTCTCAAGGAAGGTATATGCATTAACAACGAACAGATAGCGGTCCCACAAAGACAAGCGTGAGCCTATCCGATGCGCCAAGTGCCAGAAATACGGACATATAGCATGAAACTGTCTTGTGGACGTCGATGTATGCGGCACATGCAGTGGCCAACATCGCACCACCGAATGCGCATCCTCACGCATCACCATCTGTGTCAACTGCTGGAGTCACCACCACACCAGCTGGAACCGTTCTTGTCCCGACTTCATCCAATGCTGCCAACTCATTAATGAGAAATATCCGGAGAACTCCATGCCATACTTTCCGACAGAACTATCCTGGACGCATGCTAATCAACCGCCACGCTCTCTCCCGACCTCATATCCTGCGCCTCGAAGGGCTCAAACTCCTCAACAACGAATCTCCAAGCAAACCACCATCCCCTTCCATCCACACACTGCACCTCACCCATGCACTCCTCAAGGCCCACAAACCCCAGCTCTCACAGACCTCATCAACCGTCTTGCATCCGTTCCTCCTCCCAATTCCTCTGACTCTGACTCTACTAACCTCACTAACCCTTCTTCCCCCCCAGACAGCTCCACCCACCCCGTGTCTAATGTCTGAACACTGGAATGAACCCACTGTCCATCTGCGTATTTGGCAACAGAATCTTAACACATCCATGACCGCCCAGGCCTCCCTTCTCAACAGCCCAGAAGCATCCAACTGGGACGTCATCCTTATTCAAGAACCGCACATCAACTTCCTCCGCAACACCTCTGCCAACCACCACTGGCATGTGATATACCCTACGCAACACTTCACCCATCCTCGCCAACGAACTCGCGCCATCACATTAGTCAGCGCATCTCTTGACACTAACCTATGGAAGCAGATCCCCTTCCCCTCCTCCGATATCACGCTCCTTCAATTATCCGGTCCATACGGCAAATGTACAATTTTCAATATCTACAATGACTGCCACTCTCAATCGACACTCGAAACCCTCAACACCTTTATTGAACGCAACATCACGACTCTACGCCCCACTATAGACGACCATATGCTCTGGATGGGAGACTTTAATCGCCATCACCCGCTCTGGGAAGAAATGTGCAACCGGCACCTATTTAACTATACTACTGCTAACCCTCTCATAGACTTAATCACTGACTTCGGAATGATACAGCTGCTACCCTGCAACCTCCCAACACTCCAATCCTCCAGTACTGGTAACTGGACTCGCCCCGACAATGTTTTTGGCACGGTGTCCTGCATGATTTGGGAATCATGCATGGACATGACTACTAGGTATCCCCTAAAAGACAAAGTCTGTTAGCTTAGTCCTCAGACTAGTCAACCCATACCTTGGTATCAAACCTTGGTCCAATAGTTTCAGTTTTCCCTCAGTGATTCATGAATCCACCATGTTTTGAAGAAAAGTCATATGTGAGATGGGAATCACATAATGACCTAGTTGATATGAGAAGCAAAATGAAGGTCAATGTATTGCCTTTCATTTGGCTTATTCACTTTGGCTAGAGAAACCCATAGAGAAAAGTTCAAAGCCTAACAAAAACCTATCTAAAAAGCCCGCGTATTGTGTACTATTATTTGTTCCATTATTTCTGAGTTGTTTTCTCTAGTGTTTCTTTACTTTACTTTTCTATTAGGATGCTCTGACTAATCAGATGCTTCATAAAATTGTACCTACAGGGTATGATGTCATAATGATGTCATAGGACTTCACCTACACTCCTGCAGGTATTTTGGTTGAAAGATATGATATCATAGTGATGTCATAATGATGTCATGTTCCATGGAATTTGCTAGAACATTCCAATGACTCATAATGACTCAGAATGATGTCATTATCCCACCATGAATATTCTGGAATGTTCTTTTGCACCTGCTAGAACATTCTGCTCCAGTTTTTGGAATATTCTTCTCACATTCTGAAGTCATTACATCACCTTTTTACTTACATAATATTCCCACACAAAATGTATATAAGGAGAGCCCATTCTCCCCCAAAAAATAGATCTCCCACTTGTTGCATTCAAGAACTCCCACTTGAGCAAATTGAACTCTCACCTAAGAAGCTTCAGTCTGAACAAATTGCTGCTTACAAAGCCCATTTCCTTTGTAAGAACTGTCCAGACAAGTGCAGGGAAAGTGTTTCCCTTGAGATTACGTAAGTTTCTCGCGATAGAAACCCAGTTTTGTGAGACCAGTGTTCTCACCACGTAGTGTTTACTGACCAACACAAGCTTTGGTCACCGTTGTTATTTGTGAGACCAGCGTTCTCACCAGGTATTTGTATACTGACCAACACGAGCTTTGGTCATTGTTGTTATTTGTCATTGTTTTCTATTTGTCATTTATTGTTATTTGTGAGACCAGCATTCTCACCAGGTATTTGTATATTGACCAACACGAGCTTTGGTCAACGTAGTCACATTTGAGACCAGCTTCTCAACAGTTAATCGTATATTCAGGAAACCAGTTCAAGTGTCTAGACGGTATATCCTAGACAATCCCATAGTTTCAATCAGAGATAATAAAGCTCCGGCTAAGTTAATCTAACTGATTGGTTTAGCGAGCCTCCCAAGAACTCACACATTATCTACCACGAAAGAAGAAAAGTCATAGACCGTGTTAATTGAGGACTGGCAAGAAGTCTTATCCAGTGTAATTGTGGTGTTATTACATTCTTACACGTATTTATATAAGACCCTCGGTTATTAAGACAACGGAGCAAATCCTCGATGCAATCATCACCTGCACCACAGCGCCAGAACTAAGAGGCCCGAAGACCGACCATGTCCCCATACACCTTGTCCTCCAACTAGAGACCCCACGTGTCAACATCACGCCACAGAGGAATTGGAGAGAAGTAGACTGGGAACAATTCGATAAGCACCTTCAAGACCTTCTAACTCCCCATCCTCCTCAACTGCTAGCCACTAATGATGGATTTCAGCTTGCCACTCGTCGTTTAATGGAGGCCATCACCTCCACCATCGGCGTCCATGTACCGATCTTGAAACCCTGTCCCCACTCCAAGAGGTGGTGGACCCGGGAGCTCACTGTCCTGCGGAAGAAGGTAAAAAGTCTCAGTCGCCTCTCATACCAAATGCGCGCCCTGCCTCTCCATGAGTGTCACGAGGAGCTGAAGGCCCTCAAAACTCAATACGCGGACTCCATTGCCTCAACCAAGCAACAACACTGGACAGACTGGCTCGAAGACTTGGAAGGCAATGACATCTGGACCACAAACCGCTATGTAACGTCCGACCCTAAGGACGGGGGTAAGACTCGAGTTCCAACTCTCTCCATCACGCGTCCAGACGACTCCTCTGTTGAAGCGTCAACTAACCACAAGAAAAGCCTACTGATTGCAGAGACTTTCTTTCCTCCTCCGCCTATCATTGACCATGTACCACCAGACTGTATCTACCCCGACCCGGTTACCCCGCACACCCCTTTCACTGCAGACCAACTCTCCCGTGCTATTACTAACCTTAGTGGCTACAAAGCTCCAGGCCCTGACGGCATCTGTAATATTGTTTTCAAGCGCTGCGTGCCCACCTTGATTCCACACCTCTTACATATATTCAACGCCATCTTCACTCACAAGACCTACTATGAACCATGGCACCGCTTCACAACTGTGGTCCTACACAAACCTGGGAAGCCCAGTTATGTGGCCCCAAAGGCATATAGGCCCATAGCGCTTCTCAACACAACCTGTAAACTCCTGACGGCAGTCGCCGCTGAACAACTGACCTACACTCTAGAACACCACCAACTCCTGCCAAATACGCACTTTGGAGGTAGGCCAGGTCGCTCAACTTCTGACTCCCTTCATCTCCTAGAAGCTACCATTAAGGACGCCTGGCGCTCTCACCGGGTGGCCTCTGTTCTTTTCCTGGATATCGAAGGGGCATTCCCCAACGCAGTCACGAGCCGCCTCCTCCACAATATGCGGATGCGTCGCATCCCTCGCGAGATGGTAGAGCTCACGGAGCGAGTACTAAAAGACAGATTCACTCAACTGCACTTCGACGGATACACATCGGACTGGATCCCAATTACTAACAGTATAGGACAGGGGCAGGGGGATCCCCTGTCCATGATTCTCTATATTATTTATAACTCTGATTTGGTAGAAGTCGCGAAGCAACGGCGAGGGAGAGAGACTCTGAAGGAGTTGACTCTGGCATTCGTGGATGACGCAGCATTTATTGCAATAGCAGATGACTTCGAAACAGCACATGCCATGCTAACTGACATGCTCGAATGCCCCGGAGGTGGATTTGAATGGTCATGCGATCACAACTCACGCTTCGAAACCAATAAATTTGCACTGATGGACTTCTCTATGAACAAACGCAGATCACGCCCCGACATGATCATCCAAGGATCGACCATCCATCCCACTGCATCCCATCGCTTCCTTGGTATCATCCTGGATCAAGAGCTTCGATGGTCCGCTCAAGTCGATAACGCAGTGGCCAAGGGCACAGCATATGTCTGCCAGATCCGTCGTCTCTCCACAATGGCCAAGGGAATCCCACTGTCTCTCATGCGTCAACTATATCAAGCTATCGCCATACCGAAGATGATGTATGCGGCCGACCTCTGGTATACACCCTCATTCAAGGGAGGCTCTGATGTCCCTCAGCGAGGCTCGTTGGGGGTCGCCAAAAGACTCACATCTGTGCAGAGACTCGCTACCCTAGCCATCACTGGAGCCATGCGGACCACCGCAGGAGACGTCCTCGAAGCTCATGCTAACATCCTCCCTATCACGCTTGCCCTTCATAACATCTGTCATAGAGCCATCGTTCGTATCACCGCTCACCCAGCAACACACCCTCTATACCTCCCAGTTAGGCGCGCTGCCAAGCGCTATGTATCATCTCACCACTCCTCACTGCACAAACTCACCCGTCTTTTCTCCATTATACCAGATGAAATCGAAACCCTAATCCCCGCAAGACGCCCACCAACCACAAAGAACCCCTTCAAGACCAACATTGCACCCTCACGAGAAGAAGCCACGACACTGCACGAACAAATGACAGAACCAATTCAGGTCTATTGTGATGGCTCGGGCCACGATGATAAAATTGGAGCATCCGCAGTGTTATTTCGTGCAGGCGCAGTACCACGAGTACTACGTTACTACTTAGGCACCAAGGACGAGCACACCGTCTTCGAAGCTGAGGAGGTAGGACTAACATTAGCAGCAAAACTAATATCCACAGAACGCAACATTCAATTCCCTGTATCCATATCCATCGACAACCAAGCGGCAATCCAATGCGGTAACAGTTTTCACACTCGTCCCGGCTCATACCTGGCAGACCGTTTTCGGCGCATGATGCAGACACTAGCTAACGATCGCGATGATTTTAACGTTACAGTATATTGGGTACCAGGCCACTCCGACATTCATGGCAACGAGGAAGCAGATAAACAGGCAAAGAAAGCCGCGGAGGGCAGTCAGAACAACAGCCCTCGTGCCAGGCTACCTCATTACCTTCGTCAAGATTCACTTCCTCTGAGTATCTCGGCCCTCAAGCAAGCACACCGTAACTCCACTCAAGCCCGGTGGTCAAGAATCTGGGCTAAATCTCCCCGTTATGCACGCACGCATAGTATCGATCCTAATATCCTACATCGTTCCTTCATTAAGCTAACCAAATCTTACCCTAAACGCCTCACAGGACTCTTAATGTGCCTCCGCACCCACCACGCTCCCTTGAACCAGCACCTTCACCGCATCAGCAAATCTCCCAACTCCTCCTGCCCTCACTGTCCACATATCGACGAGAACATCCATCACTACTTGTTCACATGCCCTAAGTATAGCCAGGAACGTCACACCCTGATCTGCGCACTGGGCCGCAAGGCCACATCCATCCAATATGTCCTGACAAGTGAAGAAGCCATCCCGCACCTCGTAAGATACATCAACGCCACTGGTAGAATGAAAACCACATTTGGTGAAGTGTCCATGCTATCGAAGCGTCCGAATTGACAAACACCTCTCAGCTACAGATCGAACCACTTGTACACATCATCAACTGCCAATCAACGCTGTACCTTATCCTACCCCATCCATATAACACGACCTCTACCCCGGCATCTCCCCCCCGTTACCATTACCGCTACGACTCAATTAATCCTCAAATAACCCAAACCTATAATCTCACAATCCAACCATATTCACTCGCCTATACGGAATCACGGCCTCCACTGAAATCAGTCAAATCCATCAGAACCTTCCTCTCCGTCGCTAGAGGAACCATTCTTTTACCATACTTTGCATTCAACCAGATTCCTATACCAGTCGCTTCGGCGGCCGAGAACGCGTCCAGACGATCCTTATCTGTCCAGTTACTTACCTGCGCGATCTTCTTAAAGTCACCTTTCCTTCGTTAGATTGCATGTCTAAAACGCGCGGCGGGAACGGCGGACCGGTGGAGGCAAGCCTCACACCGGGGCATTCATGAATCTAGAGGTGCGGGGGGGGCACAGGGGCCCCCAAGACTAGATAGTATTGTCTTACATAGAGTTACACTCTCAAAGACACAAATTTGGATTTAAAAAAAAAAAAAAAAAAAGTAAAACCATCAGTAACAGAACACTTGAGCTGCACATGTGCGTCAACAACTCCGCCGCGCATCTGACTGGCGAGTCTGTCTAGGGCAGAGCAGGAGATACTGCACTCACTCGCAGAGGGCAGAGGTATCACTCAGTATGACGGTATTGGGTTGCTGGAGTCATAGAGTCTGGGGTCTTTTCATTGTGAATGACGTGAGGGCGTCCGGACTTTGTTTGCTCCGGGTTTGAACTTGAAGTCGTTCAAAGGAACCGAGAAAGATCCGAATAATAACAGGTTACCAGATACCACAAATCATCTACAAGCAGTCTTAAGATACATCTCAAACCTCACTGAACCTTGTCATTCACATTCCTAGCCCTCAGCAGGCCTGACCCTTAGCATTCCTGACCCTTTTCCTGCCCTTTTCCATGGTGTATATCATATGACATTAGTATGTTCGTGAATATCATCTAATCATATCTCTCACTCAAAAGGGAAGCATGCGAGTGCAGGGAAGGCTGTAACATCGTAAGCGAATGTGTCTGGGGAAGCTTCCATACTATGGAAGCCAGGACCACCGCGCTCGTTAGTCAGCGCCACACTGATCGGATCCACAGTAGGCAGCCAGGCTTCATGCACACCCATGATGTTATTATGTCTTAACACCGAACGTGCGACAGTCTGTCTGTTATATGATTTGTCACGGTGAGTACCAGAGTGCGGTGCTCCTGGCTTCCATACTTGAATGCCGTGAGGGTATTCGAAGGAGCCGAGTGAAGCCTGAATGATCATCCTAGGGTACCGTGAACTCGCCGCTCGCTTCAAGCAAATTCTTAATATTATGATCAACCTAACCAAACAACTTGCTCTCCCTATATAATGTGCAGTGTTCCAGCGACTCATTTCAACCCAAACACAATCAACAAATCATCTCTCCTATTGAACGTGCAATCATGGTTTTCTACGCATATGTAAAACAGGTACGCACAAAATCCGTTCTTCAATGTCTGCAATGTCGCGCTAAATCACCATTCAGGTCACCGACAACTCGACCTATCGATACGTGATTGTCTTCGCTAGCCGTGCAGTTGCGGATGACTGGTGGCGCGCCGTATCCACAAGCTCCGTCGTTAAGTTCACGGAGAGTATTCGGCGTGTCAATGCCCAGTTCTACACCCATGACGTGAACCTGGCCAACGCTGCCAACTCCCTCACCACGACTGGGGTTGCGACCCAATTCCTCGGCAAGGTGTTTTTCACGTTGCAGTACGACCTAGGTGGTCGCATATTGAGCATCATCCCGCCGCTTGATAATAATTTTGTGGACCACATTAGTGGGAACTCGTGAGTTAGTTCCTTGCCGGATGGTCCACATTTCGCTGATGGCGCCCCTACCAAAGTTTCTTCATTCGCTCTAAAGCCTCTCCTAACGAGCACTGGTACTGTCCCCTCCAAGGGACGAAATCGGTCTATGTTTCCAACACCGAACGCACTCGTTTCCGTATTAGTCGCACCAGCAGCAGTACTGCAGGGACCGTCATGGTTGGCTCTGACGAGATCGTTATCACGTTGACCGCCGTCAATCTGTCCATTAACGTCCTCCCTGAAAACGGTCAAGTGATAGTTTCAAATGCTCCTAGGACGGGGTTGAAGTTTAGTGACTTTTTGGGCAAATTCAGCACCGGAGCTATCTTGTATAAGGACGGTAAGAGCTTGGGCTCGAGGGAGCTCTTCTACATGGAAGACGGGGAAGAGTGGGAACTCGTTTGAACTGTTGTCATTTGACATTAGCAAAGGGCTTGCATTTGACACAAAGTTGTCTTGTACTGTTAGTGATACCGAAGCAATTGCATTTTTGTTGAACGCCTGCAACCACGTGTACCTGCCACTGACGGTCCATGTCAAGTTCGGCAGACTTCCCGTGCAACATGTTCATAGCAAATAGGAAGATGAAATAAAAATTACAGACCAGTTATTTCCATTAGTGGGGGGGAAAGCCATGCCACCTTGCTCACATTAGTTTTCTCTTACACTGGTGAGGGCACGAGAGAAATTGTCAAACAAGTAAAAACGTCAGTAACAGAACACTTACGCGGGCTTCAACAATTACGCTGCCGATGGTCATGACGGCTGCGCTCGTCATGAATCCGATAATGACCGGTACAAGCGAAAGCAGCATAAACTGAGGGTTGCCACGAGAATTCTCAATAATGTAATCGACGATGCCAACAGCAAAAAGAATAGATGACCAGAGGGCGAATATGACAGGGCTAGCGACCGCAATCGTAAGCAAAGCTGAGTTGATATAATTACCATCTTTCACTAGCTCTCCCATGTCCTCGTCCGAAATAGAGAACGCCTGGATAGGGAAGTACTGAACGATGAAAAGACCGCAGGCGCTCAACCCAGCTGCTCCCAGCCAAACAGAGAAAGCGAGAGGGGGAGTGGGTGGTGAAATCGCGAGCACTCATAGTGGCAAGAAACGCGAGCTGCACAAGCATGGATTTCATGTGATATATTAGTGAAAGTTGATGATTCGTTTGAGCATATAGCTTACCGGATTTGACAGTGTCAGATCCCACTCTGCTTGCTGTTCCATGCATGATGCACCGGCACTCGACTGCCTGTAGGCTGTCTATTTCAGCGGCCTCGGTAAATTCATGAAATCGGGCGAGATAAGTGCGACCCATCTAGAGCAAGAAAACATGTTCCAATATTTGGAGATACAGCAGATGGGATTTGGAGAGGGAGCGAGACATTCGAAGCACTGCTGGTATGAGGCGCTCAATCATTTCACCTCAGATTTGAGGCAGAATCGAACCGCTCGAGGGCTCGTTTCAGCCATGTTTATATGGAACGTGAGGAAGGGTATATGCGGCTGTACATCACACAGGAGCCGTCAAGGCTGTGAGCGAACATGAGGTATTAATTGTGAGCAGGGCTTGCTACATATATAACGCATGGAGCGACAGCTTCCAGAGCATGCCACCATGACTAGCACTACCTTATTCGATATTGAGTCAGTCGATGAATTGTGTAAAATGGTCTTGGGAAATTCAGAGTATCAGCAGGCGGGGAGTAGTGGTGAGTCCACAACAAAACTTTGATTTCAAGTACTTGGACGTCATGTTAACAAGTTGACAAGTCACCACCATAAAATATGAGACTCCTGGCACCGCGCCTACTGTCAAAACCAGCACCTCGAAATATGGCAAGGCACTGATACACAAATTGGAATTGCTCAAGGATACTCGACTCTCCCACTGGCGTCACGAATTCATCGTCCTTACTCTGACTTACGGAAATGAAAGGCGTCTGCTTTACTTGGAACATTCTTGGCATGGCACAGGATTAGGAGAACGGATACCTGTGACTCTTAGTAGTCTTATTGGCAGCCAGAAAGATAGCGCAGATGAAGCAATGTTCTACAAACCAAATGATCCTCACGAAGAGCACCGGAGGAGATGCACCATGACCGTCTTCGAAATCCAGTTTTTCTGCTCATCCCAGCTCATAGCCCTGTCACTCTTCACTCCATTGCCCGGATTTTAAGGCAGATGGGAACAAAACATGATGCCTATGCGTTGTTCAGTGCCAACTGTTGGGCTTGGTCTCGAGGCATTGCTATGGCCATTGCCTTCGAGTCTGGTAGCAACGTCGAGACAGTGACTATGGCAGGGAGGGATATAACATTGCTCCAGCTCAAACATTACCTGGTGACCGAGTATGGTGCGTTTGGGGGTCTGCTCTTGCATTGCATAGGTACGTCTTATACATCTCAACGCACTGTCCTGGCTGATAGCCTGAAATCTCAGAGAAGGGGAGGCATGACCTACGTTGGTACGGAGTATTGCACCCTGCGATGTGTTTACTTCCTTTATGCCTTTATTGGCCTCGGACTTTGGTTCAATCATATCATTTTCGGTCCTCTCAACTGGACACTACGCAACAGGGAACTATGCATTCACGAGGACCGGACAGTCAACACGGATGGTCAAGACCACACATACACTATCCTGCCGCCCGACTTTACAGATTTAATCCCCACATTTCCGGGTATTTCCACCCACATTCTGGGATCCAATTTCTGCGGACCAAGTAAATATCTATATATCCTGGCTCCCCCAATTGCAACCTCTGGGGCAAGAGTGACGTCGGTTCACATATTTATCTATGGCACTGTGGAGTTGGAACCAGGCCAGGAACAGTCTGTCTGTATTAACGAGAGCATTCTTAACAGAATGGAATGGTTTCGATGCGCTATTCTTCGCCAAACGCAGGACGGAAGACTCATCGAGGTCTCTGAACCCGTTTGTTTTGCACTCAGTGTGCAGTTCCGTGGCGGATTGGGGAGGAGATCGTATGGCGCTGTACATGTCATGGAACGCCATCACCCATTGACTCTAGGGCTACGCCAAGGGGATTTGATAGCAATATGGGCCCTCGGAAGAGCTGGCTATGTCCACAAACCAGCAGGCGCTTGGATCAAGGTAGGTTGCTTCATATGTCATAACTACTCGCATGAACCAGAGGACACACATTTAGGTCGTGACGAATCACCGGCTCGGATTTTTGGATTGGGTTGTTGCGATGGACGTGGCGAGGACGATCGCGGGACTGATCATATACCCTCGTGGTCATACTTGGCCAGAGATAGTCGGAAAATATTGCCATAAGCTGATGTTCCTGTTTTTCGAGATTCCATGGTGCTTGAACAGCTTGTGAGTCAAGCTCCTTCACGATTTCTTGTCCAATGAATCGTTTCCCAACGAAATCTAGGTGTAATGATTGGCCTTGGTCAAGAATCAGCATGGTAGCATCACACATGCTTTCCACTGTCACGCCGCTCCAGCTACCTGAAGATGGCAGTGACGAGCAGCCAGTCGAAGTAGCACTGTCCAACTTCATAGAACAACTTCTCTCACCGAACGGCGGAAAAGGGTCGCCATTCTGTAGAGCTACAATACGCTCCATCTCCCTCGGACAAGCCGAAATTGATCTCTTCAAGATCATCGTTCTGCTAGTCACCCTCGATAACGTGGAGTATTATGTGCATATACGTCACCCCAAAGACGAGGAATCTCTCTGGCCCCATTTTATCACTTGCTTTTTGGGCTATCATGGGCTCGTGAAAGATATAGTGGTAATATATCGGCCAGGAATAATGCAGAGAGCCGCTTGGGAAGCCTTGGATGTCGATTTCACAGTCGAGCTGCCTAGTGGCGATACCGCAGCATCGCAGAATATTCGCTCGGTTGCCTTGCATTTACGCGACTTACGGAACAGATACTGGTTGTCTTTCTGGCTGAATGAAAATTGGCAGTGGCCTATATCTATCGTGAAGGCGATACTGAAATCCGCCAGCCAGACTGTCCGTGTCCAGCTGCAATGCGACGAAGAGCCGCTGCAGATTGACAAGTGGGAGCAAACTAACGAAATGCTGGGAGACAAGGTAGAAGGGTGGAAACATGCAGAGGGGAGAACTTATGGTGAGAGTTCCCATTGTCAGTGATATCGTGCTGACCGCAGAGATAGGGAACGGAATGAAGGAGGATGTAGTTTTCTTGTTTACGCATGCACGGGGGCGCTTCTTGATATGGTCAATTGTACTGATCTCTTTCATTCTCCATGTTTACTATCACTTCTAGTCTTATACCAGGCTTTTGCTGTAATCATATGTTGAAGCGTCGATGATATTAGTTGCCAGTTTGTGACGATACTCTTCTTGTCAAATAAAATATTGATTTTGGGGATTGGGGGTTCCTCAGCACACCGGGGGTTTTGACATTTTACCACATTTTGCCACTAGTGAAATCACATTCTAAATGCAATCTAGAGCGCTCCAGAGCGTTCCAGGCTGGGTCTATTAATGCTCTAGCTAGGTCTAGATCTGCTTTTGATTGAACTTTTGCATAAGGTAAAATGTCCAAACTTCCGATGTCAGCTCCACAGATTGAGGTAGTATATATATAATCATCCTTTACCTGGTCAGCAACTTACATCTCCAACTGCGTATATTATACAAATACATGTCAGCCTACCAAACGCTTGCGCTGCGTGCGCGCTCGCTATCCTTGATCAACGTGAGTACCTGTGACTCAGTACCTACGAGAAACGCAATTTCACCGAGGTGATTATGACGTCAGTTCTTGAAGCTCGGCAGAATAAAAGTTCGGGATCTCGGACCTCTTAGGCCTTACCCCTCTCTTTTTTCAACACTACAAACATCTCGAATCAAAGACGCTAAACCTCGTAGACTTACGCAACGTACCATGGCTTCGAAAGGTTTCACCATCGACTTCTCTGGTGCGTCTACTGCGATCGTGCATGCATCACTTTTCACTTAACATTGTTTGCTTCGCTGTAGACAAATGCATCATCATTACAGGGGGCAACCGCGGGATCGGATACGCTTATAGTCGCGCTGTTGCTCAGGCTGGTGCACGAGTGGCCATTATTTACAGGTTGGCTCCGAGTCGGGCATCTATATTCTATGACTATATGCTGATATTTCTGGTGTCTTTCAGGAGTTCCAAGAACGCGCATGAAGTAGCTGAGAAGCTTGGAAAAGAATTCGGCGTGCAAGTCAAGGTTTGTGAAATGTTTGGTAGTTGACTTATTGGCTTCACCCTCCTGTCTTTGTACGCAGGCTTATCAATGTGATGTATCCGATGAAAAGAAGACAGCTGAGACGTTTTCTCTCATCGACAAAGATCTCGGTCCGGTGACGGGACTTATAGCAGTGAGTGGAACGTTCTTCGGTCATGTCATTTTTCGAAACGAGCGGCTTGGTATCACAGAATGCCGGTGTCTCCGTGGTGAAGCCTGCACTCGAGCTGACCAGCGAAGATTTCTATAAAGTGTATGGTGTCAATGTCCTTGGTGTATTCAACAGCACCAAGGCTGCGGCAAAGTGAGTTCCATCATGAAGTAGTATTTGGAAAGCGTGACCCAGACGGATATGACAGGCTGTGGATCGACAAGAAGTCTGGCGGTTCGATCGTCATTACATCCTCCATGAGCTCGCGGATCATTAACCAAGTCGCGCCAAATAAGCCATTGACCCAGGTCTTCTACAATTCATCCAAGGGTGCTGTGTCCACTCTCATGAAAGGGTTGGCTGCGGAGTGGGCCACTCATGGGATTAGAGTGAATGCGCTATCCCCCGGTTATGGTCAGCATCTTGCAATAATCCCGTTGGTCCTAACTTGTTGAACATTTGACATCAGTGAACACGGATCAAACCTCGGGTATGGAAACCAGCGTCCTCGAGAATCAGGCAAAGACCGTACCGCTCGGACGCTTCGCCGAGGTATGTACTAAATAATTTTGATTCGATAGGCACTCACCACCTCAAAAGCCGCATGAGATGACAGGTCAAGCACTGTTGCTTCTGTCTGATAATGCCAGTTACATGACAGGCGGAGAATATTTTGTTGACGGGTACGTGTGGCATGATCGTCTGATGCTCATTATCAGATTTTGACGCCTTTTTGAACATTAGTGGTCACCTCATTTGGTGAACTATGATATTCTCAACGAGCGATGTATTTGATTGTACGTAGTGTTGGGACTCGGATAGAACTTCAAGTTGCCGCGAGACAGGAAGACGCGGAAGAACTGACATGGACAATTGAATTGTAACTGTAGCAGCATTGAATAAGCGATCGTTTCGTGAACCTGTGTGATCAGCATGCATAACTAGTGGTGCCGTGCGTCCAACCCCAACTTTTCTGGCTCACAAAAATAAGACATCTCCTACGTGGACGAGTGGTAGCGGTTAAGCATCTCAAATAGAGATCTGATAAAGCTTGTCAGTATGCTATCTTGACGATAGACCTACAAGAATCTGTCATGCTTGTGACAAGGCGTGAATTCTAGTGATGGTTGCGATTCAAGGAAACACGCCCACACTTTGATGGACCGTCAGTGCGCCCGATCGCGATAGGACTATTGTAACTGGTATAAGCAGCAACCTTTACTTTAGTACATCATTACATGCAATGACTTACATCGCTCTGGGACACGCAGAGTTTTTCTGCCTGCTATTCTATGCACCAACATTCGAGTCTATTGCCATCGTTTTAAGCCGATGATCTACTTTAGCGGTCTAAGCAAATGCACGAAATCGGTCAAGATAACTGAGACTCATCTGAAGCAAGACAATATCGTCAGGGATTTAGGAACAGAACATGGATCTTGGAGAGGAAACAATAAACCTGAGGAACCGCGGGTATGAGGACCTCAGACTTTGAGGTAGAATTCGAGGCCACACTGCATGCAGCCATATTAATATCAGTGGGACATGGATGAAGACAACTGCGGCTGTAAGTCAACATCACAAGTCAAAGAGCCTCGGGGGCGTTCAAACTTCAAGCTTCAAGTGTTAGCTTCAGGCATTTATGGAACGGTTGCCACGGGGTGTCACTGCATGACTTGCACTACATCACTCGTCTTGATGGACTTTGGAGAGAATCAGTAGGCTGCGGTAGTAGCGAGCCTGACGTTAGCCTAAAGAGCAAACTCTGACCTGCAAAGTCTCCATAAGAGTGATTGATCAACTTGATCAAGAACTTCGGCGCGAAATTAAATTTGCGTGATCGGATTATGATCAGATTCTAGACCGAATTGCATCTTCGATTCAATGAAGCCTTTAGGGAATGGACGGAGATCATCTTACTCAATCAAGAAACAATGAAGACCATTATTTAGGAATCCCGACGGTTATAGTACGGTCTCATCGTCTTACGGGTATGCTGTATGGGCATTGGGTACATTATATGCCCGGAGTCCCTCCAAAGCCCTCACCCCCGGAGAATCGGTGATGGTGGGTACAACGTTCATCCATTATATCCAACGATGTCTCGCTAGGTCCGGGACCACATGCGTGGATCGAAACCGTCTATAAACTACAACTCAACTCAACAGACGACCATTATTTTTGCTGCATTCTTGGCTGTATTAATAATGTGGAAATAAATAAATGACGGACACACGTTTTCTCTATCTCCGTTACATCACACGGAAAGAGCCGGATTTGTGCTCTGAATGTGACTTTGAGATGTCATTCTCGACGTCGTCCGGTAAGCCGTCGGTATGAGTATGTACAGATTGCTCCAGCGAGACCTGAACACTTCCATACTGGAATGGCGGAGAATAAATCGGCTGTTCGCTATTGGGTAGCCTGGAACTCGCACGCGTCATCCACTGAATGTTCCGCGAGGAAGACAGTGTGCCATTGGCGCGATGGGAATCGCCGTGAGATAGACCCAGACCGACGCGGACAATAACGGAAGAGAACTAGAGGAACGGTCACATGAGAAAGGGCGGAAGAAACAGTCAGAGGGAGTCGACATACCACGATACCCTGTGTCGGACGTAGGGTGAGCAAATCGAGAAAATAAAATACACAGAACTCACGATGATTGGTGACATCTTGATTAATGTGCTGTTAGTTAAGTCTTTTTGGAAAGAATGGCTAGACATACTGAATTCAAAATGATGAACATGGCTGGGGAGTTAGAAGTATATGTTCCAATCATAACCACGAGTAAGGCTGAATACGCAGAACCTATCGGTACATGAACACATGAACACATCAGAGAAGGTATTGCTAGAATTTTTACCAGATTCAACTATGATTGGTACCAAACGAGAGATTTGGTCATCGTTACCCTTTTTGAAGGGTGCAACTACTTTTTGGATTTTCAAAATCTTGAAGGCAATCAGCACTGAAATGCAAATTCAGTCTGGGCCCCGAATGTAGAGTAAAAAAACAAACATGTGCAGATAACATTCATGGCCAGAGTAATTGAGTAAAATGTCTTGACGCGGACGGAGAGGGCATCTGCGAAGACGTCTTCACCCGGAACAACAAGGCTCAGAGTGTACACCCAGAAAACACCGATAGCTATATTATGTGTTAGCCGAAGCAGTGGGATGGCAGAAGGAAACAAACCAATATCCGCGATAAATAACAAGAAAGGGAATGTAGCAATGAGGTAATTCCTACCCCATAGAATGAAGGAGCGGTATAACTGCAGAGATGCTCAGATTTGGATAACGGCAAGTTCAGGATGCGTACAATGAATGCGTCGGACACCAGTGTAACAGCGACATACAGACTACTCTTTAGAATGTTTTGCCAAGTGTCAAATGTGCCATAATATATGGATGGATAATTTGGCTCTGCCTCGTCTGTGGTGAAAGCCTGCATATTGCGCAGGATATCAACGACAAGGTGCTAGAGAGTTATTCATAAGATATGTGGACATTGTTAAGTAGAGGAGACCCGTACTGCCGTAATGAGGATGAAGAGTGAAACTGCAGTCCCAACCAAGTAATCACTTGGTCGCGAATGTCTCTTCCTGAGTACAGACATGCATTGATTAAACACCATCAGATATATACCTAGGCAAGGATCAGCATTGGACAGGTATGGAGATGGGTGACCAAACCATATGCCAACGACTCCACAAACACGCCAATGAGCTCGGCCATAGGGATTGTCAACGTCATGATAACTCAGGTTGCCTGCAAGTCGACATGCAATAAGTGAGACTTCGGAGGAACGTAAAATGGATACTCTCGTGCTGGCGTGTCTAGTAATAAGCGATCGCTGAGTCTGTCGCACGCGCTCCAAATTGTTACCACGATGAGTGATCCTTTGTGGACACACGAAACAGTAAGATGAATTTACTCTGTATTAAGGTATTTGATCAAAATAAACATACAAGCACCGGCCCATAGCTTGACCGGCGGCTCCAAGATGTTGATTTGGGTCTAAAGTGGGAAAAGCAGATTACGCTTCTCAAACACGCCTTAGGAAACATCCGGCAGGTACTGACCTTGCCGACACAGGCACTTGAACAAGGTTATTATGATTGTCGGTTATCGCTATCAAGCAGACACGGTGGCCTACGCTGAGCGTCAGCTTGTGTGCCAGCAGATAACAAATACTTACCCCATGACGTGAAAACGTATGTACCTTGATGTTGCAGGTGTGCTGTACGAGGGATGAAGCTCTCAGGGGGCAGGACCTGCTCTCACACCGTTGCTGTTCTCCGCACCATTGAGCTGGCGCGATTTCAGATTTAGGACATCCAATGGTAATTGAGGTACATACTATTCGATGGGGAGAGCCGATACCAACAAACAAGTTGAAACAACCGTGTGTCAGGACTCAAGAAGCCCAACTGCGCCGCGCCAGGGCAAGTACTCAATTGGTCCATGAATGTATGACGCATGATGGATGATGAATTGATGGCCACAATGAATCAGCGATCACGTGTTCTGTTGATCACACGAGTCTGTTGTTGGCGGCGACTATCATCTATGTGACAACCTGAGAAGAAGTTCAACCTTGCCGTAGGTGAAAAACTTTAATGATGTCCCTGATACAGCAATTCTAGCATGTGGCGGCCGGGGCCGCATCACCATTGACCAATATCAGTACTATTATTGATGTCAAGTTCGAGTCTGCTCCCAGTGACTCCCGAGACGCTCCCATAATGTATGCCGTACCACGGAGTTATCGTTAACGTTCTGCGGAATGCCTTATGGCGGCCTCGCTGCCTCGGCCAACCTCTGGTGCACACTTTGCACATCAAGTGACAGTTAGTGGTCACGGTAGGTACGCCACTCCTTGCCACTCCCGCAACTAATTATAACTCGGTTTCAGATACCACTTGTTGGAACGCCTGATGCAGAAGGATGGATATACTGCTGTGCAGATATTTTGACCTTGGCGGGACCGCAAGTTTTGAATTGCAGCTGAAGCATGAATAGCTGGCATGCCACAAGGATAGGGCTGCTTCTCAATAAAGGTCTACTTCTACTTCCCATGACTGGTTTAGTATTGACAATGGGTGGTCTGACGCGGGTGGCCAAGCTTGACGACAAAGCTGTCACGCTTTGGCGAAGTATTCGCTGAACACTTTTATTCCGCGGTGTTTATGCGCCATTCGCCATTTTTGCTCTATACCTTCGGTAATCTCCGACCCTGCAATCTATCAGGATTCAGCTATGTAGGTATCATGCATCAGTTTTGGCTGACCACTTAATTACCTTTTGGGCAACTTTTTCGTCGCTAACTGTCCAGTCACAGGCACAATATACCATGCTTCGGCTTTCGAGACATGCAATATGAATTGCGTAATATCCTGCTGCAAAACAGAATACTTCCCTGCTTGAAATCAGTCACTCCAGAGCCCATCGATGTCCTGGATGCCCAATAATCAGTTCAAGTCACTGCAATCATGTTCTTCGTCCACTCTGAGCTGCAGTCACTGAAGCCTGGGCTCCTTGCGAAAATGCTTCTTGATAGGCTGACATAATTTTTGGTGGCAGTTGTCATCCGTTCTGCTGCTCTTTCTCACCATCGTCTCCATTCTTCGGCGCCGCTATTTCAATTCACCGCGTGCAGCTTCTGCACAGATACCATTTTCTTGATGCTTGGTGCCATGATAAACTAGTGGGTTTTATGCAGTCTGCTACTCCACGGGTTCATGCTGATACAGTTCGACTGGGTGTGGGCCTGTCGTGTGGTGGGCAATATACATTAGTACTCAGATCGCCGAAGTACTTGATAAGAGAATCCGGAAAGAATTTTGAATGGTTGCTCAGATTATACACCGTGAAAAGACTTGTAGCTATAGCCGTCCTTAAATGAGCTTCAGTTGGTTGATCAGATCCAATTTCTGAATTCAAAACTTTTGGGCCATTCATACGTAGTCGCCTCGGGTAAATCCGACATTAGTATGGGATCTTCCTTGACTTGGTACTACGATGTCGATTACCTTCGAGATTCCAGGCAAGCGTGTCTTGTCTAGTGCTCAGTTGACTGCGTTTCAATCATCTGCTACTTACAATACCATCACATCATACATCGAAATTCTGAATGCTTCTGTAGTGGGTGCGAGGCTCACCGACGCGTGCTCGGAATCTCTAGTGCGTTTCCTCCTCGAATTCCATCCTTACATCTAATCCATTCTTCTTGCGTAAGCTCAGGGGATAAACGCCATCCTCCACTTGTTGGATCGAATAGAGCAACTAGCTCATGAGACTCCCCCGATTGAGAACAAGGCATCAAGATTCGGCAACCCTGCTTTCAGGTCGTTCTACGACAAAGTTGAAAGTGTTGGTCTTGCAATTCGTCTCCCTTCTTGTCTCATACTTACTTCTGCCGTATTCAAGCTGGCACCGTCGTTGCATGCTGACCTTCCCGGCCTAGATCAAAATGCTACGCCCGAATTAACTACCTATTTCTCACAGGCTTGGGGGAATCGAGAGCGCATTGACTATGGGAGCGGTATGGAACTGAATTTTCTCTGCTGGCTGTAAGTCTTTTTGAATTTTCGATTCACTTGGTTCTCATGTCACATCTCACAGGATATGCCTAGATCGCCTGCAGGTTGTTACGGCAAGTGATCATACCGCCCTTGTTACTCGTGTATTTTGGAGGTGCATTTTCAAGACGATTATTTTGTACATTGCTCATTCCTCCCAGATATATTCAAATCATGCGCGTACTTCAGTCAACGTATTGGCTAGAACCCGCTGGATCTCATGGCGTCTGGGGTCTCGACGATTATCATTTTTTGCCTTTCCTCTTTGGTTCTGCACAGCTACGAGGCACGTCGCAATTAGTTAGTGCAACGAGTCCTGACATTTTCTACTGCAGGACACAAGTTTGTAAGACCGAAGGCAATACATGATCCAGAGATTGTAGATGAACTGTCGAAGGATTATATGTACTTCTCTTGCATAAAGTTCATCAACTCCGTTCGTATCTTCTGCATCGCATGCCTGGTTTCCATCTTAAGATCTGGACATAGATCAAGACAGCCTCACTTAGATGGCACTCACCAATGCTGGATGACATATCGGCAGTGCGTATTGCGGCCCTCAATAAATTGACCTGCCTGACCTCTTGTGTAGGTGAAAACTTGGGAAAAAGTTAACTCCGGAATGATCAAGATGTATCAAGCAGAAGTTTTGGGGAAGCTCCCTGTCATTCAACATTTCCTGTTCGGATCTATTCTTCCATACGAAGGACCACCGCCTCCATCTTCCGATGAATCGCATCACGGAGATGGTCATGTACACGAAGGTTGGGGTGACTGTTGTGGTATACCCGTACCCAGTGCCTTTGCAGCAGCCCAAAAGGAGCGAGAGCCGGGAAATAGGATCGAGGGTCCAGGCATCCGTCCTGTGCCGTTTGATTGAAACGAAATTCGCGAAGGTGGTTTCCAAGTCATGACAGTGCCTCCGGGAATCATAAACATCAGTAGGTTCAGTACTACATAAATGTGATAGCAGTACTCACAGACAACTTGATTGACGCGCGTGATCAGAGGTCGTAACTTTCTATCATTTTCCAAGTTGCCAAAGCGATTTCAATGGATGCGACATCACGGTTGACTTGATTTTGTTGTCTCCACCGCCATATGGTATCTGATCTCATCAGATTCATCTGAATATCCTACTTGCGATCCTGTGATTACTTTTTCTGAACCGGCTGACTCAAAGACCTCCAAAGAGAACTACTTACGGATTAGAGCAGGCTGCAATAATCCATGAATGTCATTGACCTTTGAAAGACTAGTTAACCTGTCACGATCTGCCTTGTTGAACTGGCGCGGTTGGTAATGTGCCTGCCTCTGGCAGACGGAAACTGGTGTGGCAGCAACCTAATGATGAATCCTATCTGCGACAACGCCGATGGCTTTTACCCCTACTGCCAACTAAGCTATGCAACTAGAGTGGCGAATACCCACCTGGGTCCTGCATCACCGGTCACCCCCCGCTGGAGGGGTACTCACTCCACCGTCTGTCGGAAGTATATATAATTTGCCTGGAAAGGCCTAACCAACTCGTATCCGCCCACCAACTCGTATCCGCCCACCAACTCGTATCCGCCCACCAACTCAGAATTCGGTCACGACTTTGGGGAAGTTCGCATCCTTCAACCTCGAGTCCTTCCAACTCGATAGCTGGCCTGTCCGACCTACGTATAAAAGAAGATCATGGGCATTCTCCGAGGTTCAGGACTTCACGCTACTATGCAAAAGTTCATGTTCCTCTCCCTGACATGTGTCGCCTTAGTGCGCGTCACAAATGCACAACACGTTTTTGCCCATTTCATGGATAGTCTTCAAGACACTCTCCGACTGTATGTCCTGTTGACAACATCGTTGTACAGGCACAAAACTCGTATTCGTATGCTGAAAGTGATTGGACGAATGATATGACAACTGCTCAGAATATTGGCATCGATGGCTTCGGTATGTCTTTCTCATGTCTCTCGTTCAAGCTTTCAAACACTCATACACGGCTCATGCTTAGCATTAAACATTGCCGCAAATGACTATGAAGTCGACAGGATCGTCGATGCATATGCAGCCGCAGAAGCCTTAGGTTTCAAGCTCTTCTATTCCTTTGACATGTCATACACTTGGCAGCAGAGCGACATGGTCAATATCGTCGGCAATCACTCGTCAAGTCCAAGTACATTTCTGTGGAATAATACTATACTTGTATCGACATACTCAGGGGAGAGTTATGGAGAGGACTTCTGGGCTAGCTTCAAGAGCGCACTTCAGAGCCAAGGCATCAACATCATATTTGCACCCGCATTTCACAACTTACCGTGACCCTTCGGACGCTGCTTCACTCGTGTCTACGTTCCCCTCGATTGATGGATTCTTCAATTGGTGGTCTTGGTGAGTGAGGTCGTAAAGAGCATGGTGATCCTCTCTACCAAATGTATCGCTAGGCCTGCCGATGTTGATGCAAACTTAACGACAGCCACTGATTTGGCCTACAAAGCAGCTGTCTCGTCGCTCAGTGGACCGTATATTATGTGTGAGTAGTTTGGTCCGAATCTCCGTAGCTTTTATTGATATTCAATCGAGCTGTCTCGCCTTGGCAGTTTAAGAACCTTGATGGCGCTGGCGATTGGGTAGAATACAGTGACACTCTCTGGAACTACCGCTGGCAGCAAGCCGTGAATGACGTGAAGCCTGATATTATTGAAATCGGTACTTGTAGCTTTATTATTGTGTTGGTCGGTAGCTCATCGTGCTCTAGCAACTTGGAACGACTATGGCGAGTCCCATTACATTGGTGATATCAATCCAAATGTAACCCCTCATACCGTCACCGAAGTTATGGCTCAGAGTTAACATGCGATCATGTAGGTGTACCTTGGGACGCAAGCCCCACTTTACGTCGATGGTTTCACACATGCTGCTTGGCGAGATGTAGCTCAGTACTATATTTCATGGTTCAAGACTGGTTCTGCACCGACCATTACGGTGAGTCCATTTGTAAATTGCTCTTCAATTCGATAATCTTGACTTTCTTTTATCGCATAGAAAGATGAGGTTGTCTTCTGGTATCGTGCATGGCCGAAGGCCGTCAATTGTAGTACTGGATCCCTACCACGCAATGCTGCATACCCCGAGGACGCCGTTTTTGCACTCGCGATGCTAAAAGACACTGCAACTATCACACTTGCCATGGGTAGCAACACGGTAAATTTCACCGCTGGTGCGGGTGTGACTATGGGTTCTGTACCGTTCCCTTCAGAGGATTCACAAGTCCCCTATATCGCGATCAGCAGAGATGGGACAACGGTTGTCGACACCCATGGCTCGATGTATGTGAATCAAAGTGGATGTACGTACTACAATTTCAATCCTTTCGTTGGGAACATCAGCCGAGTGATGTATTGTAGTTATTATAATGTAAGATGTTGCAGACCACTGAGGCATGAGACGCATCGACGAATGGTCACCACGCCTTTTTGAGACTTGCAAATATTTTGAGCTTAGCGCATGCACTAGATAAGTCGGCCGTGCACGTTGTCTGTTTCCCGTCCGGAGGGAATCCTAGGGAGTCGTGTTTGCTGTCTGGACCGCCGGACCTCACCGACTAATAACACACGTGTCGATGTCGTGCACAGCTGATGAAGCTCGTATCCCGTTCTAGAGCCCTTTGCTCCGATTTGAAGGATGCTATCAAGGTTACGATGGATCCATGGATGATATGGATCATGACATTGACGCTCCTCGTTTATGGAGAACGTGATTGACCATTTAACGAGTAGATCAAGGTGAACACGCCTCTGTGCCTTAGCAATACCATCACCAGTATGGACATCTTGTCTCCTAACTGTGGTTGAACACTGCGACTGTTACTAATGGAGTTACTCTGAAGTTATTTGGCGTCTAAAAGGGCGTCTCAGACTCTATTCCTATCCTAAACACCGGACAAGTCAAGTAGTAACAAGCTCATCTTAGTATCTTAAAAAGAAACGTAGTGCAGAACTGGTTAGGCCCAATGTGTCTGACTCAAGACCTTGTGCCAGGTGACGCCGTGCGGGTCAATATTACGTCCAATGCTCTATGCAATTTCGTAACTAAAACACATGCGGATTATAATTATGCAACGTCCAATGAGAGGAATGGAATATGAACCCAACAGCAGAGCAAGTAAAGAACGTCCTATGGTATTTAAAAGAAAGTCAAAAGAAAAAAGGAATCGTCCCAAAGGCATTCCCTGTCACATAAGTTTAGGTTCATGATTAGATCCACCATCGAAACATAGAGTTCTGATCGCGTTCTGGTACTATGTAGGAGTCCGTCCGTCCGTCTCGTGTCTAAATACCACCGTCCCATTTCATGCTTGCCTCAGTAATACCCGGTCAATCGAGGCATTGATCGTCCCCTTTCGTGACGCCAAGTCCATCCCAAATTGATTCTTCAAGCTGACGCCGTATCTCGCGCTTTGTCACAGAGTTAAGGTCGGCAGTGCGGAGGACCTCATGGACGGCATGATCAAGGTCAGCATCACTAGGAACACCTGGTGCCAAGTCCATATCCTCATGACTGCGCGTGGTCGGTAGAGGCATTTCGAGATAGTTCGTTGGCGGCCGCGACGGCATGGGTTGGTACAACATGCCAGCATCGCTCATGGGCCGCAACTGTGACATCGGCGTGTTGCGACCTGATTGGTATCCAGGGGGTGGCATCATGCCAAATTGTGATGGCGCAGGGGAATGGCCGCGTGGCTCGTAGTAGGTCTCGCGGCCGTACAACGATGCAGTAGCTGATGCCGCATATGCTTCCTTCTGGAACTGATTGGGAGGTGCCCAAGAGCCAATACTGTGGTTCGACTCCTTGTCCCAAAGCTCGTTCTCCTATAAACCAGGTAAGTAACATGTCTATAAAGAAGCAAAATCACGCACGTAATCATTCCAAGACTTGAGAGGAATCGCACGCGGGTCAAATTTGCCTTCGTCCTAAAGAAACTTCATCAACATCGATCCAAATAACAAGAACCAGAAAACACCTACATGAACAATAATCTTCTTGCCAGATTCACCCAACACGACACGGGTAGCACCCCAAGAGAAGTCATCCATACGCCAGAACGAATAGAGTGGGAGCATGAGAGAGAAGATCGGGATAGCCAAAATGTAGAAGACCATCCATCCAACCATGTCCCACTTGCGCCGGAGGATAAACACGGCGGCTTGTAAACCATACACGGCGCCAATCATGACGAGCGAGATGATAGGAAGAGTCTCCTGATTGGTGGTGACCTCCACGATGAGATACACGATCTATAACTTCAAATCAGAACCCGAAGAAAACCCAAGAGAAACCAGACGCACGTAACCGACAGTGATAGGCTGGACGATAGTCGAAACCAAATCAATCATGACGATAAACCGCATGGAGAAACAACAGAAACCACAAAGCTGCTCCAAGAACATCAGCTCTCCAAGGTTGTGAACTGTCGAGTTAATCCAGCGACGACGCTGAGAGAGTAGAATCTGCCAGTCATCAGGCGCTACGGTAAATGCATGGGCGTCGCGAACGAATTGGGTCTTGTACATCGGGAAGTGCTGCAGGAGGAGCGTGGTCAGGTATCGATCTTCTCCGAGATGCAACAAGTTCTTCATGTGCAGGGTATCGACGCGGTTCTGCGAGTAGTCCTGGACCATCTGGTTGGATATCAAAAGTGGTTTATGGGTATCGGGAGTCCGCAAACGATATAGGGTGAAACAACCAGGCAAACAGGTAACAGATCCGAACAAACTCTCGAAAGCCTTGGCCATGTGGTGCGAGATGAAGTATTCATAGACCTAGACATCTATTAGAATTTCCAACCACTTCACAAATATAAAACAAACTTGCCTGCATCATGGTGATAATTGACTGCTTCGCGTTTGCTAGCTCAGTCTCACCACAAACACCAAGCACCTTCTTGTCATGAACACACCTACAGAAAAAACATCAACTCCAATTCCCATAGTGACGGACACCGACTTACGCAGAGATCAACCGGTTGACAGAATAAGGCTCCACCGTCGTATCAGCATCGACCGTAAACAGGTACTCAAAGAACGTCGGGTTGACACCAATCACATTTTTGATCTGGTGGTACATCTCCAGTTCGAGCGGGTTCATAGGCGTACTGAAATGAACCTACGCAGCTCAAGTGTAAGCGCCATTTCCCATCATTTTACGAAAGACCATCACCTTGTTCAAGAAATGCATGATCACCATCTGAGAATCACGCTTGCCACGGTTACCAGGCCGCGAACGCTCAGACGGCTTGCCTATTTTCACCACGACCAAGTAAGGAACGACATGCCCAGCGCACTCGTACAGACCAGAGTAGACCTTGCCCATGTTATGCTGCCTCGCACCCTCGCCCAACGAGACGAAACTGAGCGGCTCAGGGTCGAGATTAGGATCAGCTCCAAGGATGTCAAGCACGATGCGCGGCTGTGGGACGGTCATTCCCAGAACCAACGATATTCCCATCACAGATAACAAGAATGAGTTTCCGCTTGTCGTCATATTTGAGCTGCGCCAGCGAGTCGATGGTCTTCCGCAATGAAGTCTCGCCCTCTGTATAACAAGGAACCTGGCAAATAACGAACTTGTCATGGTCTTCAGGCGCACGAGGAGAAGCAAAGTTGATGGAAGCGATGAACTTGAATCCGATGATGCTGACCATCAAAATCGACAGTGCGAGCAAGATACCCTCCGCGAACTGGCACTGTGGCGAATCACGGTTGTCCACCATACCGTACAAAAACAAGTTGCGGAGACAGGTACGTTGACTCTCCAGCGTAGCACTATCAAGATTGAGAGAATCGAATTGCTTTGTCAGATCCTGCCCTGAGTTGTACTTGAAAAGGTCGACGACGGATGTGTCCATGAATTGATCGTTGGTGCCCGCAGGAACCTGCTCGCCATATGGAGCTTCGACGGCAGGTCCGTAGTTGACGTAGGACGTGAGGTCGTAAATCAAACCGTTGTAGATACCGAGTGAATTGCCAGAGCTGGCCAAGTTGCTGATTTCCTGTGGCGTGTAACCCATGTATCCGACGCGATTGTTCCATCGCATGATGGTCATACTCTCAAAGTACCAATCTGGACGGGAATCATTGGTGAAGGCGCGGAAGTCGTGATAAACAGCATTCGGATCGGTGTCGTTGGCAGAGCTAAGAGTCACGTAGGGGCTGACGGAGCCACTCACGCCGTTACACAATGCAGAGACCTGAAGACTGGTTAGAAAGAATCAACTCGTGAACAAATCCTACTGACCTGAACAGGGAAGATTGCATCTGATGCAGTACCGCCATACGTCTGAAGGATCGTCTTGACAGGCACAACACTAACAACGCGCTGATGCGTGGACGCAACAGTCGTAAGATCAAACACCTCCCCCCGAATCGACGTATACACATTATTTGGTGAAGCCGTATACGAATGCGACGCCAATTCCGAAGTGCTGAAAACATGCTCCGTGGGGCAAATAATCTCGCCCAGGAAGACGATGACGAAAACAGCGCATGAACAGAAGAACCAAATGATGAAATTGATTGCGAGCTTTTCTCTCCATGCTTGTCGGACATCTTCACGCTTCATTCGGCCAATCCATTTAAGGAAGATAGAGGGCATCCACCATGTCAAAGCCCAGCACATCCCGACCCAACGACGACGCGCAGAAGATTCCTTAAGCACTTCAGTCGTCTCGCCATCTCCGATCTCACCAGGCAGTGCTTCTTTCACCATGAGACCCTCCTTGTCCGCGTTCTGGAACATGTTGCGAGAGGGCGCATAGGACTCAGTACCGTAGTTGGAGTTTGACTCGTCTCGGTTACTCGTGAGGCGGCTGCGATTGTCAAAGTCGTCGCTGCGGAAAGACTTGCGCTCGTCGTACTCGTCATCGTACAGTTCAGCGCGGTGGAAGGGGGACGCGTTGGAGACAAGAGGAAGAGCAGGGTCCGAGAAGGCATTGACGAACGGCGACTCCTCGCCATTATTAGCACCAGGCGAAGAGTAGGGAGCATAGGGGTCGCCGAAGCCACGGGCATCAAGTCCAGCCTCAGCCTCAGCATCACGAACACGGTTGCGCTTCTGTTCCTCAACATCCGATGCACGAATACGGTCCTCGAGCGAGTGGAACGCCATTTGTGATAGGAAGACCTACAAAGACGTTTAACACGTCTCAGCTACGTTTTCAATTCACTTGCCTTGTATTGCCCAAGGACAACGTCTCGCTCCTTCAACGATAGCGCAGTCCGCGTCTGCTCAACACGCTCCCTCGGACTTCCCTCCGAAATGCCCAAAGCTGAAATCGGATCCCTATACCGCTGACAAAACTCCTCTGGTGTCATCCCCACCTCAAACACATTCGCGTTGCGCTTCGCAACCTCCGTCATGCCCAGACTTCGCACCTGGCCCTTGACAGAACGACCCTCAAGCTGGTTGGGCAGCTGCGAATCATTCGGGTTGATGCAGAACACGTACCAGTTCTGCGTGTCCCCTAGAGTCTCGAAGAGGGTGTCGAGCGCGGAACGGAACTCGCCTGCGACGCAGGGTGTGCCGCTTCCGGCAGATGCCGTGATATCGTCGTCGTCTCGATCCTGTTCTTCAACACCGTTTTCCCGCAGGGTGGGCATGCGCTTGATTGTGCCCTTGCGGCGGGTAGAAGGGGCACGCATAGGTTTGACAGGCTGCTGGGCAGCGACAATGGTGTCTTCATTTTTGGGGTGGGCTTGTGTTGCAATAGCCTTGCCCGAGAAGAGGCCTTTGACGAAGGGGTTCATTGACCCAGCACCCTCTGCGCCATCAGATATCCCCAAAGCTGAGCCACGAAGAAGAGAGACGAAATCAGGGTTAAGAGCATCGAGGTTACGGTCCAAGAAGCCCTCAGCGGAGTAGGTAACAGGGCCGTTGAAGTGATTGACGGTGAAGGTGGGGAAACCAGAACGATCTATGGCACCGACTTTGAACGACGAGTGGTTGCCCCAACGCTTGCCAAAGGCTTCCACCATCGAGTGATCAGTCTTCTTATGCGAGCGGCGAGCCTGGTCATCCATGATGTGGATAAGACCACCCGGCTTGTTTTGAAGCAGCCGCACGCACTCAGCGTTGTCGAAGTAGGCGACAGTGGGGATGAAACGTGAGATACCCTCGTTCTGGTATTCATCTACGTGAGCCTCGAAGATACGTCTCTGGACGAAGTTTTGCAGGCGCTCATTGGCAAAGTTGACACAGAACTGATCAAGGGAGTTGGGGCGACTGGTCATGTTCTGTGGCCCGGGGAGATCAAAAAGGCCGATGAATGTGTCAAAGTCTTCGCGGCACAGCCGCTGGTTGATATGCTCGTTCAACCATGCGAAGAGAAGGGAATATAGCGTTTTTGCGAGGTCGTCTCGGTTATCAGATGCACCATCGGGGTCAAGGAAAACAGTGCAGAGCTCCTTCTTCACAAGCTTGGTCTTGTAGGACATTGCCCCCTCCAAAGCGCCCACTTGGACACCCAAGAATTCGGCAACAATGCCAAGAACGTCTGTGTTGCGCACGACAGCAGCGTCAACGTCACGACCACGGTCAATGGTGAACTCAAGGTTGCCAAGGTGAAGAATGGCAGCGAGAAGCTGGCAAGTCTGAGCGACGTGTCGCTTGGACAAGCCGATTGTCTTGAGAGCGACCTTCAGCTGCTCAAAGCGGTTGGCGTCATCATCCCGAACGCCGTTTTGGCGTGCTGGGATAGCACCACGCTGACCAAGATAACGGTACTGAATTTTATCCAAGAGGTGGAGGTGCTGGCGCTCTTCCTGAGTTGCACCTGCCACGAGGTAGTAGAAGATGTGGAAGTTACGCTCTCCGGATGGCACGGAAGATACGCGGTTGCGCTCGAGGTAATAGTCGAGGGTCTTTACACCGGAGAGGCGGCCACGGTCAGTGAACTGCAACTCTGTGTATTTACCGAAGCGAGAAGCATTCGGATTGAACAAAGTGCGGGCGTTACCAAAGGACTCGATGACAAACTCTGCGGCGGGTAATTGGGTAGCGAGTTTGGAGCCTTTCTTTCCTGGATTGGAGACGGAAAGTTCAAGAATGGTCTTTATGGCGAGTCTGCGGTTCTCTGATTTTCCGCTGCCAGTCTCGCCACTAGAATGAAAGCGGTGTTATTTTAGATGATGCAACGCATGTATTGATTGGGGTTACTGACCTGATGAGAATAGACTGGTCCTGGGTAGTTCGTTTCATGTGGTAATAGGCATTATTTGCAAGCTGAAAAATATGAGGAGACATTGGAGACTTGTTTTCCGATGTGTCACGATAGTCTGAGGCATATTTTTGGAGGACAGAGTCGGCGTTGGAAGAGACATACTTGTGGGGGTTCACGGCGACGAGGGAATTGGTACCGATATTGGTATAAATTGATTCAGACATGAAACGCTCACGAAGACATGAGACAATGAGATCGTCTGATATGGAAGACAAGCCAGAGAGGTCGTTGGCGGCCTCAAGCCTCTGGTGGACTGACATGCCAGCAGACTGGCGGCTCATGGCGAGTGCGTTGTTAGCCAATTACCCTGCTAAAGAAGAAAGTGAGAAGAATTGGGTAGGAAGGAAAGGAAAGAGATGCTCTGGCAGACGCAGAGAAGACGATGATGGATGGAGCAGGGAAAGAAGCGAGTGAGACCCGTTGAACGGTTGTAACTGAGCAAAAGGGAAACTGTCCTAATTTCAGCTAGCCTATGGTTTCCGGTTTTCTCACGACGGGCATCGCTCGACACCTGGCATCACACAGACTAGAATAATTGCTTCAAAGTCGTCGTCGTGGGTAGTGAACTAATAATCGTCGCAGCAGGTAAGCCTAAAGCATGAAAATATTTGATTGAAGTCTTCGTTAAACCAAGTTTGTGTAACAGATACCAGGTCAAGAGGAACTCGGAGACAAACAGCAGTGACTAATACTTAGCAGATCCTCGCCATTCCATCCTCAGTCTCCGTACTAGCCCTCTGCAGAACACTGGGCTTCCTCCCTTTTCCAGCTCTCGCAGCTGCAGCACGCATGCGCTTATGTTCCTGTTCAACGCGCAGTGCATGGGACTTTGTCACATCTCGAGCCAGTGCAGGAGGAATCCCACCCCTCGGCGGTTGCGCGTACCCACAAGACACCCGCGACTTGGCTTTACGGTCTCTGCTCTTGCTCTTCGCTCCTGTGCGTTGAGTTGAGGCGAGTACGACTCGTGTTCGTGGAGGCTGCGCAGGGGGATGTGCCGATGACTTTGATGTGGCTCTCACGTCTGTAGGCCGTGTGGCTGGGTATGTTTGGACATGCACCGGTTCATCAGATGCCCGGGGAACGCGGTGTAAAACTGAATTTGAAATTGGTGAAGAGCACAGATCCTCATGACCGACTTCGATGTCTTCGCAACCACTGGGAGGTATCCATCCAAGCATCGGAGAGGCATTCGACTGCACGGGTGAATGTGGCTGAGTGATCTCTTCCTCATGTTCATCAAAGTAGTTGAGGTAAACATCCATATCCTCGAAGGACGCTAGCGGTGGCTTCTTGATAAGCGTTTCCTTCACGATGTACAAAACACTTACCTGCAGGCTCATCCCAGCTTGACACCTCTCTCCCAGTGCAGTCCCACGATGGTGCAGAAACATTGTCCTTGCTCTCTTCTACCGTTGCTTGGCCCGGAACAACTCCAGGATTGGGGCACAAGATGTGCGCGAGGGACATCACGTTCGGCCGACGCAAGGGTATAGGCTGTACGATTGCATGCGCTACATCTTCTGTCATGGCCTTCCTCTCGTTGGCCTCATACTCTCTCACGATCTCTACCAGTTCATCGAAGCTCGAGGAGGAAGCGGGATGCGTTGGCGGAAGTGTAGTATGAAACGGTCTCGAAGCTAAAAGAGTGGAAGGGTTTAAGGAGTGCATGGTATAGAAGTGCTAATCGCTGAAGAGAAGAATACTGGAACCAAAGCCCAATACGATAGACTTTAGCATAACTCGTCAATGTCAGCCCAACGTCAGCCGAACGATATCACAGTGTTGCCCTTGCTGAACAATATTATATATGGTCATATCTGGGTCTACATCAAGGCCTTGTAGTCTAGAGGTACGATACTTGCTTTGGGTGATCACAAGTGCAAGTGGCCTGGGTTCGATTCCCAGCAAGGCCCAGATCTTTTTCACATTTTGTTCTCCATGCTCAGCCGCATAACTAGGTGTCGGCGTTGCCGACTTAATACCTTGCGAAGCATTTTTTCCGGGATAACTGTTTACATACACTTGTTTCTGCTGTCTTTTCCTTGTATTGTGTTTTTCTCTCTCTTTCTGTTGTCAAATGACGCAGTTCGCAGATTCTGGAAGTCTATATTCGCATCAGTCCTTGTAATTTGTTTTGGACCAATAAATCACGTGTATATTTTGTCTTATTTAGTACCACTCCATCGAAGATAGAACCTTGCTCTGCAAGGTAATCAACAAGGCAAAACAAGATCGTAACCTGTGTCGAGTTTGTCGCTATCTCGTTTCTCAGCTGGGTTCTGTTTCGTCGTTTCGGCAGACATATTTGTATTTATATATCTCGGAGTGTCGATGTATTTTTATTTTTATTGATTTCAAGGCTGGTAAATTTGATTGGGTTTCAATTGGGAAAAGATTACGTGTTTGTTTGGTCTCGCTTGCCATTACATATTATATCACGCTCCTTGCTCCGCAAGGTAATTAATTAGGTGGGTGGTATGCAGTTGCTTTTAGATAGTTCACTGTTTACTATTTCTATCCAGCCTATGTTTTCCCATTTTGTTAGGTGCTCACGATGTTCTACTAGCGTATGCCATGAAGGTTCCCAGAAACTTTGTCAAGCAAGATAACTATAACTTGATAAAGTCTTTTTTTTCATTGGCCGGAGGTCAGGTCATTAAGTATTGTCCTGAGAATCCGCTCGGCATCCGAGTCCAGTTCTATCGACGGCTTGCCTCATAGACGGGTTGGTCACGAGTCCAGAGGACCCGTGTTACCGTATGAATTGGGTGTTGGATAACTAGTAGAGTGCCAGACATCATAAGACGTTGGACACTCCCACACGCACGGCTCATAAGACCAATTCAGACACATGTTCTACGTCGATGACGCATCTAATTTTCATTCCTACTATCTTGTTCCAGCCCACTTGACATCATGATGGAAACCTTCATCACGAACGCCAACTATGCCGCTGGTGTCGTCGCAGTTATAGTGTTACTTGTCGTGTTATACAACACATCCCCCTTAGCAGGTAGGAAGGGCATCCGTCTTCCACCTGGACCTCCCGCTCGTTGGTTCTGGAGCAACGCTTTGCCTGCTGTGAAGTGAGTTTTGGCATCCTTATTAGAGATATCAGAAGCTGATGCAGATCATCCGCTCAGCATTGCCCATGCACTGGCCGATTTAGTTCGAGAGTATGGGCCGATTGTGTCGTTCCGACAAGGTAGCCAAGTGATAATTGTAATTGGCGGCATTGAGGTATACTGCCCATACCTTGAGCTTCCTCCGACAATGACCAGACCTCGGCCCCTTTACCAGGCAGCCACAGACATCATGGAGAAAGAGGGTGGGTCACTGGTAGATCGACCTCGGTCCATTGCTGCGGGTGAGATGCTCTCAAATGGAATGCGCATAGTCCTGGCTCGTTCCGGAGTTCAATTCCGGCGCCTTCGAAAAGCAGCACATACCCATTTACAGCCAAAGGCAGCAGAGGCATACAAAGATATACAGCGCAAGCACGCGATGGATTTTATACTGGACATGCTGAATGACCCGAAGAACCACCAGGAGCACGCACATCGGTACGTCACTACCAAGGCCTTTTGTGATCATTTTATACGTAGGGTATCTCAAGGTATGCAGCATCAGTCATTCTTCGGGTGACTTATGGAAAGTCTGCGCCTACTGCCAACACCGATCCCGAAGTTGTCCGTATCCGCAGAGCTGTTGAACATTTTCAGGCTACAATTCGCCCAGGAGCTAATCTCGTCGATCGTGTGCCCCTTTTGCGCTACTTGCCTGGTTACGGAAAACAACTGGATGAGTGGCATCGTGAGGAGCTAGAGCTATACAGGCATCAACTAAGACGCGTCAAGAGTGAATTGGTGAGGAGCTCTATTTCGAAAAACGTATGTCACTTATGTCATGTTGTACCCAGGATCAAAACATAGCTGGCTCCTCTTTCGTCAAGACACTGTTGGAGAACATAGAAGGACACCAACTCTCTACAGACGAGATGTCGTATCTCGCTGGATCAATCTTTATGGCGGGATCTGATACGGCAAGTCATGCAACTTATTAATCTCCGCGACCTTACTCATTTTTGGTCCAGACTGCTGTTGGAATAACCGCTATTATCATGGCTGCGGCGTGTCATCCACTGGCTCAGGCAAAGGTGCATGAAGAGCTCGATATGGTCATCGGGTCAGACAGAGGTAAAGGGTTACAAAGAGTTTGATTTCTCGATTCATTTTCCATGGTAGCGCCGACATTTCAAGACTCAAGCTCGCTCCCTCAATTGCACGCGTTCTTGTTGGAAGCTTTGAGATGGAGACCTATCGTTCGTATAGGTAAGTTTTAAATTCGGCCCCCTCCTGCACGATGCTGACATGCATCTCAGGATTTCCCCACCGTGCAACTAAGGATATTTTTTGGGTTAGTGTGTTAATTTCATTGTGATCCACGTTGTCATTCTAGTCTGTGCGATCAGAAAGGATACTGCATCCCCGAGGGTGCAATAGTCTATGGGTGCCATTGGTAAGGTGTTGTTTCACAATGTACATCGCTTCATTAAGCGCACGTTTTCAGGGCTCTTTCTCGCGATCCTATCGCCTTCCCAGATCCCGATATATTCAATCCCCAGCGTTGGCTTGATTCAGAAGGACGCCTTCAGGACAGTATGAAGTTCATCGTATATGGCTTTGGTAGACGGTAAGTCGCCTACATCGTTTTTTGACATCGATCAATCAGGTTCACGTGTCATTGAAAGTGTATGTCCCGGCCTGCACCTAGCAAACCACTCATTGTACATTACCCTCGCACTTCTCTTGTGGTCTTTCCGCATTGCTCAACGACCTGACGCCCCGATCAACACGCACGCTTTCAGTGACGTGATTATTTCCCATTCAGCGCCATTTGAAATTGATGTTATTCCCCGGATGGAAGTTGCGAAGCTGAGAGAAATGATGACGACCAATGGGCGTATGGATTGAAGATATCATGTAGGAATTTGTCTCCGATGCCCCCACTTTTTTTGAGGACCCCGTCTCCAGGAAATTTACTCCTTCAAAAATCTATAACCATTGTTCATCAATCTGCTCGGCATCATCATTTCATGACCCAGGGCTTGCAGTAGGAATCAAGTAGGAATTCCTTCGGTCTATCTATGTACCATGTCTTCAATAGTCTACCATATGTAAGGAAACGGTGGGAAGCAACTCCCATGTGCGAACCGCACCTGCAGAGCGAACATCCACACACATGTAACTTAAATATCTTGAGTGTATGCGGCACTTGAATTAGCGCTCAGGCCTCCTCCACTAACGTGGGAGTAGTTAGCCTCTTGGTAATGTGGGGATCCCGTTTACAGGGGCTTGTCTGAACTTCGAGCACGTACGGATGAATTGACTGTTGAATTTAGTGGGGAAAGCGCAGCATGCGCTCGAATGTGCTGGGCATCTTCAAGATCATCATTATCAAGATCAAGTCATCAACTCACTAAGAGAAATCAGCGACGGTTGAGAATATCAGTTGACATATTGATGAACATAATCATGATGGACATTATGAGTGATGTGCAGCCCGGCTTCAAGCTGTGAGCCGGCCCAAGCCCATTCCCTACCGTCCTGCACCATGACTCTGCTCTTTTATCCAGCGTAACAATCCTTTCGTCGAATAAATTCACGATCTTTACAATCATCGCCGAGTGGTCATATGTATTCCTTCGTCTATGATATGTCCCAACTTCAGCAAGGCGGAGGGAATAGACACTGCACATGGCTGCACATCTTGGTGAGATCCATACAATTATAATGTCACCATGATGCCAGTGATCTCTCAAGTTATTCCATGCCACAGAAGACGAGTATTCTTTTTCAAGGCCTTGCCTCAACGATGCGATCTCGACTATAACGGTAAATAGGGTCTACATTATCTGAACGTGAATGTAGGACTACCTTGTGTTACCACGACTAGGCGTCTAGAATTCCAAGGATAAATTTTTGACCTGCATGTCAATTTCTTTCGGTGATTTAGCAACACAACTTACTCTCAACACCATCGCTACTTCGAACGATGGGGACGAATCAAAATCCAGTCTAGTTCCGGTTCATGCATTAGCCTAGGATGATATCCGCGGCTTTCCGAAATCCTTTCGACATCGAGGCATCCTGCAAGCGTCTCCGAAGACCCTGTACCTCCCTCCTTATGTATTTTCATTCGCTAGGAACGCGAGAGCAACGACAGAGGTAGGAAGGAGGGTGAGTGATGCAAGAGGAAGATGGGACAATATTACTGGAGATGAGGGGATGGAGGATAACGGGGGCGGGGAGGAGGACAACAGGAGGGGAGGGGAGGGCCTGATTGTAAGGACTGCTTGAGTTGCTAAGTGAAATATGATTGTCCTGTTGATTAAGATTTCGAAGAAGGCGCATGATAGCAAAGAAAGAATAATCGAATTATATCTCGACTTTCATCTCAAATAGCAGGTCGATAGAGAGATAACTTGAGACGCCGAAAGTAGAAGTTCTAGGTGATATAGGGCACGGCCTATAATCATCGACAGAAGATGAAATAATGTTTACTAGAGTATTTGCTGGAAGCCTTATGTAACAAATTAATGTTGGTGTCTACGCATGATCCTACCCTACTTGTTTCCCACTCATCGTTACAGTATATCATAGCGGTCCTGGTCTGCTTGCTGAGGATGGACACGCTAGTGGTCAATAACAATGGTGGGCAAGATCAACAACCGATGCGGAAATGAGCCCACTTTCCATTCCACGGGATCACCTTCACTTCAAGTTGTAGTAAAAATGACAGCAGTAGCGCCCAAACTATTTACTTTCCCATCCATCCATTGCTTCTTCCTCCACCTATGTCCACTACAGCACGTAGCATGCACAGCACATCCCCACGATCCAGTCCCGCACATGCCGATACCGACCTCCCGACCAACGAGTGAGTGGAAAGTTAAACTGAGCTGACCATAAATTTATGGACGCACAGGAATGCGATCGATGCGAATGCAGTGACCGAGAAACCTGATATGTCCATCAAGACGGTCGACTTTCATGAGAATATGTGAATGTCGAATGATCAGCACGATCATCATATACTTGACTGACTCTATTGTCTCAAAGGTCAAGCACGTCGGAGCAGGCCCCGGACAATGGGATCGAGCCGAATAACACGAACGAGAATCCAGCGGTGTCCATCGAAGGAAGCCTGGCTAAGAATATGTGAATGTCAACTCATCAGCACAGTACACTTGACGTCTAACCATATTTTCTCAAAGGTCAGACACGCTGGGGCACATTCTCGATGTCCTTAAAGGGTCAACGATCGCTGAAGAACGCGGAAAAGATGACAATTCAAAGTTTTGGGCGACGTACAAGAAAGTTTCGACTGAGTACGACGACGACTTCCTCGGGCGGGCCAATGACGATATGGGCATTATTCTGACATTTGTGCGTTTCTTTCTACGTCTCTCAGTGCAAGTCTCACGGTCGTATTAGGCTGGTCTATTCTCCGCTGTCAACTCCACCTTCATCGTCGGGATGCAGCCTGATCCAGGCGACACTACCAATGTCCTCCTCCTCTATCTAATTCAGATGACTGTCAACGGCCCAAATTCCGTACCTGACATCAGCACTCTTTCCTCATCTACGGGATATTCCTCTTCGACTGTGTGGGTACAAACACTTGCCTACGCTAGTCTCTCATTTAGCGTCTTGGCCGCGTTCGGGGCTGTCTTGGGCAAACAATGGCTGAACTCCTACAAGTCAGCTCGAGGACGAGGGACGCTCGAAGAGCGCGGAATAAAGAGGCAGATGAAGCTAGACGGAGTAGAATATTTTCACCTGCAGACCGTCTTGCAAGCATTTCTGGTACTACTCCAGATTTCGCTCCTACTCTTCGGCCTCTCGCTAAGCGCCAACATGTGGGCCCGGCAAACCACGATATCCAGCATCATCATCTGCACTACAGCTTTCGGCGTCCTCTTCTACGTGGGCACTATCCTCGTGTCGGCATTGCATTCGGACGGTCCTTTCCAGGTACCAGGGCCAGGGTTATTTACGGCTATCTGCAAAAAAATTCTTCCAAACAAATCTCGTCTCACATTCGGCAAATCGTCTGCCATTCGCTGGATACTAGAGACATCGACGAACCCGGAAATCGTTGAGGCTGCGGCTGCGATTGTACCTTGCGTGCAATGGTCCCCGAATCTTGATGCTTCAGCGGCCTTCGCACGTTTACGGGATAATTTTCAGGCGTGTCAGGACAGAGATGAGCTATATGTGAAGTATGGCAAAGCCATGGCCCATCTTTGCATCCAGCCGGTGAAAATCGATTGGATTCTTCATTCTTTTGGGAATGATAAATTTCGGTCAACCCGAAGTCGTTTCATTCGTGATGCGTTCATGGCTGGACGTGCCGCCTACGATCAGCTCAAGAATACTGAGAAGAATACGCAGAAGGACACGCAGAAACAAAACGCTCTACAGAATTATCGGGCCAGTGCACGCACTGCTCTGAGAACAATCGTTGTCCACGGACGGTACGATCGACTTTCACGTCCGGACGATGCATGTTTGATTTGGGAAGCTAATCTGCGCTGGTATCACGGCGACAAGCGTGAGCCCAGCTGTGAAGAATTTGATTGGCTCGTTGATTACGTGAGGGATGCAGAGGACAGCAAAGACGATGAAACGAAAGGTGACGCTTTGCTCGCACTGAGCGCTATGCGTGGACTAGGGAGCTCTGCCAAACGATGGTCCTACGTTAGCTCGCTTATCCGCTGTATACACTCCACCAGACGTCTCCGAGTCCAGCATGCCGCGCTTAGAGCTGCTTTTGAAGCTCGAGAAGAACTAGCTTCTATAGCCGGTGCCTCAATGCCGCATGATGTCGATGCGCAGCTTCTGAACAAACTTTCCCGCGCTCTTTTAACTGCTGTAACAAATGGCGACCAGCTTGACACTGGACCCAGCGCTACTACTCTCTACCAAAATCGAGACTATTATTACCTCCGCCTCATCTATGCCCTGACAAAGAACGACGAGTGGTGTCAACGTCTGACCCGTGATGGTCATCGCGAGCAGTGCATTTCTCTAATCAAAGGACCCAGTTATGATCATGCGGTAGATGTATTCTACCTTCTTGTGATCTTCGGGCGCATCAAGTTCTCAGGCGAGGATTTTCTTTTCGATCCTGCCAATGAGAGGTGGCGGCTGCTCCTCACAGAAACATGGGAGTTCGTACAATATAACACAATAGGCGACGACGATGTCGATGGAATACCAGTCATTGTGACAGCGACGAGGTTGAATTTTCCAGCCTCGGATAATAGTATTCCGGTGAAGTGGTTGGTAGATCTCGCTGCAAAAGTGCATCAAGCTTCGGTCAGATTGCAGCAGAACCAAGCGTACTATATAGATCGTGGTATAGCTCAGGCTGCAATTGACGTTGCACTATCCTCTACGCAGGGCTTGGACGACGAACTGAGTCGTATGGTCGAGCAACGGAATACATCGCAAAGGGACGATAGAGCTTCCGGATCATGAAGGACATACCAGCGTCAGTAGTCAAGTATTTTGGTACACACGTTGCAGTTCATTCCTATGCATAGATCGGCGCCTGAAGGCCTGATCCATGAGATGGATGACATTTACATAACTGTAGTAATTTTTTACTTACTTTGTGCATACCATGATTGTAGTCCTGCTCTGTCTGTCAAGAAGTCGGCGACTTGCGTTTTAATCTTCTCCAGCGGCAAATCGAGTTGAACTACACGTCGAGGGGAGGGCAGACTTCCATTCGGGTGTCAGAAATATCATGGACAAATACACCTCAGTTTCTCACTACTCAACACGGACTTTCTTCCTACACTCTGGCTATGACGAAGGACAGTGTGTATGTATGGTTGTTGTAACATGACTTGGTCAGGACTGGGTCGGGTAGTAATCATCTGAGTTAAATAGCCCACGACTTGCTACTGGGTCTGGGCGGTACAGAGCAATAAAATGTCCAAGTGTTGGCAGTATGAACAGTATGACAACACCCATCAATACTCGTAGTTAAAGTCAATCCACGCTGGTGTACCAGCAAACACTGACTCCAATGTGAAGTTTTCATTCACCTGCGCGTCGTTCAAGATAAATTCTTGGGGTACACGTTTTGACGTGTCCCCTCCAGGACCTGCGAGTGACATAAGGATCCGATACTGGCAGCATAAGGCACGAGGCTTACCAAACGAATTATACTCTGCGAAATATGTGGTTTTTGGAACAGACGTTCTGTCATAAGCAAGTTAGCGATTGGTATCATTATTTTGCAATGGTGCTTACTCTCTGGACCAGGGTCTGAAACCCGCAGGATGAATGCTCTCATCCATGTATGTACGCAAATATACGGCGACAGCCAGGGTATTCCACGGGCGTCCTACATAGAAAAGAAAGTGAAGCTTAGTGTTATAATTAAAGTGTGTTCTCCATTTCTAGCTTACCGAGGTAGCATCTACCATCAGTCACGGTGGTGATATTTGCTTCTGGGGACTGAATAGTGAAGTTAAATCAAGTAATCACCAGAAAAATTTCTGACCCGAATGATTTTCGAATCGGCGATGAATGCCCCATTCCTGGTGCCTTCTGTGCTTGACCATGCTGTGATACCACCACCACAAGCTCGATTGGCCAAAGTCACGTTTTGGAACCAGCTATTCCAATTAGTTACTCAGGGAATTTATACATACATTGATGCATCCTTACGCAGTGCCAAATCCGAAAAGATCTTGCCAAGATGTCAGCAACCGCAACCCACATGAATCGAGGCCACATGACTCACAATCAGTTTGACCGTATATTATGCTGTCAGTAGCATATGAATATGCGCCGGGGCCGGTGTACCACGTATCCTGCCAGCTAGCAAAAGTACAGCCATAGAAGGAAGCATTTGCAGAGCTGAAGGAGACGGCGAGAGCTTGAGAAATCGAGTAATTGGCCTGAATCGCTGAGATTGTACGGATGTGAGTAAGAAAGACGTCGAAACTTACAGCACGATTTTCGAAGTTGATATTATACGCTTTGAAGTCAGTGTTACCGAACATCTGCCCATGGGGTGCGACAGTGAGAGTTGCAGTCTCCTCGTCGGTCATCCCACCGTGGACATATAAATTGTTCCAAATGTGAACAAGGTTGCGCTGAGAAGCATTCCCCGCTGGGTCGCGAGCAGTGTCAGAATCAAGTTGACCCTATACAAAGATGTCTCGGCAATTGAACTTCACGGATAAAATGACAAATACCAGAAGAGTGAGCGGCGCGGATCGCGCAACATTGACCATCTCAAAGTATTCTCCCGCTCCAATCAGGATTATTGCGTCGCCCGTCTCTGGCCTGTGCGAATATCAAGACATGAGACAAAGGAGAAATTCTGGCTGCTACCCACAGGGACTCCACAGCAGCCTGGACGGTCTTGAAACTTGCTCTGCTATCTATGGGCGACACAAATAGCGTTCCGTCTGGGCACCCAGTCAAGGGGGAGGTTTCTGCATTCTGTTGTAACTGGCATGCAGAATAGTCCGGGGAGAGGGCATGGACTTGCACACCCAAGCTAGCCAGAAATGCGTACAGCACTGCAAAGCGTGTCAAATATTGCCCCATCGGTGTGACACCTATGGGGGAGTAATGTTATATGCCTACCATCGCCCATCGCACTTATAAACTCTCATCAAGAAAATACCCACATCCATTTCCAAACCATGGGATGAGAAAAAGGCGGATCCTAGATGGTGATCATGCGAGGTAGACATGCCGAATCCAAGAAATTTAATAGACATTTGTCCGACAGAATCCCTACGCCGATGCAGCGTGGGAGAGCATCGAAGTCAAGATCTAAGCAGACTCATCACGAATGAATTGTTAACGAACTGGTCTCCCCAAGCCAAACCAACTGCGAATAGTCATTCCTTCGCATTAAGCCAACCCTGATGGCTTGAAGGACTGCCGTTACTTGGGCAGTGGAAATTTTGATGATGAGGTAGGACTCGTGATGGGGCGTGTGGATCGACCATCATGATCGCCGTCATGACAATGTATACTAACTTGAACACTGGACCATGCTTGCCATACCGCGGCATATGCTAAAAAGTGGGAAAACGTGATGGTACATCCAGCGTGATTTATTGTGACCGAATCGTTGACAACTGCTATCCCCGCCACCTACCGTGACGGTGGTACTGAGATCGGCGGCGACGAAGTTCGGATGTTCGAAAACACATGAGGATATCGGCAACGGAACGACCATAGAGCCATCCGTGATAATGTAAGCACTTTATGGTGCCTTCCTGTCGTGAAGGTGCTGTCACCTCATATATCATGGCAGGCTACGCCAACAAGAGTCAACCTCCTCACTCACAACTGTCTCCACACAGACTCGTGTACCATCAGTCTCTGAGCTGCAAAGCTCTTTCTTTTGCTCTATTGATACACCACAACAATGTCTCTTCCGAGATCGCGCCGCCCGACTCAGTAATGCTGATAAGTTCCCCTCGGTCATCTACGATAACCGTCAGCGTCACGTCCATCAGAGGCTCTTCGAATGCAGTGAGATCTGAGAGAATGTGCGATCTAGAAGTAGAGGATGGGTGCATAAATAACACGTATTTGATAAAGCGAGCAGAGAACGTACGTGTCTAACACTCCAAAAGACGTCGAAGCAAAATTTCGAGTCAATTGTACCGGCGATCGAGTTTTCCGCGCACACGTCGTGCGCCCAGTTTCTTCGTTGTGGGTGGCTTTAGGCAGCGTAGCTAGCTCGTGTCATCAATTATGCGGCATCCATCTAGCATGTTGAACTCACTATTTCTAAGCGCGCCCAACATGGCAAGCAGTGCAGCGTCAAACGCATTGCCATCATACGTGCAGTCCACATAAAGCGCCCAAACAGCTTTTCCGGGGTGAATGCACAATGAAGATAATGAAAGCGCGCCCGAGCTGTGTCGAGGAAGAAGAAAAGACATGAGTTCAAAGTTGAACAAACACATAGCAGCGATGACTTACGCGACGAGAGCTTCGTTCAGTCTATCAGATAGGACTTGGGCTTCTTCTGTTGGAGGACCTGGTTTGAATTTTGGAGAGCAGATTGCGGGCAAATCGATGTTGGGTACTGCGCAAATTCCGAACTAATTAGCTCCTACCGTTATGTGTAGAAGGAAGGAATGAAAGAATCACCTAAAAACCCTTGTTCAGGACGATCGAGCTCGGGCTCTGCAATTTCTGCCTTGACGCCGCAAACAATCGTAGTATCTCCCATGCGTACAAGAGCAGAGCCATCAGCCGTTGATATCGATCCTGCAGCGAGCATATCATGGCGTAAGCACTGAAAAGCCGGACAAATCGCGTACCGACATTCACAGAAACGTGACGGTGCGCCATTCATCAAACGTCCGTCCATTTGGTCTGATTTTCTCGGCGATAAACCTTTCAAGATAAACGCGAGGGTGTAATCTCTGGAAAATTTGAGCGCGGAGAGTTTCATCCTCTACGGAGGGATTCAGTGGGCCGGCATCAGGAAAACGTAATTCGTTACAGAGTGCTACAGAGCGCTCTGTAGCACAATTGAACCCGCTGACTCGGATGTGAGACGGATGAAGACATGAAGGAGTGCTACATACTATATCGATTTGGAAATTCCGGAACAGGTTACTGCGAGAACGTCTGAGAAATGGCCACTAGCTGGGGCTAGTCTAGGGCTTTGGCGGCTGACTTCGAACGGAATTTAAACGCTGCTCGACGGAGCTGATCCAAAAATTTAGCGCGCACTCATCGTGATGAGTGGTGTGTAGTTACGGTCTTATCATATCAATAAATTCTCAAATTTTGTCTGCTTAAGTCACTTGGTACGAAATATACAAATATATTATTACTTCTCCATGTATGAACTAATTTAAATCATGAATGTCACGATAGAGGACAGGCGAGGAGCACCGAGGAGCTCACATGCACATCAATGGGCGGGAGATATCGGGACACAAGATAGTTAGACATGGGTGTGCAAGAGTGCAGATCATGGCGGCAGGTACAAGGTGTAGGAGGGCTCATGTAAGACGAGACAAGAGCACGCGAGAGGTACTCGATGGTTCCATTAGTTATAAGGGGAAAATATTTGCAAGTACTTGAGAGGACGGGAGGTGCAGGAGAGCGGTAGCATGTGACAACAGGCGCGAGAAGTTGGCGAGAGGTGTTAGAAAATGGCAGGAGGGTGCAGCGGAAGTACCGTCCACTGAAATTAATATTAATGCAACGAAACAGCAGAAGAAACAAAAATAAAAAATAAATGTCATGGTTGGTGGCGGGTACAAAAACAGGGGTAGCCTGCGTTGACTAGTGTGGACAGTGCTAGTGAGAGTGGAGGGTGTACAATATTCGGAGCCGTAGGATAGTGGCTGTAACAGGTTGGGGGTCTTATTCAGATGTGGCGAATCCTGCGCAGATGTCGAACATAGTATTCGCTGAGTAACAATAAACTAGTTTTTTTTTTAAAAAAAAAGCAGGCGGGAGGGCGGGAAGCCAGTAAAAGCACGGCTGGCGGGAGGCGCGATGATGATGAGCACATCAATATTACAACTCCGCTCGAATGCAGCCAGCCCATTAGCTAACTAAAATCTATAACCATTGTTCATCAATCTGCTCGGCATCATCATTACATGACCCAGGGCTTGCAGTAGGAATGAAGTAGGAATTCTTTTCGTTCTATCTATGTACCATGTCTTCAATAGTCTACCCTATGTAAGGAAACGGTGGGAAGCAACTCCCACGTGGGAACCGCACCTGCAGAGCGAACATCCACACACATGTAACTTTTTTTGTTCTTTTTAAAACCCTGTTTTTTGTCCATTGAGAGTGATATTCTATGTAGGAGAGTGCTATCCAGTCTTCGAGCCCCGTGCTCCTATGCTCTCCACATGTAACTTAAATATCAGAAGAGCTCTCGAGTGTATGCGGCACCTGAATTGACGCTCAGTGGTGCAGGCTGTAATATGTATGGGTTTGGGCGCTCGAATAGGCAAATGCGCTTATGCAGCCATTATTCTGAGGCTAATATTGCAGTCAGCCTCTTGGTCATTGGTACTGTGAGGATCCCGTCCGCAAGGGGCTTTTCTGAACCTCGAGCACGTACAGACGAATTGACTGTTGGCTTTAGCGGGGAAATTACATCACTCACTCGAATGAGTTGGGCATCTTCAAGATCATGTATCGACATGAAACCATCAGCTCACCAAGAGAAATCAGTGACGGTCGATAATATTACTCGACATATTGATGAACAAATATACCTGGGTTTCTTACCACTCAACTATGGCCTTTCCTCCTGCACTCTGGCTGCGACGAAGAAGGACAGTGCACATGGACGGCTGTTGCAACATGACTGGGTCGGCCAATCATCTGAGTTAAATAGCTCACGACTCACGACTGAGTCTGGGTAGTACAGAGTAATAAAACGTTCAAGCGTCGGCAGTATGAACGGTATGAAACACCCATCAATACTCGTAGTTAAAGTCAATCCACGCTGGTGTACCAGCAAACACTGACTCCAATGTGAAGTTTGCGTTCACCTGCGCGGCGTTCAAGATAAATTCTTGGAGTACACGTTTCGACGTGTCCCCACCAGGACCTGCGAGCGACATAAGGATCCGACACTGGCAGCATAAGGCACGAGGCTTACCAAACGAATCATACTCTGCGAAATATGTGGTTTTTGGAATAGACGTTCTGTCATAAGCAAGTTAGCGATTGGAATCATTATTTTGCAATCGTGCTTACTCTCTGGACCAGGGTGTGAAACCCGCAGGGTGAATGCTCTCATCCATGTATGTACGCAAATATACGGCGACAGCCAGGGTATTCCACGGGCGTCCTACTATAAAGAAGAAAGGGCGAGCTTAGTATTATAGTCAAAGCATGTTTTCCATTTCTCGCTTACCGAGGTAGCATCGGCCATCAGTCACGGTAGTGATATTTGCGTCTGGAGACTGAGTAGCGAAAGAAAATAACAATTAAATCAAGGAATCACCAGAAAAAACACTGACCCGAATGATTTTCGAATCGGCGATGAATGCTCCATTCCTGGTGCCTTCTTTGCCCTGCCATGCTGTGATACCACCACCACAAGCTCGATTGGCCAAAATCACGTTTTGGAACCAGCTATTCCATTAGTTACTCAGGGAATTTATACATACATTGATGCATCCTTACGCAGTGCCAAATCCGAAAAGATCTTGCCAAGATGTCAGCAACCGCAACCCACATGAATCGAGGCCACATGGCTCACAATCAGTTTGACCGTATATTATGCTGTCAACAGCATATGAATATGCGCCGTGACCGGTGTACCACGTATCCTGCCAGCTTGCAAAGGTACACCCATAGAAGGAAACATTTGCAGAGCTGAAGGACCCGGCGAGAGCTTGAGAAATCGAGTAATTGGCCTGAATCACTGAGATTGTACGGATGTGAGCGTAAGAAAGACGTCGAAACTTACAGCGCGATTTTCGAAGTTGATATTATACGCTTTGAAGTCGGTGTTACCGAACTGCTGTCCGCGAGGACGTGCAACGGTAAGAGTCGCAGTCTCCTCGTCGGACATTCCGCCGTGGGCATGTAAATTGTTCCAAATGTGAACAAGGTTGCGCTGAGAAGCATTCCCCGCCGGGTCGTAAGCAGTGTCAGGATGAAGCTGGCCCTATACAAAAATGTCTCGGCAATTGAACTTCACGGATAAATTGACAAATACCAGAAGAGTGAGCGGCGCGGATCGCGTAACATTGACCATCTCAAAGTATTCTCCCGCTCCAATCAGGATTATTGCGTCGCCCGTCTCTGGTCTGTGCGAATATCAAGACATGAGACAAAGGAGAAATTCTGGCTGCTACCCACAGGGACTCCACAGCAGCCTGGACAGTTTTAAAACTTGCTCTGCTATCTGTGGGCGACACAAACAGCGTTCCATCTGGGCACCCAGTCAAGGGAGAGGTTTCCGCATTCTGTTGTAATTGGCATGCAGAATAGTCCGGGGAGAGGGCATGAATTTGCACACTCAAGCTAGCCAGAAATGCGTAAAGCACTGTAAAGTGTGCTAGATATTGCCCCATTGGTGTGATACCTAGGGGGGAGTAATGTTATGGACCTACCATCGCCCATCGCACTTATAAACTCTCATCAAGAAAATACCCACATTGATTTCCAAACCATGGGATGAGAAAAAGGCGGTGATCATGTGAGGTGGACATGCCGAATCCAAGAAATTCGATAGACAATTTGACGCCAAGCCGACTGACGGATAGTCATCTCTTGGTATTAATCCAAGCCTGATGTCTTGAAGGATCGCCGTTACTCGGGCGACGGAAAATTTGATGATGAGGTCGGACTCGTGGTGGACCGTGTGGATCGACCATCATGATCGCCGTTATGACAATGTATACTAACACTAGACCATGCCTGCCATACCGCGGTATATGCTAAAAAGCGGGAAAACGTTGTAGTAAGTGATGGTACATCCAGCGTGATGTATTGTGACCGAATCGTGAACAACTACTATCACCGCCAGGTACTGAGAATGCGGTGACGAAGTTCGGATGTTCGAAAACGCATGAGAATGTCGGCAATGGAACGACTATACATCCATAACAATTTAAGCGCTTTATGGTACCTTCCTGTTGTGAAGGTGCTGTTGCCTCATATATCATAGCAGGCTACGCCAACAAGAGTCAACCTCTTCACTCACAACTGTCTCTACACGGACTCGTGCACCATCAGTCTTTGAGCTGCAAGGCTCTTTCTTTCGCTCTATTGATACACCGCAACAACGTCTCTTCCGAGATCGCGCCGCCCGACTCAGTAGTGCTGATAAGCTCCCCTCGGTCATCTACGATAACCGTCAGCGTCACGTCCATCAGGGGCTCTTCGAACGCAGTGGGATCTGAGAGAACGTGTGATCTAGGAGTAGAGAATCAGTGCATAAATAACACGTCTTTGAAAGAGCCAGAAGAGAACGTACGTGTCTAACACTCCAAAAGACGTCGAAGCAAAATTTCGAGTCAATGGTACCGGCGATTGAGTTTTCCGCGAACACGTCGTGCGCCCAGTTTCTTCATTGTAGGTGGCTTTAGGCAGCGTAGCTAGCTCGCGTCATCAAATATGCGGTATCCCTCTAGCACGTTGAACTCACTATTTCTAAGCGCGCCCAACATGGCTAGCAGTGCCGCGTCGAACGCATTCCCATCATAATTTATACACGTGCAGTCCACATAAAGCGTCCAAACAGCTTTTCCGGGGTGAATGCACAATGAAGATAATGAAATCGCGCCCGAGCTGTGTCGAGGAAGAAGAAAAGACATGAGTTCAAAGTCGAACAAACACATAGCGCAATGACTTACGCGACGAGAGCTTCGTTCAGTCTATCAGATAGGACTTGGGCTTCTTCTGTTGGAGGACCTGGTTTGAATTTTGGAGAGCAGATTGCGGGCAAATCGATATTGGGTACTATGCAAATTCCGAACTAATTAGCTCCTACTGTTATGTGTAGAAGGAAGGAATGAAAGAATCACCTAAAAACCCTTGTTCAGGACGATCGAGCTCGGGCTCTGCGATTTCTGCCTTGACGCCGCAAACGATCGTAGTATCTCCCATGCGTACAAGAGCAGAGCCATCAGCCGTTGATATCGATCCTGCAGCGAGCACATCATGGCGTAAGCACTGAAAAGCCGGACAAATCGCGTACCGACATTCACAGAAACGGTGCGCCATTCATCAAACGTCCGTCCATCTGGTCTGATTTTCTCGGCGATAAACCTTTCGAGATAAACGCGAGGGTGTAATCTCTGGAAAATTTGAGCACGGAGAGTTTCATCCGTTATGGAGGAATTTGTGACGGATGAAGAAGACATGAAGGGGAGCTACATGTATCGATTTGGAAATTCCGGAACAGCCCACTACGTCTCGAGAACGTCTGGGAAATGGCCACTCTGGACTTAATATACGATTCTACGTAGACTCTGGCCCAGGGCCAGTCTGAGGCTTTGGCGGCTGGCTTCGAACGGAGTTTAAACGCTGCTCGACGGTGGTCCAAAACAGCGCGCGCTCGAGCTCGTCGTGACGCAAAGTTGATGAGTGGTGTGTAGTACGGTCTTATCATATCAATAAATTCTCAAATTCTGTCTGCTCAAGTCACGAAGAAATCTACAGATACAATGAATTTGAACTGCACTACGTATGGACTAATTTAAATCATGTATGTCATGATAGAGACAGGCGCGGGAGCACCGAGCTCACATGAGTGGGCGGGAGATGTCGGGGAACAAGACAGTTGAGAAATGAGCACGCGTACATGAGTGCAGATCATGTACAAGGCGTAGGAGGGCTCATATGCATGATGCATGCAAGACAGTACACTGGCAAGAACACGTGAGAGGAGGCGCTCGATGGTTCCATTAGTTATAGAAGGAAAAAGAAAAATACTTGATGCAAGTGAGAGGACGGCAAGGGGAGCAGTAGCATGTGACTCGGACAACGGGCGGACGCGAGGAATAGAGCTCGAGTGAGCTGCTCGGCTCGGAGCGGTGGGCGGGAGGCGTGAGGCGCGATGGTGATGTGCACATCGATATTGCAACTCCGCTCGAAGGCAGCCGCCCAATTCATTAGCTAGCGCCTATAGCAGTGGCTGACTTTCATGTCACTGCAGCTTCATTCTATTGCAATTGTACAACATGTAAATTCTTTGATAGTAACTACAGTACAAATGAGTAAATGAATGATTGTGGTAGTACTACAAATGCGTAGTCGTGAAATGTCATTTGCGCCCAGTCAAAAAGCAGAGAAAGAAAGAACAAACCACAGAATATAGAGCGAAAGTCGAAAATATAGTTATCACGGCAGTAAGTTATATCCGTTAGAAAATAAGAAAATCCAATGATAAAAAGAAACAAACACAGCAGCCAGCAAGCCTTTACTCGCTAACCCACTCTCCACCATTTGCAAGCCTGGCAAAAAGACCCTTGCCCTCCACGAGACTCTCATACGTGCCTTGCTCGCGCACCTGGCCATCCTCGATGACAAGGATACGATCGCACATCTTCATTACGGGCACCTTGTGTGTCACCATGATAGTAGTCCTCCCAACCTTCGCAGCCCGTATCGTCTCAAGGACAGCCGTCTGGTTGGCAGGATCAAGCGCTGAAGTACATTCGTCCAAAATCAGAATCTTGGCAGGTCGTCCAAGTGCGCGTGCGACTTGCAAACGCTGAGCTTGTCCACCTGAGATGAGAGATGCATTCTCGCCGATGAGTGTGTCATAGCCCTGTGGCAGTGACATCACGAATTCGTGGACGTTCGCTGCACGAGCGGCGCGCTCGACGTCTGCGTCGCTCATTCCGTTATCCTCGCCGACTCGTCCGTAGGCAATGTTTTCTCGGATGCTTGCGTCGAAGAGGTTGGGCGTTTGGCTGACGACGGCAACATGGTCGCGAAGATATTCGATATCCGTTGCACGGAGTTCATTGAGGCCCACTGAAATGGTGCCCGAAGTAGGCTCATAGAGACGTTGGAGGAGCGACGCTACAGTCGACTTGCCACATCCAGAAGTGCCTACAATCGCTACGCACTCTCCATCTGCAATGCGCACCGACATCTTGTTCAAGACAGAGACATCAGGGTTGGTGGGGTAAGAGAATGACACATCTTTGAAGACAAGATCGCCCTCGATCCTTGGACGGAGGATACCCTGAGACTCGGAGCTAGTCGTGTCTAGCTTGATGAGCTCATGGAGATCGTGCGTGGCCAGAACAGACTTGGCAATCTTTTGAGTGAAGGACATGAGTTGGGAGCCGATGGAGACGGTGAACACGACGAGGTTGAGGACTTGACACATCTGGAGGTATGTGTACGTGCCTTTGGCGATGAGCACAGCGCCAACATAGAAAAGAAGGGCCTCTGCCAAGTAGATGAGAGCGCTGGCAACACCATAAGAGCACCCCTCGACGAAGGCGCCGCGGATACCAGTGGATAGGCACTGCGAAGCAGCCTTGTCGAACTGAGCCTGAAGAACAGGCTCAAGAGACATAGCACGAATGCCACAGATATTGAGAATAGACTAGGAACAGATCAGGACGAGAGAGTATCAGGCAATGACAAAAACTTACCTCGTAGTACACCCTGGCAACCTCCTCGCGAGCCCGCTTATTGCGTACCTCGCATTTTCCCATAAGGTTGGTCTGAAGACCCATGACTCCAACAAACACAGGCCCAATAGCCAGCCCAACGAGTGTTAATTGCCACCCCCACGTCATCGCCCAGATAAAGCCGATCGTCATCATCGCGCCAACAGCAACAATCTGGGCTACCACGACAGCAATCAACGTACGAGCGTCATCGCCATCCTTCACAATGACTTGGGTGAGTCTAGCTGCGCCATTCTCGGGACGGTCAAACCAGCTCTTGTCCTGACTGAGAACACGGGAGAAAGCGATGTCGCGGAGGCGAGTGACCCAGCGCATAGCGGAGGTTTCCATAAAGAAGAATTTGGAACCAAGAAGAAGCCCATCTAGGGCTGCAATTCCGAGGACGAGACCACCGTAGGAGTTGATCCTGCTGGCATCTGAGCCACCAGCTGAAACTAGGACGATGAGTCTGGAAAGGAGGAATGAAAATATGGGTGTCATCGCCCCGCTTAGTAGGCAGATAATGAGTCCGACGAAAACGATTGGCTTAGCGGGGACGGTGGGATACACGGCACGGAGGAGGGCGAAAAGGCCGGGGGTTGGAGAAAGGTTGGATTGGTCTTGGGTGTCTACATTTCCAGATGGAGGCACGACGACACTCTGTAGGGCGCCATGGTGCTTGCGCTCTCTGCGTTCTCTCCTGTTCGCAGCTTCCTCAGCGCTGCGCTTCAATGTTTCCTTCTCAGTCTCGAATTCCTCATCAACTTCGACCATGCATACCGGCTCCGGCAGAGGGAAGCTCGGGCGTGAAAATGTCGGGGAGGTAGGGGTGAACTGTAAGCTGAAACGATGGCCGCCGTATGTGCGGGGGGGAACCGTGATCTCGGGAACGAATATTGACATGCTGCTCGGTCTCCGTTGTCTCCCTGATGCACCACCCTTGAACTCCGGTATTTCTTCTATGGTTAACGTACTAGGGGGGATAAATCGACTCATCCGCCAATCCTTGTCTTTCTCTGCTGCGGTGGGAAGAGGTGGTGGTGCTGTACCCGATTTCGTAAGCTCCGCAACAACATCGAACATCCAATTGCCAAGTGTTGCCGTGACGGGGCGCATACCGCCCAATGTGGGGGCTACACTCATGTGTCGTTCGTGCACTGGGAGCTCTTCTTCTTCTTCTTCCTCCCCTGCAAGGATTGCTGCGACCGCATCGTACCCAGGAAGGTCGTCTTCAACTGCAAGCCCGCCAGTACGAAGCATGCGGGCGAACTCGTCATCGGCCTGCTCGAGGTCTGATCGGAAGCCTTGTTCGACTACAGAACCCTCCCGCATGACGTAGACGAAGTCATTCTCTTCAATTGCAGCAACATCGTGCGTAATGATGATTGTCGTGCGGTCCCGCCGCCATCTTCGAATAGCCGCCAAAATGAGGGCACGAGTCGGGGGGTCCAATGCCGATGTTGCTTCATCTGAAACGAAAGGTCATGATTAAGAGATCAGATATACGAAGGAGAAATGCGAAACTTACCGAGAATCAATATCTCAGGGTCACGTATCCGCGCCCGCGCGATCGCAAGCCTCTGGCGCTGTCCACCGCTCAACTGAATGCCTTCCGCACCAATACCGCTCAATAGCGTCTCGTAACCTTGATCTAAACCGACCACCCAAGACTCGAGCATCGCAACTCTACACGCCTCTTCTACTTCTGCTCTAGTAACGTCCTCCGGTCGCTTGCCTTTTCCTACTGCGCCAAGAGCCACGTTCTCGTGGAGGCTTCCTGGAAAGACAGGTGCAGATGATGTACCCTGCGCTACGCCGGCTATACGACCCGACACGTACGCGGCGTCAATGTATCGCACATCCTGCTCGTCCAGACAAACATAGCCAGAGTTCGGATTGTAAATGCCCATCAAGATTGCACCAAGCGTGGACTTGCCGGAACCGCTTGATCCAACGATGAATGTCGTCTCACGTGCAGGGAGGTACATGGTTACGTTGTGGAGTACTTGGACGTCTGGTCGTGCGGGATATGCGAAGCACACACCAGTCAGGCTCAGTTCGCCATAAAACGACTTCGGTTCGATTTTCCGAAGTTCTTGTAGACGACGCTTTGAGGATGGTTGACGTGCTTCGGAGATCATGCCTGCGAGTTCTGCAGCAGCGACCTTGCCCTTCATGAAGGTGATGAGAAGAGGTACGGCCATTTGAAGGTTGCTCGTTGCGATAAGGCATGCCCAGAAAACGCTCATGACTTGGCCGGGCGTATTTTTTCCTTCCCGGACAAGGTGAGCCCCGAACCAGAACCCTTGTACGAACATTGCCATTGTGACGAACTGGCTCAATCCGCATGTAACGCCCCAGATACTCGCAAGTCCATTCGCAGCTGCCCTTACGCGTCCGAGCACGCGCGAAAGTACCCGAGTCTCGTGTGTAGCTGCATTGAATGCTTTGACGGTGGCAATTGCAGAAACCGCGCGTTCTACGACGGTAGCAGCACTCGCGGTGAAGGCACGCTCACGAGCAAGGATAGGACCCGCTAGGACTTGGGAGAATGCCTGAATGATAATTAATGCCGGAGCGGCTGAAAGAATGACAAGGGTGAGAAGCGGCGACCAAATGAATGCGAGCACAAGGCTCGTGATGGTGGTGGTTAAATATTGAAGCAACTGGCCTGCTGCCAACGACGAGGCTGCGCGTACTTCATCGGTTTCTCTGTTGGATTTATGAAAAGATGATCAGAATGAAGTGCTCAGACGGATAAGAAAAATAGCTAACCTGGCAAACTTGGCCATGAGACCGCCAGCGCCCACGGGGGAATCTTCGGACGTGTCCTGCACTTGGCCTGCAGGTGCAGACCCGTCAACCCCCATGCGAAGATCGAACCATGACATCTCCTTGTTCACGACAGACTGGTACACGAGCCGTCTAAGCTCCACGACATTGTGCTCCCCAGTCGAAATCCACAAGCTACTCGTGATGCTACTCATGACTAGCGCACTAATACCGAGTGCTACAAGCTCAATTGCTGAAATCCCCACACCATGAAGCAGCGCATCCTTGGCAGATTGCGGTGGGTTGGGTGTCAATGGGAAAGCGGCGAAGGCGTTGAATGACTGCCCGACAGCATAAGTCATAAGGGGAGCAATAGCACCGGTAGCGACAGAAGACATAATGGCTGGTGTTAGAAGAACCAGCTTCCTTCGCGGAGTGAGGAATGAAAACAGCAGTTTTCATTGATGGTACAGGTGCTGCATGAGTGTTAGAAATCTCATGGATGGACGTTGTCTCAGAGACATTGGTGTGATTTTTGATATCAAGTGTCGACGAAGAGGCCGAATGAATCGTTGACCGAATTGAAGGATCCGATGTTGGGTCATGGTTCTTCATCGTTGTTCTACGCGATGAGCTCGCCTCTGCGATCGTCTGAATGGTATAAGGGAGAGAAACGTCGAAAGCCAGTCTGCCATTCCCGCATTTTTGTTGTTTCAATTGTGGCTTTAGTTTCGCTTCACTATTGTCTTCCCACGTGGGAACATAATCAGACAATGGACGTTGAAACAATAAAGACAGTTATGTAATCAGGTACAAAGCCTTTGCACAACAATAGACAACAATGGTCTGTGCATTTCTAACCTTTTCTACCATGCTGCGCTCTTTGCCCCCGTCCGCAGACTCCCACTCATTGTGTTTCAAGTATGCGATTATATTGCAGGTGAGGACTTCGCGCCAGTATCATCTATTATTGCGAGTGGCAGATCGCTCAAACAGGAAGCCTTTCTACTCTGCGCCATGACAGCAGTGAAACGTCGTGGTACGATTCGTACGAACCGACGGTCTATATAAAAAAGTCACCGAGTGGGTACTCCTAGCTAGAATGGAATGCACACCTTGAAGGCTCTATGACGTTCAACTAAAACCCCGACCGGGCGGTTGGTTCAACAGGACTATATCTTGGATATAACTTGTTCTCATTGCACAATTCATCACGTGACGACAGTGACTTGGGTGTCACCGTGCGCCTTTAATTGATTGAACTCTTGACTTGTGAACCACCGCGAGGCTTCGTGCTACACGCATCATTTCCTCGAACGGTGGGGGTGGATCGAACTCTCGAGTCTGGTTGCAGCTCTGATTTTCTGTAGATGATATTCGTGACTATCAAATATCCTCTCGATGGCGAAGCATCGTGCGGGCGTCTCCGAAGGTTCTCTATCGCCTTCCTCGTGTATGTGCTTGACTGTCGTTGCCTCTACTAGCACTGGCTTGTAAACTTCTCACGATGGAGAACCGCGCGCTAATCTTCATTCTTTGGAAGGCAGCGCAGATGGTTCTGCCTCAAAAATGTATGTTCTGTAGGACCTCGTGTCCCACTGCCCCGGGACCATCAGCTATATATGCAGCAAGCTTTGGCGCCAAATAAGAGCATGCTTCTGTGTCAAAATTGACGCTAGGACAGCGACTAAGCAAGCCATTTCCTTCCCAAGTTCCGATCACTATTTCTCCCTCGCTTCCTCCAGGCCCCGGTCTAGTACTTCTGCATATTCTTAAGAATCAAGAATAGGGTGGCAAGCTCATCGCTCAAGATGGGCGTCTCGGCGGATTCAAAACGCCTGCCTCGAGGACTTGATTCTGCGGCACCGCGTGTTCCGGGGCAATCGGTTATAGGGCTTTGGCGTCAGATAAGAATGTGCTTCTTGATGTCCCGAGTGCCAGCTATATATTTTTACCATTTCTCCCTCCTCACTTTCCTACCTCTCCCCCAACCCAAAACATGGTAAGCGCATCACCACTGCCCAGTCTCCCACCTGTCAGTACCGACCTCTCGACCAACGAGTAAGTGGCAGGCTAGACTGAGTTGTGTAACACCCATGGACACATAATAGGAATGCGATCGAGGCCGACCTTGTTGAGAATATGTGAATGTCAACCAGTCGGCATGGTATAATTGATGCCTGACTGTATTGTCTCAAAGGTCAAACACCCTGGAGCAGATGCGGGATGGTATCAAGACGAATGCCGTGAGCCAGGAGCCTGCGGTGTCCATCGAGGGCGGTTTTGCTAAAAATATGTAAATATCAATCAGTCAGCACGCTACACTCCATGTCTAATTATATTGTCTTAAAGGTCAGACACCCTGGAGCAGATTCTCGATGTCCTGAAAGGATCGACTATTGCAGAAGAACGCGGAAAAGATGTGAGTTCAAAGTTCTGGGCGACATACAAGAAAGTTTCGAATGAGTACGACGACGACTTCCTCGGGCGCGCGAATGACGATATGGGTATTATCCTGACTTTCGTGCGTTTCTTTTTACATCTGTCAATGCAAGTCTCACAGGTGTATTAGGCTGGCCTATTTTCAGCCGTCAACTCTACGTTTATCGTCGGAATGCAGCCTGATCCGGGCGAAACTACCAATGCCCTCCTCGTCCAGCTAATCCAAATAACTGTTAACGGCCCCAATTCTGCACCTGACATCAGCGATCTTTCCTCATCTACACAATATTCCTCTTCGAATGTCTGGGTGCAAACGCTCGCATATGCTAGCCTCGCGTTCAGTGTCTTGGCAGCTTTCGGGGCTGTCATGGGAAAGCAATGGCTTAACTCGTACAAAGCAGCTCGAGGACGAGGGACTCTGGAGGAGCGTGGCATACAGAGACAGATGAAGCTGAATGGACTAGAATATTTCCACCTGCAGACCGTCTTGCAGGCATTCCTTGTACTCCTCCAGATGTCGCTCCTGCTCTTCGGCCTCTCGCTAAGCGCCAACGTGTGGACGCAGCAAACAACGATATCTAGCGTCATTATCTGCACCACAGCTTTTGGCCTGCTCTTCTACGCAGGTACTACCCTCGTGTCAGCATTGCGTCCGGACAGTCCTTTCCAGACACCAGCTTCGGAGCTAATTGTTGCCATTGGCAAAAGAATTTTTCCAGACAAATTCACACCGTCCCCTAACATATTCGGCAAATCATACGCCATTCGCTGGATACTAGAGACATCGACGAACCCGGAAATTGTCGAGGCTGCGGCTGCAATGGTACCCTTCGTGCAATGGCCGTCGAACCATGATGCTTCAGCAGTTTACGCACGCTTACGTGATAACTTCCGGGCATGTAGTGACAGGGAGGAGCCATTTCTGAAGTATGGCAAGGCCATGGCCCATCTTCGCACTCAGATGGTGAAAATCAACCCAAAACTTCTTTCGAAAGACTTTGATACTCTTCGTTGTTGGGGAGGTAAAAGTCATTTCATCAGCGATGCGTTCATGGGTGGTCATGACGCCTACCGTCTGCTTGAAGGGCAAGGCAGCGCCTCTGGTCCGCAAGCTCAGCGGAACCATCACTTGGCAGACGTACGCACCGCTCTAAGAACAATGGTTGCACACGGACGGTATTATCAACTTTCACCTCCAGACGATGAAAATCTGATTTGGGAAGGTGACCTACGCTGGTGTCACAGTAATGGGTGTGCACCCAGTTGTGAAGAATTTGACTGGCTCATCGATTACCTGACGGGCACACCGGGGACAGCTACAGACGATGAATCGGAAGGCGATGCCCTGCTTGCACTGAGCGCCATGCGTGGACTAGGGAGCCCTGCCAAACGACCTGCGTACATCAGGTCGCTTGTCCGTTGTATGGACTCCACCAAACCTCCCCGAGTTCGGCATGCCGCGCTGAGAGCTGTTTTTGAAGCTCGAAAAGAACTAGCTTCTCTGACAAGTGGCTCGATGCCACAGGGTGTCGACGCTCATCTCCTGGATGCGCTTTCTCGCGCTCTTTTAACTGCTGTACGCCCATATCACAACAAGACAATCCACGACAAAACAGTCCACCAAGTAGCTTCTATGATGAGTGGCTCTATGCTGCAGGATGTTGCCCCCGATCTCGTGGTTAAGCTCCATGAGCTCTCTCGCACTTTACGTCCAGACCACGATAAGGCAATCTACGACAAGACAATCCACGAACTAGCTTCTATGACAAGTAATTCTATGCCACATGGTGTCAATGCCCACCTCGTGCATCAACTTTCTCACGCTCTTTTAACTGCTGTACATCCAGACTACGACAAAGCAACCTACGACAGCGGACCCGACACCCCTTTTCACAATGATCGGGACTATTGCTATGTCCGCCTCATCTATACCCTGACAAAGAACGACGAGTGGTGTCAGCGTCTAGCCCGTGATGACCATCTCGAGCGGTGCACCTTTCTAGTTCATCATACGGACCAATCAAGGTCGCTGTTTCTCAGATCATACCTTCCTGCAATTTTTGGGCGCATCGACCCTGAGGGAAAATATCTTCGTTTCAGTCCTGCCCAGGAGGGGTGGCGGCTACTCATCTCAAGCACATGGCAGTATGCACGCTATTACATAAAGGATGGCGAGTACGTTGATGGACTACCAGCCGTCGTGACAGCAACGAGGCTGAATTTGCCAGGCTCGGATAATAGTGTTCAGAGAGATTGGTTAGGGGTCCTCGCTAAAAAGGTGAATGGAGCTTTGGACGATTTGCAGCAGAGACGAGCAATCTTTGTGGATCATGGTGTACCTCAGGATGCAGTTGACGCTGCAATATCCTCTATGCAGGGCATGTATGATGATTTACGTCGTATGATCGAGGACCGGATCTGGAACACATCCTATAGGGACAATGGCCGATCTTCGGGGTCATGATGAACATGTATCCGATTACTTTTACACATTTGTTTCGCATATCCCTATGCTTAGATCGGCGGCCGGTTCTTGAGATAGATCTAGTTTAACAGAACGTTTACAGTACTTTTGATTCTTACCTTGTGATCGTTATTACAATACACGGAGATGAAATCAATCATGCTCGTGTGACGGAGGGAGACATTGGAATATATGTTCTGCGTCTTGGCTGTAGTAAGACTGGGTTTGTATCAGTGAGCATAAATCCAGCGTAGTATGATATAGTAGGAGATACTCACATGTCCCGCTTACTCGTCAAAATGAGTCCTTCCTTAGATCAGGTTCTTATCTAGTATTTTCCTTACAGGCCTTTCTCTCAACCATGACATGCACGGGCAAATTGACAAACAATCTTTTGATACCGTGCTGGCAGCTGCCCACACCTGGCACAAGGTGCAGAGCTATCAAAGGCTCCAGTTTTGTAGTGACTTTGCCAGCAATGAGTTCGATAACAATGAACAGCTACAATGAACACGTAACTTTTCTCAGCCGTGTTCTAATGTCGGCACAAGTCCTTTCCAGTAGATCACCCCAATTCAATATTCTCAAGAACTACTGGAGCAAGTATCGTGTAATCGATCAAGAATCCAAGATATCCTCTGAGAATATATGATGCAAAGTGCAGACCTTTACAGGTTGAGTGAGTCAGACGATGATGGGGCACTTAGCAAGGCTTCAACTCGCAGTCAAGGACCGCATATGGGCTTTCATCAGATCGGACGCACAAGGGACACCCTCGCCGTCTTACACCTAGCACATGCACCTGTTGTGAACGTGCAGGATCAATGAGAGTAAAGACACAGCGGAGTCCTCGGAGGCGCCAAACGATATTTTGAGCACCTCCCAGAATCTCTATATTACATCAATGACTTCAAGCTGGCCTGCATTATCCTGGACAAAAATGAGTATGTCGGGTTTCATTGAAAAAACAGAGAGCCTACGCTGTTGGGGTCCTCGATATTCGGCTTGGGCAGATAAATTCTGTCATTATCAATCCATAAGGCCATTAACTGATCTGCACCAAATGTTCTGTCGAACACGACCACGACATAAGGCAGGAACGTTGTCAACTTCCCTGCCGACTCGGTGATTTCTATCGTGGATGGCTCGGTTACCACTTTTCCTAGACCTTGCCGGCGCTCGACAGCTAACGGGCTGAAGTCCATCAAATATAACTTATAATCCCTGTCATCCGGGGAACCTTCATCACCCGCTGTCCCACTCGTCGCAGGAAATATGCGCAGAACTCGATTCCCGCTAACACCAACTCTGCATTGCGAGTCGTGCGGGAAAATACGAGAATTTAGAGGACCCCAACATTCCCATGGGATTGTTGCCATTCCTCCAAAGATGCCAACTTGAAGATCGAAGAAAATCCTGGTAGAAATAATGAATGTGAATGAGTTTGGTGTGTCACTCCGGATGCCTGCGACAAGGGATATTAATCGATTTTTAGGGTCCGGGGTCCACATTGTTCGTCGGGCTCGCGTCTGCAGGTGTGAGCTAAGGGTAATGTTGTCATCCATCGAAAAGAACCACTCTATCGACATCACTGATACAGGCATCAGGAAGCACGCCAGCAATTGTGGCGCCTGGGACAGATTCTCGATTGAATAGAGCTTTAAGTCCTTGCTGACAATCAGCAGTCTATCGTTTCCGAGGAAACGAAAATCAGGTGATTCCTGGCCCTCTGGATCACTGAGCACGCACTAGATCGAGCGTCAATTGTCAATCATTAATTACTTCTGACCAACACTCACATTGGACGTTGTCGAGTGTTTCCAGTCCCAAATCTGCAACCACCACATCTGATTCTCCTCGTCGGGTTCATCGTGCATAGTTGGGCATTGGGTGTGCCAAAAAGCAACATACCTCCCATAAATCTCGACCTCCAACTCATCCGATGCAAGGATGTCGCCCTGGAATACAGTATCCGACAGAAAAAGTGTTCGTCCAGCAGCTTCGGGGTGGGCTCCATCTCCATCCAGGACTCCAAGATCGATATATATATTGTCCTTGCTGTCAGGCCAGCCGATTTTAGCATATACGATGGCAATCAAGTTTTCTCCTGGCACCAATCGCGCTCAATTATTTGTTGGTCAGGTTTTGGCAGTATTGGAAAAATCTTAGCCAGCTGTTGAACTTCATTGAAGAGGCGAAGATGGCCATGGACGAGGAATGTATTTGTATACCTTCGGAATGGTTCTGGTATGAAGACAGTTTTGGAAGAATGGATGTCCAACTTGAACCATGCATGGGCTTTGTCCCTCAGAAGCTGCAGGCACTTGAAATTAGAAGTGTTGTTGTCAAGGTCCATGCCGGGAACAAAGAGCAGCTGCTGGCCACCGAGCTCAGTGACGTACTGAAGCTCGGAGGAGGACATGTACGTCTGGCGAAGTGCCTTGCATACCTGCAAGACAATCTTGCGTCAGGAATAATGGATCCACAGCTGGTTGACCAACACTCAAGTACTCACGGATGAACAACGCAAAATATCTTTGCAAGGAAGGAAACTCAGAATATACGACTGGAGTTCTTCAGCAAGAGACAGGAACTCAGCTCTGGGCCTCAAGAGCATCTCTGGGTTACATTCGCGATTTGAGACGGCTAGCCGGTATTTCAAATGTCGGTATGTGTCGTTGGCGAAATTTCAACTTATCATGTGATGTCTAGATTCGGTAATTCTGGTGGCGTTCTGCGGCCTGCCTCATACCTGCGCAGACGTTTTTCACTCATTGTACAGATATAGCTCGAAGTCGATTTTGAAGCACTAGTCCGCTTGATGCCCGACCATCTCACATTGTGAAGCAGTCAATCTCTGAAACCATAGATCGCCTCCATCATGTACCGTATACTATCCTGCACCAGCACTTTGCTCTTTTATCCAGCAGAGCAGCGGAACAAGTGACAGAGGGACGTAACAGAGATAATTCTTCTACGCTAAGCTGAACGTTACAAAAAAGTGGAAGGGACAGGTTTCCACTTTTTTTTAACGTGGAAGAGCGTATGATGGTATGGAAAGAGATACAAATGTATTATATGCGTCGATCTATATATAAGGATCAGCGTCGTCGGTCCAAACACTGGACAAATAAGGGCGCGGTCGCGAAGTAAGCAGGCCGCTAAGTGATTCGCACCATAGCAAGCACAACAATCATCAACAAATTAATATTGGCGTCTGGCACCCTACGTCCATGATTCGAATATTCAACCTTCAACTTGCTAACCTCATCGTGTGGCAACAGGGACTTGCTTTGAGCTCAATTGCAGACCCAGGCGAAATTCAGTTGAACTTGACGGAGGAGGAAGCGATCAATCATTTTTAGGCTTTGCTGAATGACTCAGAATGAGACGTCGTATTTCACTGTTGGATTCATGATCTAGCGCAGAGTTTAGCTCGCTGGTAGTGAGGCCAAGGACAGCCACGTCGAAGATGATATTGTCGTGGTGCGTTTTTCATGTTCCGCATACCATGCACCATCTGACTCACTTACATTATCATAGAAGTCGAAAGCATCTTCGACAGATAGCTTTTTGTAGTCTCTGCTGCTCACCGTACATGACCCCGTGAGGTGTATCGGATTTGGGCAGTGCTGCTGCACCCATCAGCTCCATATGTAGTTCCAAATATCTATTCAGCTATTGAATGATGAAACTCTCCTAAACTCATTAAATTCTTGACTACGAACCACCGTGAGGCTTCATGCTACACGGATCGAACCTTCGACTCTTTGAAGTCCGATATATATTGTATTCATGACTATATAAAATCTCTTCGATAGCGAAGCGTGGTAGGTGCGTCTCAGAAGATCATCTACTTTCCTCCTTGCGTATGTGCCTGACCGTCATTGCCTAGTTATGAACTTCTTGCAATTAATATTGACGGAGAACTGCGTACTCATCTACATACTTTGGAAGACAGCGCAGATGGTTCTGCCTTATTCTGTAGGACCTCGTGTCCCACTGCCCATGGGACCATCAGCCACATATGCAGCAGGCTTTGGCGCCAGATAAGAGCATGCTTCTGTGTCAAAATTGACGTCTGCGCAGCGACTACTAAGCAAGTCATATCTTCCGAAGTTCCTGACCTCATTTCTCCTTCGCCTCCTCTAGGTATTGGTCCGATACTTCCGTGGGCTCTTGAGACTCAAGAATAGCACAGTAAGTTCATTTCTCAAGATGAGCGTCTCGGCAAATTTCAAACGCCTGCCTTGAGGGCCTGATTCTGTAGCGCCTCGTGTTCCGGCGTAATCGGCTACGGGGCTTTGGCGTCAGATAAGAACGTGCCTCTTTGATGTGCAGAGCACCAACTATATATTTCCACCATTTCTCCCTTCCTACTTTCCTATGCCCCCCAGCCCAAAACATGGCAAGCGCATCCCCACGATCCAGTCCCGCACCTGCCGATACCGACCTCCCGACCAATGAGTAAGTGACAAGTTGGACTGGGTTGTCCACAATACTCATGGACGCAGGAATTCGATCGATACGAATGCAGTGACCGAGGAACCTATCGAGGTCGACCTTCATAAGAATAAGTGAATGTCGAATGATCAGTATGGCATATTCGACATCTGACTCCACTGTCTCAAAGGTCGAGCACCCCGGAGCAGATCCGTGATCAAGTAAAGCTGAAGAACGCGAGCGAGGAACATGTGGTATCCATTGATGGAGGCCTGGGCCGCCTGGCCAGGAACATGTGAATATTAACCAACCGGCACGGCACACTTGATGTCTAACTATATTGTCTCAAAGGTCGAACAACCCGGAGCAGACCGCAGACAATGGGCTCGAGCCGAATAACACGAATGAGAATCCTGCGGTGTCCGTTGAAGGACGCCTTACTGAGATGTGAATGTCAACTCATCAGCATGGTGCACTTGACGTCTAATTATATTTTCTCAAAGGTCAGACACGCTGGGCCAGATTCTCGAAGTCCTCAAAGGATCAAAGATCGCAGAAGAACTCGGGAAAGATGACAATTCAAAGTTTTGGGCGACGTACAAGAAATTTTCGACCGAGTACGACAATGACTTCCTCAGGCGGGCTAATGATGATATGGGCATTGTTCTGACTTTTGTGCGTTCTTTTCTATGTTCGTGAACGTAAATCTAACAGGTGAATCAGGCTGGTCTACTCTCAACCGTCATCGCTGCATTCATCGTCGGAATGCAGCCTAATCCGGGAGACACCACAAATTCCCTCCTCCTCTATCTAATTCAGATCAATGTTAATGGCCCGAATTCTGTACCTGACATCAGCAATCTCTCTTCATCCACAGAATTTCCCCCTTCGACTGTCTGGATACAAATGCTTGCGTATGTTAGTCTCGTGCTCAGCCTCTTGGCCGCATTCGGGGCCACCTTGTGCAAGCAATGGCTTAACTCTTACACAAGAGAGGTACGAGGGACTCTGGAAGAGCGCGGCATATATAGGCAGATAAAACTGGATGGGTTAGAGAATTTTCGCATGCAGAGTGTCGTGCAGGCACTACTTGTGCTCCTCCAGGCTTCGGTCATGCTCTTCGCCCTCTCGCTAAGCGCCAACATGTGGGCCAAGCAAATCGAAATATCCACCGGCATCATCTGCACCACAGCTTTTGGCCTTCTCTTCTACGTGAGCACTATTCTAGTGTCTGTGTTACGTCCAGACAGTCCTTTCCCGACACCAGCCTCGGAGCTAATGAAAGCGATCTGTCAACATTATCTTCCACGCAATTTCAACCTCATTCCTCCCATTTCCCGGAAATCATCCGCCATTCGCTGGATACTGGAGACATTGACAGACCCTGAATTTGTTGATGCCGCGGCTGCGATGGTACCTCGTGTGCAATGGCCCGCGACCTTTGATACTTCAGCAGCCTTCAAATCCTTACGGAATATTTTCGTGGCATGTCGTGACAGGGAAGAGCTATATGTACAGTATGGCAAAGCCATGGCCCATCTTTGCATCCAGCCGGTGAAAATCAGCAAGCACCTTCTGATGTTTTTTCCGGATGTCAAATTTTCGGTCACCCGAAGTCGTTTCATTTACGATGCGTTCATGGCTGGACGTGCTGCCTACGAACAGCTCAAGAATCCACAGGAAGAAGACGCTCAATGCAAGCATCGGGCTAGTGCACGCACTGCTCTGAGAACCATGCTTGTCTACGGACTGGACAATCAACTTTCACGCCCGGACGATGAAGAGTTGATTTGGAAAGGTGATCTGTGCTGGTATCACGGCGACAAGCATGAGCCCAGATGTGAAGAATTTGATTGGCTCATCGATTACCTGGCGGATAGTACAAAGCATGGCATAGACGATGAAACAGAAGGTGACGCTTTGCTTGCACTGAGCGGCATGCGTGGACTAGGGAGCTCTACCAAGCAAGCATCCTACATTAGCTCGCTTATCCACAGTTTGGAGTCCACCAGACCTCCCCGAGTCCGGTATACCGCACTTAGAGCTGTTTTTGAAGCTCGAGAAAAACTGGCTTCTATGGCAAGTCCCTCGATGTCAGAAGTCGACGCACAACTCCTGGATCAGCTTTCTCTCCAAGTCGCTTCTTTAATTACTGTACCCCAAAATAACAACCCCGCGATCGAAGACAATGGACCCGACGCCTCTTCGCACAACGCTCGAGATTCTTGCTACCTCCGCCTTATCTATGCCCTGACAAAGAACAACGAGTGGCATGAACGTCTGACCCGTGATGGCCATCTCAACCGGTGCGTTGACGGTGTCTCTCCTGAGAGTTATTCGCAAGTTGGATTCTACCCTCTTGTGATCTTCGGGCGCATCAAGTCTTCGGGCAAGGACCTTCAAGTCAGTCCTGCTGATGAGAGGTGGCGACTGCTCATCGCACGGACATGGGACGCACTGCAACGTGCCGTAAAGGACGACACCGACATCGATGAAATACCAACCATCGTGACAGCGACGAGGCTGAATTGGCCAGCCTCAGATGATGGTGTTCAGAGGGAGTGGTTTGCAGATCTCGCTGCAAAGGTGCATGGTACTTTGGTCAAAATTGCAGGAGAGACAGGCGAGGCTTGTGAATGATGGTGTAGCTCGGGCCAACGTTGACGCTGCAATAACTCATGTGCAGAACCTGTACAACGCTCTGAGTCGTACGGTTGAGTAACGGAAAACATCGCAACAGGACGATGGAGTCTCGGGATTGTGAAACACATGCATCCTTTCCATAGTTCTTTTACATATTTGTTAGACACGTCGCAGTTCATTCGTATGCATAGATTGGCGCCTGGTTCAGGAAATGGATGTTATTTACTCACAAAATGGCTACAGTAATTATTTATGCTCACTGCAATTGTAGTTCTGCTCTGTCTATCAAAAACTTGTCGGCGACTAGCATATTGGTGCTGCTATCACGTTAGGTACTAAGTGCCACTTAGACAGCTTATCCAGCAGCAAATCGATTTGAACCACACGTTGAGCAGAAGGCAGACCTCTGTTCAGGTATTACATACACAGGGTGACTATGGGTACAGGAGTCAATGTATACAACTGTCGAAGAAAAACAGATATAATGAGATACATCACGCTCGTGTGATCGTGACAGAGGGAGACATAGAGATACTTTATATGTTCTGTGTCTTCGCCCTCGTAAGCCTACAGTTCCAGAGTTCATATGAGCAGGCGCATCGCAGCATATAAAGGTCTGCTTACTCTTCAAATAGGACGCCTCTCCTTGGATCGGCTCGTCTCTTGGCAAGTACTTTCCTGACCTTTCTCTCCTGGTGGATGACGATGAGGAGTACAAAATATTTGAGAGTCAAGCTAGTAATGAGTTCTACAATGATATATAGCTATGATGCACGCAGTGAACAGATATTATGCCGCAAACGTGACGACCACGTACCTTGCGCTCTGGACCATACTAGGTGGGTTTCTCCTGCATAACTTCAAGGGCGTCTGCGCGAATCATGATCCTTTTCTAAGTCGCGATTTAGCATTCACAGAAGGCCAGACAGTACTAGCCACCTACCTAAATCCTCTGGACCACCACATCCAAATACGATCAACAGATCCCCTCCTGTGCCAAATTTCGCATCCGCTTTCATCTGGACTCGATGCACAAGAAACACCCTCGTCGATCAGTTTCCAATGTATTCATCTGGTTGTGATTACATGTGCTGGGTAGACGAGAAAAAGGACGCAATGGGGATTTTGATGGTATTGAATGACATTTTGGGCATGTAACTTGCCCAGCTGCAGATTGGGCTAATGCACTACTGCATGATCACTGACGGAGAGTGATATCAAAGAGGATGAGAGCAACGAAGGAGGGGAATGGGACAATGCTGGGGGTTAAGGCATGGATGATAATGGGAGCAGGGACTCGAGCCAGACTACAAAGCTTGCGTAGTGCCAAGTGTAACGTGTCTGGGATATGGATGTGCTGTAATTAACGTTCACTGGCGAATGATGAATAAATGATTGTGAGTATACTGGGCAGCCAAACTTTCGCCTCAAAGCAGGCGCTGCAATGCGGCTGCATCACTATAACTTGAATTACGCAGTAGAGAGATAGCACGCGGCGTAAAACAGCAGCGTGGGAGACAGAGGGACGTAACCTTCTACGCTCAGCTGAGCGTTACAGAAAAGTGGAAGGGTCGGGCATTAACTCCTATGACGTACTAAGTATCTCTTGGTTCTTCTCTTTCATCATGCCACATGATATCGCTGGCTCATGCGGACTTAGTGATGTAGTCCATACGATCAGAGATGAATTTGAGGCGCGCAAAACCAAATTGTTAGTTTAGCTCGCTGGTAGTGAGGCCAAGGACAGCCATATCGAAGATGATATTGTCGTGGTGCGTTTTTCATGTTCCGCATACCATGCACCGTCTGACTCACTTACATTATCATAGAATTCGAAAGCATCTTCGACAGATAGCTTTTTTGTAGTCTCTGCTGCTCACCATACATGGCCCCGTGAGGTGTATCGGATTTGGGCAGTGCTGCACTCATCAGCTCCGTATGTAGTTTCAAATATTTATTCAGCTATTGAATAATGAAACTTCCCTAAACTCATTAAATTCTTGACCACGAACCACCGTGAGGCTTCATGCTACCGTCGGATCGAACCTTCAACTCTTTGAATTTCTAGATATTATATTCATGACTATAAAAAATCGTTTCGATAGCGAAGCATTGTAGGTCGTCTACTTCCCTCCTCACGTATGTGCCTGACCGTCATTGCCTAGTTATGAACTTCTTACAATTAACATTGACGGAGAACTGCGTGCCCATCCACATACTTTGGAAGACAGCACAGATGGTTCTGCCTTGTTCTGTGAGACCTTGTGTTCCACTGCCCATGGGACCATCGGCCACATATGCAGCAGGCTTTGGCGCCAGATAAGAGCATGCTTCTGTGTCAAAATTGACGCCAGCGCAGCGATTAAGCAAGTCATATCTTCCGAAGTTCCTAACCTCATTTCTCCTTCGCCTCCGCTAGGTATTGGTCCGATGCTTTCGTGGGCTCTTGAGACTCAAGAATAGCATAGTAAGTTCCTTTCTCAAGATGAGCGTCTCGGCAAATTTCAAACGCCTGCCTTGAGGGCCTGATGAGGGCCTGATTTATAGCACCTCGTGTTCCGGCGCAATCGGCTACAGGGCTTTGGCGCCAGATAAGAACGTACCTCTTTGATGTGCAGAGCGCCAACTATATATTTCCACCATTTCTCCCTTCCTACTTTCCTATGCCCCCCAGCCCAAAACATGGCAAGCGCATCCCCACGATCCCCTCCTGTACTTGCTGGATACCGACCTCCCGAGCATTGAGTAAGTGGCAACTTGGACTGGGTTGTCTTTGATACTTTATGGACACAGGGATGCGATCTATGCAAATGCGGTGACCGAGGAACTGGCCATTGAGGTCGACCCTCATAAGAATAAGTGAATGTCGAACGATCAGTATGATATGCTTGACGTCTGACTGTATTTTCTCAAAGGTCAAGCGCCCCCGAGCAGATCCGGGATGAAATAATGCCGAACAGCGCGAGCGAGGCAAGTGTGTCCATTCAGGGAGGCCTAGCCAGGAATATGTAAATATCACCAACCAGCTCGGCACACCTGATATCTAACTATATTGTCTCAAAGGTCAAATACCCTGGATGCAGATTCTCGATATCCTCAGAGGAAAACCTATCGCAGAAGAATCCGGAAAAGATGACAATTTAAAGTTTTGGGCGGCGTACAAGACAGCTTCTCATGAGTACGATTGCGACTTCGTCGGGCGGGCCTACTGACGATATGGGCAATATTCTGACTTTTGTGGGTTTCTTTCTATGTCCGTCAATGCAAGTCTCACAGGCGTATTAGGCTGGTATATTCGCAGTCGTTAACTCGACCTTCATCGTCGGGATGCAGCCTGATCCAGGAGACACTACCAATGTCCTCCTCCTCCATCTAATTCAGATAACTGTCAATGGCCCAAATTCTGTACCTGACATCAACACTCTTACATCATCTACGGGATATTCTCCTTCGATGATCTGGATTCAAACACTTGCGTATGCTAGCCTCGCGTTCAGCGTCTTGGCCGCATTCGGGGCTGTCTTGGGAAAGCAATGGTTGCACTATTACATGACAAATCGAGGACGAGGGACTCTCGAAGAGCGTGGTGTAGACAGGCAGATGAAGCTAGATGGAATAAAATGTTTCCGTCTAAAGATTGTCTTGCAGACATTCCTGGTGCTGCTCCAGATTTCGCTCCTGCTCTTCGGCCTCTCGCTAAGCGCCAACATGTGGGTCAAACAAACCACGATATCCAGCGTCATCATTTGCACCACAGCTTTCGGCATTCTGTTCTATGCGGGCACTATCCTCGTGTCGGCGTTGCGTCCAGACAGCCCTTTCCAGACACCAGGATCGGAGCTATTTGTAGCCATTTGCAAAAGAATGCTTCCAAAGAAATTCACACTCACTCCTAATAAATTCGTCAAATCGTCCGCCGTTCGCTGGATACTAGAGACACCGATGAACCTGGAAGTTGTCGAGGCTGCAGCTGCGATTGTACCTCACGTGCAATGGCCACCGAACCTTGATGCTTCAACAGCCTTCGCACGCTTACGCCAGATTTTCGTGGCATGTTGTGACAGGGAAGAGCTATATGTAATGTTTGGCAAAGCCATGGCCCATCTTTGCATCCAGTCGGTGAAAATCCGCGAGGAACTTCTGGCGTTTTGGGATGATAAATTCCAGTCAACCCGAAATCGTTTCATTCGCGATGCGTTCATGGCTGGACGTGCCGCCTATCTTCGGCTCAAGAATCCATGGGAGGGGGACGCTAAACCGAAGCTTCGGGCCAATGCACGTACTGCTCTGAGAACAATGCTTGTCCATGGACTGTCCTCTAGACTTTCACGTCCGAACGAAGAAGAGTTGATTTGGAGAGGTGACCTACAGTGGCGTCACAGCGACGAGCGTGAGCCCAGCTGTGAAGAATTTGATTGGCTCATCGATTACCTGGCGGATGGCCGTCACGATGCAGATAGCACAGACGATGAAACAGAAGGTGATGCTTTGCTAGCACTGAGCGCCATGCATGGACTAGGGAGCTCTACCAAGCGACGGTCCTACATCAAGTCACTTATCCGCTGTATGGGCTCCACCAGACCTCCCCGAGTCCGGCATAGCGCGCTTAGAGCTGTTTTTGAAGCTCAAGAAGATTTGATTTCTATGACCAGTGTCTCGATGCCACGGGATAGTCGACTCACCACTGCTGAATCAGCTTTCTCGGGCTCTTTTAACTGCTGTATGTCCAAATGATAATCCGACAACCCACGACGCTGGACCCGACGCCTCTTTCCACGAAGATCGAGACTCTTACTACATCCGCCTCATCTGTGCCCTGACGAAGGATGACGACTGGTGTCGACGTCTGACCCGTGATGGCCATCTCGACCGGTGTATTTCTCTAGTTGGTGGAGTCCATTTTCAGTCTGATGCGAATGTTAGATTCTGTGTCCTTGTGATATTGGGGAAAATCAAGTCCTCAGGCAAGGATCTTCCTTTCAGTCCTACCGAGGAGAGGTGGCGGTTACTCATCGCAAACGCATGGGACTTTGCGAGATATTTCATAGAGGATGACGACTACGTTGATGGAATGCCAGCCTTGGTGACAGCGACGAGGCTATATCTGTATGGTGTTCCGAGGGGGTGGCTTGCAGGTCTCCCTGCAAAGGTGCAAAAAGCGTTGGTCGATTTGCAGGAGAGACAAGCGATCCTTGTGAACGATGGTGTAGCTCAGGCTGCCGTGGATGCTGCATTATCCTCTATGCAAAGCTTGTACGGCGCTCTGTGTCGTATGACTGAGGACCAGAACGCCCAGCAAAGGGATGGTAGAGAAGCAACTGCTAGCAGGAGCTCGGTGCGTACCCTCATGAAATTACTATCAACGAGTGCTGATGACATCGTCGCTGCCTCTGACACACCCTTTATCCAGAGCCAGCCCCGTAGCGGATTCCGTTTGGCCCTGCGGAAATTTAAGAAGAATATGAGTAAAAAAGTTTATGTACGTCGACGTGAATGCTGGCGGAGCTGGAATATGGCTGATATTATGCGGAAACCTTCAAGCATTCCCGTCACAAAATCCTTGCTGTTCCGAACGCAGATAATGAAGGTGCTTCAATGAGTCAGAATATTGGGGTAGGTGGTCGTTATTTTGATCTTGAACTTGTCTGAGGTCCACCAAGGATGCGTCACATGGCTGTGCGAATCAAGGAGCATCTGGAGAACCTGCTTCGAAGGTAATCACACCAAACGATTTTGTTTTTCGTCTCTAAATTCTGGTGGGCGCACAGGTTCAGGCTCCTTGGTCTGGCGTGGAAGAAGGTCCTACTCTCCAATTAGTTGATGCTGAACTTCGGGGTGCCCGTGAGGATAAGGAAAGTATGAGACTACTCGAGGGACATGTCACTCCTGTGGCACCCGCAGCGAACAATGGCCCAGCAGGTCTCGCTGTGGCGGACGATTTCCAGACCCCATATCTTCAATCACTCAAAATTTTCAACACTCTCAGTCCGATTCTGGCAAATGTACGGGCCACTCTCCTATGTCGGAAGTGAGCTAATTAAGTTGCATAGGCATATCCTGACGCAAAGATGGCGCTAGGTGCGCTGCATACCGCATCTGAAGTATGTTTAGTTTCGCCCTCTTGTTCAGCAGTCGTTGACTCTATATAGATCATTCTCGATCAAACAGAACGCGACCAATTGGTACAATCTCTTCTCGATAAATTAGAAGAAGTTTACTGCTTCATGTCACGAGACGACACTCTTGGCCAGATTTCATCCAAGCTCAGTATCGTCGAACAGATCGCCCAGCAGACTCTAGAGTGTACGTGTTTCATCAGGGACTACTCGGAGAAAAAGAGCTCTTGTAAGTCATCGAGCTATTGCATTCCGTATATTGTGAATCTTATACCATTATCACAGGGATGATACTCGGGAAAAATGTTGTCTCGGAAACGGATGATCTGATTACACGGTACAACGATGCTTTGGATAGGCTTATGCAACAATTGCATCAGGAATAAATACCCTCCAATGCATAGCTAGACTAAACCAGCCTATACTGCTGTATTGATATATCTATTCTGTACTATTAGCCAGAAACCCTGATACATCATCCCGTTTCCTCGTCTGATAACACTAGCAGACTCGGAGGCTAGTGTACACGAGTCAGTACAAGACGGTACGAAATATGACGGACGTAGTACACACCTCAGCAAGGTTGCAAGAACAATGCTGAGGTGGTCGAGAGGCGAAGCGCGCAGTACAAAAATTTAAATTTTGGTGCTGCCTCGGTCCGGTCCAGAACCGTGACCGTGGCTCGAACTTAGTTACTTGCCTATGTTGGACGAGTGATCGCCATCTCAACCAGCGCATTTCTCTAGTTAACGGACCCCCGAAAATCGGAACTTCGCTTATCGACTTCTGCCTACTTGTGATCTTCGGGTGCGTCAAGTCCTCAGGCAAGGATGTTCCTTTCAGTCCTGCCGAGGAGAGGTAGTGCCTAATCATCACAAACGCATGGCTCATCACTCTCTTATCGCATGGCAACTCAGAGCACGTCGATGGAGTACCAGCCATCGAGACAACGACGAGACTGAATTTGACAGCCTCGGCCCTTGGATAAGTGGCGTGCAAATCTCGCTGCAGAGGTGCATGGAGCTTTGGTCAATACCAAGCGGATTATGAGGATGCTACCGTGGACGCTCTATGCAGGGCTTGTACGACTGAGGACCAGAACGCCCTGCAAAGGGACGGGTGGAACATCGGGGCATTGAAGGACAGCATCAGCAGCGAAGTATTACCCTCGTCGCAGGTCGATTGTAGTCCTGCTTTGTCTGTCAAGAAGTCGCCGACTTGCGTTTTGGCGCTGCTATCACGTTACGTACTCAGTATCACTTTTCCAGCGGTTGAACCACACGTTGAGCAGAAGGCAGACTTCCATTCAGGCGTTAGAAATACAGGGTGACTGTGGGTACAGTGTCAATGTGTACAACTGTCGCAGAAAAACAGACAAATGAAATCCATCACACTCGTGTGACAGAGGGAGACATAGGAACACTCTGTATATTCTGCGTCTTCGCCCTCGTGAGCCTGCAATTCGAGGGATCGTATGAGCAGGCGCATGGCAGCATATAAAGGTCTGCTTACTCGTCAAAATGGGTACCTCTCTTTGGATCGGTTCTTCTCTTGGCTAGTACTTTCCTGACCTTTCTCTCCGGGCGAACGACAATGATGGGCACGGGAGAATTCGAGAGACAATACTTTGATACGCTGCCGAACGCCGCACCCCAGGCTTGCATCATGCCGCGCTGGCCTCTCGTGCCCACCACTATTGAGTCTGGGCGGTGCAGAGCGGTTAACCGCTCGAGCGTTGTAGTGACTTTGCCAGCAATAAGCTCGACGATGATAGAGAGCTACGATAAACACAATGAGAAGTTATGCCGTAATGATAGAACCGCCTACCTTCCGCTCGGGATCTCATGATCCTTCTCGTTGTGATTTAACATTCACACAAGTCCAGATAGTATGAGCCACCTACCTAAATCCTCTGTATCGACGCCTCTGAAGACGACCAACTCATCTCCGTCCTGCGCCAAGTCAAGGGTGTAACGTCCGCTCTCATCTGGACTCGATGTACAAAGAAATACCCTCGTCGCCCTGTTCCTAGTGTATCCATCTGATTGCACGTGCAGGGTAAACGAGAACATGGAAGCAGCGGGATTTTCGAATGTGTCGAACGACTTTTGGCGTATAACCTTGTCAGGCGACAGATTGAGTGGTGTTCTACTGCATGTTCGCTGACGGTGACCGCGAGAGTGATGTTGAAGAGAACAAGAGGGGTGGCAGTCACGATGACGATGCTGGTAGGGTGATGAATGAAGAAGCAAGAGGGGACAACTGTGGCAAAGAGGGCATATAGGATAACGGGAGTAAGCAGGGCGAGCCCGGTTGGGACGACTGCTTCAGTACCGGATTGGAATATGAGTGTGTTGTTCAGATATGGCTTGCTTGTCACATAGTATTCTTACTGGAAGAGGTGAGAACTTGATGTAGGACTACATATAGGATGCGGGTGGGGGTGGAGATGTAGACTGGAACATGTCGGCCCTCGGGAGTACTTAAGTAGGCTAGGCTACTTCACAGCTGAGAATGCAAAAATGGGTATTATATAATCAGGTACAAAGCCTTTGCACAACAATGAACAACAATCGCCGATAGAAGAATGAAGATACTAACTCATTTATAATCACTCGTCCTGCGGTAAACGCCTTATTTAGTTCGAGTATGCTGAGGCCTGAGATCATGTGCACGCATGAGGTAATAGCTCTTTGTTCTTGTTATCTTTCATCATGGCCAGGGACAACTTTACTTTTTTGCAAAGCTCTCAGTACTCAGTAATGATTTCAAGCTTTGGCACTGTCGCTTTTCAGCATGTACTCACCACTAGTCCTGTTGCGGTCCACCTGCCCACACTCGCCACCATAGTTCTCAGTTAGAGGGAACCGTCTGTTCTTATTGCAAAGCCACGTATTTAGTCACTGCACCAGCACTTTTCATTAGGCAAACACTGTTTGTTGCTCCCACTGTCAGCAGGTCGAGAAGCAGACGCCTCCACACAGACCGAAGACTCCCAGTACACTTGGTAGCAGGAATAATTAGAGAAGGTAGGCAGTACAATTACTTTCGGATATGTTCGCTCATTCGTTAACTTCTCAGCTCGGAGTCGCGAAGAAATACGAATGTGGCAACTTGCCAAAGTCAGATTGGTGGTATAATATTGTTTTCAGAAAGATGGGGGAGATACATGTCGCACGTAAGTCTTGTACAATAAAATATGAAGAGGACTGAGGGCGGAGATAGAGAAGTCAGAGAACTCTATCGACCTTCCACCTTTCGACTTTTCCGTGATATTTTGCGAACCTGTCAGCGTCAGGAGTCCCGCAATCAGGCGACGATACCACTCGCACCTCCTGCAGTAGTCCAGATACCTATCTTCCAAATTATTTGTCCACAGATCCACAGCTCTGGGCCATCCTTGACCCCGAGATTACATGCGAAAACCCTATGGAAGACATACATCGCTGGCTCATGCAGAGTCGCCGATGTAGTCTGTACGACAGCCATTGCCAAGATCAGAGATGAATTTGTGGTGCGCAAGACCAAATCGTTATTGGCCCGATGCCTTCCTCACGTGTCGTTTGTAGGCTATGGTTATTCATGCACCCTCCAAGGCTCTCAACTCCAAGGAGGAAGACCTCTGGAAGTTTCGTTTCTACCAAATGCGCTAAACCTGTTTCTGAACTTGGTGATGCTTGAGGTGGACGCGAATATTCCAGACACCACGCACCGTGACGTGCATGAGCAGATCCAGGAGAAGTTCCAGTTGAATTTGACTGAGGAGGAGGCAATCGGTCATTTTTAGGCGTTGTTGAATGAGACGTCATATTTCACTGTTGTACTGGATCGGATTCATGATTTGGTGCAGAGTTGAGTGTATGGGCGGTGAAACTGAGGATAGTCATATCGAAGATGATATTGTCGTGGTGCGTTTCGCATGCTCCGCATACCATATACCGTCTGACTCACTTATATTATTATAGAGGTCGAAAGCATCTTTGACAGATAGCTTTTCTGTAGTCTCGGCTACTCCGTGAGGTGTATTGGATTTGGGCAGTGCTACTGCACCCGACAGCTCCGTGTGTAATTTCAAATATCGATTCGGCTATTGAATAATGAAACTCCCTTTAAACTCACTGAATCTGTGACTACGAACCACCGTGAGGCTTCATGCTACACGGGTCGCTATCACGAACAGTGGGGGCGGATCGAACCTTTGACTCTGGTCAAGGCTTTGAATCTCTGTATATTATATTCATGACTGTCGAAAATCAGTTCGATAGCGAAGCATCGATGCATCATGGGTGCATCTCCGAATATCCTCTACTTCCCTCCTCGCGTATGTGCCTGACTGTTATCGCCTAGTTGTGAACTTCTCACAATTAATACTGACAGAGAACTGCGCGCTGATCCACATACTTCGGAGGACAGCGCAGATGGTCCTGCCTCAAATATACTTGTTCTGTAGGACCTCGTGTCCCGCTGCCCATGGGACCATCAGCCATATATGCAGTGGCTTCGGCGCCAGATAAGAGCATGCTTCTGTGTCAAAATTGACGCCAGCGCAGCGACTAAGCAAGAGTCACACTTCTGATGTTCCTGACACCATTTCTCCCTCGCTTCCTCTAGGTATTGGTCCGTACTAGTGTGGTAAACTCATTTCTCAAGATGAGCGTCTCGGCAAATTTCAAACACCTGCCTTGAGGGTTTCATTCTGTGGCACCTCGTGTTCCGGCGCAATCGGCTACAGGCTTTGGCGTCAGATAAGAACGTGCTTCTTTGATGTGCAGAGCGCCAACTACATATTTCCACCATTTATCCCTCCCTACCTTCCTATGTCCCCCGCAACCCAAAACATGGCAAGCGCATCCCCACGATCCAGTCCCTCACCTGCTGATACCGACCCCCCCACCAACAAGTAAGTGGCAAGTTGGACTGGGTTATTCATAATACTCATGGATACAGGAATGCGATCGATGCGAATGCAGTGCCCGAGGAACCGGCTGTGTCCATCGAGGGCGACCTTCATAAGAATATGTGAATTTCGAACGATCAGTATGGCATACTTGATGTCTGACTGTATTGTCTCAAAGGTCAAGCACTCCAGAGCAGATCCAGGATGAAATCGAGCCGAGCAACGCAAGTGAGGAGCACTTGTTGTCCATTGAGGGAGGCCAGGCCAAGAATGTGTAAATATTAACCAACCGGCACGGCACACTTGACGTCTAACTATATCGTCTCAAAGGTCAATCAACCCGGAGCAGACCCCTGACAATGGACTCGAGCCGAATAACGCGAACGAGAATCCTGCGGTGTTCATTGAACTTACTAAGATGTGAATGTCAACTCATCGACACGGTGCACTTGAAGTCTAAACATATTTTCTCAAAGGTCGGTCACGTTGGGGCAGATTCTCGATGTCCTCAAAGGATCAACAATCGCAGAAGAACTCGGAAAAGATGACAATTCAAAGTTTTGGGCGACGTACAAGAAAATTTCGGCTGAACACGACAACGACTTCCTCGAGCAGGCTAATGACGATATGGGCATTATTCTAACTTTTGTGCGTTTACTTCTACTAGACTCTCGATGCAAGTCTCACGGCTGTATTAGGCTGCTATATTCGCAGCCGTCAACTCCACCTTCATCGTTGGCATGCAGCCTAATCCAGGAGACACTACAAATGCCCTCCTCCTCTATTTAATTCAGATGTCTGTCAATGGCCCAAATTCCGTACCTGACATCAACACTCTTTCATCATCTACGGGATTTCCCTCTTCAACGGTCTGGATGCAATCACTCGCCTATGCTAGCCTCGCATTTAGCGTCTTGGCCGCGTTCGGAGCTGTCTTGGGCAAACAATGGCTGAACTCTTACAAGTTAGTTCGAGGACGAGGGACTCTCGAGGAGCGTGGCATGCAGAGGCAGAGGAAACTAAACGGACTAGAATATCTCCGCCTAAAGACCATCTTACAGGCATTCCTGGTACTCCTCCAGATTTCGCTCCTGCTCTTCGGCCTGTCGCTAAGCGCAAACATGTGGGTCAAGCAAACCACGATATCCAGCGTCATCATCTCCACCACAGCTTTCGGCATCCTCTTCTACGTGGGCACTATCCTCGTGTCGGCGTTGCATTCGGACAGTCCTTTCCAGGTACCTGGGCCAGGGTTATTTACGGCCATCTGCCAAAAAATTCTTAAAATTCTTCAATACGATTTCACAATCATTCCTAACGCATCCGTCAAATTGTCCGCTATTCGCTGGATACTAGAAACATCGACGAACCCGGAAATTCTTGAGGCTGCGGCTGCGGTTGTACATTGCGTGCAATGGCCCCCGAACCTTGATGTTTCAACAGCCTTCGCACATCTACGGGATAATTTAATCGCGTATCGCGACAGAAAAGACCTATATGTGAAAGCCATGGTCCATCTTTGCATTCAGCCGGTGGAAATCGATCGGAGACTTCTGGAGTTTTATCACCATGAACTTCGTTCGACCCGAAATCGTTACATTCGCAATGCGTTCATGGCTGGATGTGCCGCCTACGATCGGCTCAAGTTTGCAAGGAGATCGAACAGTTGGGACGATAGAAAGGTGGATTGGGACACTGAACTGAAGGATCGGGCCAGTGTACGCACTGCTCTGAGAACGATGCTTGTTCACGCCAGAAAATTTGACCAATTTTCACGTCCGGATGATGAACACTTGATTTGGCATGGTAATCTGGACTGGAATCACAGTGATGAGAGTCAGCTCTCGTATCGGAGGGATGAGCCCTTCTCGGATGGAGAGGGGAAGTACCCCCGCTGGAATGACCAAGAGAGCTATGGGCACGGGCATGTGTCCTCCCTGGATCGCAGCAGCGGGTGTGAGCCCTCCTTGGATCGCAGCAGCAGGCATGAGCCCTCTTTAGATCGCAGCAGCAGGCATGAGCCCTCTTTGAATCGCAGCAACAGGCATGAGCCTTCCTTGGATCACAGCAGCAGGCGTGAGCCCTCCTTGGATCGCAGCAGCAGGCATGAGCCCTCTTTGAATCGCAGCAACAGGCATGAGCCTTCCTTGGATCGCAGCAGCAGGTATGAGTCCCTCTTGGATTGCAGGAGGGATCGCTAAAGGAGGCGTGGGCCCAGCTGTGAAGAATTTAACTGGATTATTGATTACTTTGTGGATGATGCAATGCATCGCACAGACGATGAATCAAAAGGTGACGCTTTGCTTGCACTGAGCGCCATGCATGGACTAGGGAACTCTGTCAAGCGACCATTCTACATCGAGTCGCTTATCCGATGTATGCACCCTACCAGACCTCACCGAGTCCGGCATACCGCGCTTAGAGCTGTTTGTGAAGTTCGAGAGGAACTGGCTTCTATGACCAGTGCTTCGCCACGGAATCTCGATGCACGGCTCCTGAATGGGCTTTCCCGTGCTCTTTTAACTGCTGTACGTCCAAATGTGCACCAGACAACCTACACTGGACCCGACACCACTTTCTACGTTAATCGAGACTCTTGCTATATCCTCCTCCTCTATGCCCTGACAAAGAATGATGAGTGGTGTCAACGTCTGACCCGTCATGGCCATCTCGACCAGTGCACGGCTCTACTTGGCGGATTTTCATATAGCTCAGTAATTGTAATGAGAATCGAAACGCCATGGAACAGTACCGGTCATGGTGTTACTGTCGAATTCTACTTCCTCGTAATCTTCGGGCGCATCAAGTCCTTGGCCAAGGATATTCCTTTCAGTCCTGCTGAGAACCTGGAATGGTTGCTGCTCATCGCACGCACATGGGACAACGCTTCACTTCGGATAAAGGATGACGACTATGTCGATGGAATACCAGCAGTCGTGACAGCAACGAAGCTGGATTTGACAGCATCGGATGATGGTGTTCCAAGGGAGTGGTTAGTAGATGTTGCTGCAAAGGTGCATGTAGCTTTGGTCAACTTACGAGAGAGACAAGGGGAGCTTGTGAATAAAGGTATAGCTCAAGCTGCAATTGACGATGCACTATCCTCTATGGAGCGCTTGCACACCGAGTTCAGTCATATGGTCAAGCAACGGAGCACACTAGGAAATCGTGGGAGCCTTAGTGACAAGTATACGGAGATCAGGAGGTCCCTGGACGGGTTTTAGACCGGTGATGACATGTGACACTGAATCGATGATCACATAGTCATGAAGAATATGGTACATCTTCGTTCGTTGGAAGAAAGGGAGCGGAAGAGATCCTGCATGCGAAGGAGAAATGCGGAAGTCGCGCTTGCGTGTTTTGGGTGCGGATAGACTATGAGATAGACTAGTGTATGCGTATGCTACGAGGGAAATCAGTACTAGAGCCCGCCGCCACTCACATCATTCCAAAACCAAGGTTTGAAGGTGCACCGGTGAACCGTGAGGAGGCCACAAAGGCCGCCCTTAGCAGCTTGACAAATGAACAGCGTACGATGATCTGCATCGTATGAGGGACGGTGGAACTTCGGGGCACTCAAGGATAGCATCAGTAGCGAGGTACTTTTACGCATTTGTTACGCACGTAGCAGCTCATGCCTGTGCTTAGCGTCTAGTTCATGAGATGGATGTCATTTACTCACAAAACCGCTGAAGCAAATTTCTACCTACTTTGTGCACAATACGATTGTAGTCCCACTTTGTCTGTCAAAATGTCGGCGACTTGCGTTTTGGCGCTGCAATCACATTAGGTACTGAGTATCACCTGAATAGCATCTCCAGCGGTAAACCGAGTTGTACTACACGTTGAGCAGAAGGCAGACTTCCATTCAGGCGTTAGAAATACAGGGTGACTATGGGTACACTGTCAATGTGTACAACTGTCGCAGAAAAACAGACAAATGAAATATATCACACTCGTGTGACAGAGGGAGACATAGGAATACTCTGTATATTCTGCGTCTTCGCCCTCGTAAGCCTGCAATTCAAGGGATCATATAAGCGGGCGCATGGCAGCATATGAAGGTCTGCTTACTCGTCAAAATGGGTGCCTCTCTTTGGATCGGCTCGTCTCTTAGCAAGTACTTTCCTGACCTTTCTCTCCGGGCGAACGACGATGATGGGCACGGGGGAATTTGAGAGGCAATACTTCGACACGCTGCCCACACCTGGCGCGCCGAACGCTGCACCCCATGCTTGCATCATGCCGCGCTGGCCCCTCGTTCCCACTACTATTGAGTCTGGGCGGTACAGGGCAATTAACCGCTCGAGCGTTGTAGTGACTTTGCCAGCAATAAGCTCGACGATGATAGAGAGCTACGACAAACACAATGAGAAGGTATGCCGTAATGATAGCGACCGCCTACCTTCCGCTCTGGATCGTACTCGATACATTTCTCCTGAATCTGGCGCATAAGTTCACGGGCTTCTTCTCGAACGACTTCATGATCCTTCTCTAAGTTGTGATTTAACATTCACAGGAGTCCACATAGTATGAGCCACCTACCCAAATCCTCTGGATCAACGCCTCTGAAGACGATCAACTCATCCCCGTCCTGCACCAAACTTTCCAGCGCCCAGTCAAGGGCGTAACGCCCGCTCTCATCTGGACTCGACGCACAAAGAAATACCCTCGTCGCTCTGTTCCTAGCGTATCCATCTGATTGCACGTGCAGGGTAAATGAGAACATGGAAGCAGCGGGGTTTTCGAATGTGTCGAACGACACTTTTGGCGTGTAACCTTGTCCGGCGACAGATTGAGCCATGTTCTGCTGCATGTTCACTGACGGGGACCGCGAGAGCGATGCTGAAGAGGACAAGAGGGGCGGCAGTCGCGATGTGGATGCTGGTGGGGTGAGGAACGAAGAAGGAAGAGGGGTTAATAGTGGCGACGACGGCGTGGAGGATAACGGGAGCAAACAGGGTGAGTTCGGCTGCGACGATTGCTTTAGTGCCGAGCGTAAGCACATGATTGGAATGTGGGTGTGCTGTTCAGACATGGCGGTGTGATAAAGGATTATTTATTAATTTTATTGATAAGATGTTACATAGCCAACGTACCCTAAATAATAATCACATTATTAACTCTTACCTAACTTTGATCTCCAACTCTCATGTCGGCTTCCCGTTCAGCTAGTCCTACGGAGGAGAAAGATGAAGAGCGGGTCGAGCAGCACACGGAGGTGACACCCGAGTCCACTGGCGAGTCAACCTCCCCAGAGGAGTCTGCTGAACCTTCAGATACAGACCAGGACACCACAAACGCTCATGCTCACCTCCCAACAGCGGGATCATGGCAAGCCATATGGTCTCCTCAGCACAACACCTATTATTTCTACAACTCAGAAACCAAAGAAACGACTTGGGTAAACCCCCTTCAACCCGCCACCTCTGAATCAGAACCTTCCTCGTCTTCCACCTCCCAATCTGGCCCTTCCACAACAATAGACTCTCACTACGCGGCGTTGCAAGCGAACGCGATGGCGCAGGGTATTGATCCATCCTTAGCCCATCTTGATCCGTCGCTTGCTTCCTCGTCTGGTGTTCCTAGCAATTTTATGTACACCGCAAAGTTCAACGCGAGGACTGGCGCTTTTGCGAAAGCGGATAGTCGCGATCCTACTCACTTGTCAGAGTATGAGCGTGCCAAGCGCATGAGCGAGTTCTACTTTGACGTTGGTGCTTGGGAGAGGGATGTCGATGCTCGCAACAAGGCTGAGATTGAGGCCGAGGCCGAGGGAGAGGGCAAGAAGAGAAAACGTCCGACAAAGAAAGATCTGGTAAGATCCGACATATCGGTTCTGTTCATATCGGGTGTTGAATTCAATTTTACAGGAGCGGTTCAAGGAACAAAAGAGATTAAAGAAGATCGCGAAGACGGCATGGCTTCGAACATAGACACCTACTTACTGTCGTATTAGAAACACCAATTCAAAGCAGTCTGGCATCAATGATTTCCTTAGTTATATATAAAGAAAGCGGATTGTCAGTATTCAAGCGTACAATCATCTTGAGGTCTACGATGATAAGTAACTGCTCATAGTTACCACATGGTGATATCAGCATTAGCGTCCATAGGTATGTCCATTGTTATGCCTCATTTTTGACGATACCCTACGTCGCGAATACGCCGATGATTTTGAAAGGAGGAACACTTTGCCCCTCGTCTCCAAGTACTACACAGTCGACAAAGTGCGATCCTCTCGTGACAAATTGATCAATCACCGCAAGACTTGATGATCCGTCAATGACCGCACAAACGAAAATAAAACAAGACACTCACGTCGGTACCCCATCACTAACGTCTCCTGCATTCTCTATAATCATCCCACCTGCAAAATTATCATCCACCCAACATTCAATCTCACTTCCCTCCCCAATCTGGCTTATAGGCTCCTTCAAGTAATAAATCCCGACATCTCCAGCGCCTACTTTGATAGGTACGCGCAACCTGCTTGTGGGCTGCGTGCTATACCAATAATATCCAGTCGTAAGCAAAGGAGAGGACCCTGTCGGAGGATGTGCCGCTGCCCAACCAGACCCGTAGAAAAGCGACGGAGGTACGGGGTTCACGAGGTCATTAGCAGATGCGCAAAACGGTGCGACTTCTTCGAATGGCCGCGACTCTCTGGGGCGCGTATTAATTCGAACAGGTGGAATTCGTAGTTCAGGGTAGATGGGTACAGGCTGAGATTCTGCTTGAGCAAGAGCTAGTGCGTGTCTCTTCGCGGCTTCTGCACCGTCGTCTACAGGACGTGGTGGTTCAGGCACCGCAGCACCTTTCCTTGCGCCGATACCACCAAAGAGATGCGTATCTGCACCTGGGAGGTAGCCATGTGACATCATGATAGGAATGGTCTCGTACGAATGGCCACCCGCCGTTGACCACGCGGCACATATCTGAGATTGGAAGTATGACACGAGAACGTCGGTGAGAAGTTCATGACCTGTCGGAGTCGCAAGGATGGGGTCCGCAAAGTAAGGCTTGATGAGGTCGGGGTTTGACATGTAAGACGGATATAGTATGGGTTTGACGCTTTACATGTGCGTCAGAAAATATTCATTTGGCAAGTGACGAAATTGTACCTGATATGCGGCACGTCATAGAATTGTGCGACAACATTGTGCCAGTGGTCAGGTCCTGCAAATCCATATGCCTGGTGTATTTGTGAACTAAAATGCCCCAGAATGATGACCGCAGGTTGATCAGGGCGGTCCAATATTGAGCGAACCAGCAACTCGAATTGTTCCATCGCACGCCGGGTGCTGGTAGAATTTAGACACTACATAACATTTCAGCTGGCAATCTGTGCTTACCCTTCATCGTCGACGTCAAATTCGAGTATCACCAAGTCGGTGTTCTCTGGGATATGATGCGAGCTACAGAATCCAAAGTACCCTGAGTTTGTCCGCCTCATAGCACCGTTGGTAAGTTCTGAAGCAGGGTGAGGGAAAACGCTCGACCACCACTGGAAAAAGCGTGAAGGATAGCAGGTAGAAGACAATGGATCATCTCCTGCTGCATGACATGCAGACACTACACAATTGCACTATCAAGATAAGTTCTTTTACGAGATAAAGAACACGCACCAGAACCACCAAGCACACTGATAGTCACAGGTTGACCCAAAAGCGCTTTATGAATAACCCGATGTACCCTCCCCCCCACTCCCCAAATGCAACCTACTCTGCGCCAACGGAACCACTCCGTACTTATTCGCAATCTCATCCTTGGGCCCAAAGACGGGACAAAAGTCAAATGGGTTTGCAGCCTCGGATGAATTGCCGATAAGGTAGTTTGCATCATGCAAGTAATTCTTTGGTACGAGGCCTTCTGTCGTAAATGACCCAGCGCGCGTACGGTTTGAAGAGGATATATACCGCGATACCATGACGAGTAGGACGAACCCGAGGATGATAGCCCATATTCTATTGTTGACGCCTAGCCGCCTTTGATTCCACATGTTAGCGCCTTTAGCAGGATCTGAGCCCATGCCCGTCAATCGGTGTGGATTGGGAGGGGAGATGCGTGCCTTTCCAGAGCCTGGGCGTCGTTGCATAAAACCTTTGAGACAAAAGAGAAAAAATACCGTATAGGCTGCCGAAATACGAAGCAAAGGCAAGATGAGTCAATATTGCTTAACTCCACGTTGAGGTTGTTAGGAACGGAAGATAAAATAATGGACACTGTGGGAGTTGAACCCACGACCTCACGCAATCTAGTAATGCGAAGCGTGCGCGCTACCAACTGTGCCAAGTGCCCTTTACGACACGGGAGCTTGTGTAACATTTCGAAAAGGTTACTCTCTCTAGGGCCCTGCCAGCTGGAATCTGCCTTGCGTGCCCACCAGTTCACCGTCTGACGATGAGGTGACTATAAAGGTACGCGTGATCGAGCCATACTCCTGGATCACTCATTCTTTCAATCACCACAATGACTGAACATTGACTGAAGCTAATCTTATGGGTGACGTCTGGTGTATCAGAAAAGTCGTAGTAAGCCAACTGCAGTGGAGAGGAGGCACCTTCAAAATTCCGCAGAATCGTATTGCGTCTCTAGCGCTACGCACACTGCCTCCGTAGGGATACATGTAAACCAAATAAGCTCGACGCAATTAACAAATTATGTTATCCAGATTTTTGTCCATGTCATGTCCGAATGTCCGAACGCATCATAACTCGGTCATCTCCCTCTGATGCTTCACCTTCACAGAATCTGCATTCTGCGCACGGTCAGGCATGCGCTCCCAGATTGGATCTACATCGGGACCATCTATATCACCTGCGCCGTCCCAGCCCCAACACCATACTGTATGACTCATGAGTCAAGGAATAGAATATAGAGTTAGGACGTACCATGCGAAGGCCCGGGCACAAAATCTATCTCTTCGCTTTCCTCATGGCGTGAACAAACGGTCATGAGGACCAAACCACGACCGGTCCTGTGGGTCTGTCCGTGGATTGTCTGGAAGTCCCCCAAGACGCATATAACCTCGGATGGCAGTGAGGTTCCGTCTTGAAGGATGTATGATATCGAATACTCTCTGCAAAAAAATCAATCAGTCAATCAGATATCGAATTCCATTTCAACCGAAAACATACTTTATCATACGCAAGCTTCACCCGCGGCACCATCAAAATACGTCCATATCCAGCCTCCCAGTAATCATTGCAGATCAAACTGCACTCTGAAGCAGAACACTCATCGTCTGTGAGTCGAGCCATGCGGAATTTGATATATGGGGGTGTATAAAATGGAGCAGAATCCAGGACTGCAACGCCATTCCAACACGACTGAACCTGTATGGGAAGGTGCATCTGGAAACGTTCGGAGGAGTAGGGATCATGGAAGACGCTTTCGAATGGAGCATTTTCCAGCGCTGTTCCGTTGATATCGCGAGCGACCCAGTTATCATAAAACACGGGGGAGGCCTATATACAAAAGTAGGTATGAGCTCAGGCTGTGAGTGCAATGATGGGACTTGCCAGTTCTTGATGATACATGTAATCCGAAGCGCAAGTTATACCTGCATTATTCCGCCGACTCTGCCAGATAAGCTCAAGCAGGTCGTCCACGCATGGGAGGATATCATTCATAAATATGATGGTGTCGAAGTACTCGTTATGCGAGTCGCGGAGCTCGTGGAGTGGGTTAAAGGCCTGGTTGCGGACCTCTGCAAGGTACTCTATACGATGGTTGAAGGCACCTCGTGTACGTGTAGAAGTTCGAATGGTGACACGTAGGCCTACGCTACGAGTCAGCGCGTCGAATATCCGTAGCAGTGCCTTCGTCTGGTCTGTCGAACCATTTTCGTATATGGAGACATAGACGTTGTGATATCCTAAAATAGCAGAGACTCGAAAAAGAGTCGCAAATAAGTCGGGAATGACATCGAAGGAGTTGTACAAGTTGATGGCGAAGAAATATTTGTGCTCTTTCTTTGGAACGTTGTGTACGTGTTGCGAGTCGGAAAATCCCCAAGAAGAGAACCAGGTGGATTCAGAAGGAGTTTTGTGTCCTATGAGAGAATCATAACGGTCTCGGACCTGTTGAACGTAAAGCGGCTGGGAATTTCGTGTGCACTCTGTGGTATGGTGTGGGGACAGCGTGGAGAGCAGGTCTAGGACACGACGGCGTTGATCAATGCTGGGAAGGGTTATTTGTTTGCGAGCGGACAAGCGAGACACAAATATGGGGTTGTTCCCGCCTGTTGACAAGAGCTACAAAACAATCAAACCTTGTCATGATAGTAAGACGGTCAAAGTATAGACAGACATACGCTCGTTGGAAGTGTCTTGCCAATTAGCAAGCCCAGTAACAGCCCAACCACGAGTACCAAAGGAGTTGGCACTCCTTTTAACCAAGATGTGTTTGGTTGCATGGTGGATGTAGGAGGTAGACGGTGAAGCGCGACCCTGGAATATTAGATGCAGTGCTCAATTGTCGATGCAGCCCATGAAAGGGGCGTAGGCTTGGCGGCAATTTCTTGTGATCTGCAGAAGAAGGCCAACCTTGGAGCTTGGTGAGTGACGAATCGATAACGGTCTGAAGTACGCAAGTTCAACTTCAAATTGAGTCGGAGGCGAGTAAGACTCGGGCGCTTGTGCACACAAATTCAAATAAATTGCCTAACATGGCGTCCAAGTGGATCTATGAATGACGAGGTTCAACTACAATAAGATGGCTATATAAACCCATAAATCCCTCCTCTAATCGAATCGTATGCAAGAAATCAATCAGGCAAGTGAGTTAATGCTCAACCTCAACCTCCAAAACGCCGTGACAAGGACTATCAAGTCCTAAGGCGCAAAGAATGCGAAAGAATAATGATAGTGAGATGACTTTATAATGATGCAGCCAGGATGGCAAAGGCTGCTGCACCAGTGAGTATGTTAATGCTATGCGATGATGCAGCGTTGGTGGACCTGGTTTTCGTTGAGTTTTTTAATCGCAGAAAATTAAAATGAAAGAAAAACTGACGAAGGCTTGGCCGTGGTAGCGGTACCGTTGGATGCTGTGGTAGCCGTTGCAGTAGCACTACTAACAGTCAAGGTGACGCCCTATATTATACACTTCAGCACACATTCAAGAAACAAGGATATCTACAACATACCACTGCAGCACAAAGCGATTGGGAAGCAGCTTCGGCATTTGTGAGGTCAGACCCCGTACACGATGCCTGAATACAGGACGTGGTGCTGTTGACGAAAGCCTGGCTGTGACAAAGACAACTATCGTCCGTGGAAGAACAGTTGCCAAAGTCAGCATCCGTCAGACACGGGACAGCGCAATCTGACAATGAGAAAGCTATCAGATACCGTGGTAAGACGGCAAAGAAACAATAAGACATACTGGGCAGACTTTGACGTGTGAGCAATGCCGTAAACGCAGACTCGACCACGAAGGAGAGAGCAAGAACGATGACAGCAAAGCGCATTGTGATTAAGTGAAAGAGTATGAAGGAAAAAGACAAGATGAACAAGGAGAAGTCGAAAAGACCTTATATAAAGCTACAGAATAATGTATATGCATGGCAATAAAACAGACAATGGAAACAAAGGCTAAAGCAACTTGCAAGGATAATGCTTATCCTATTTTTAGCGCTAAACCAATATTTGGTTCCGCATTGTTGTACATATCACGTGTTTCGGGTATAACCGAGGAACTATCAAGTACCTCAGCCACTCAAACCTTATGTCATCACTACAGTAGCCAAACACAACCAAAGTTAGCGCGACATCTGCAGTTCCAGTTAGACGAGCTCGTCACACTATACATCCTCAAGACATGGTAAGTTACATCCTTGCTCTACCATTCAAATAAACTGATTCCAACCCTATGTAGGCCAGGACAAAAAGCGGCAAAGTATGTTGTATCATGACCTTCACCCGTGATAGATCTTTACATCTTATCATAGACTGGCGGCAAGCGCTCCGCTCTTCAAGACGTTGTAACTCGTGAATACACCATCCATCTTCACAAGCTCGTGCATGGCCGCTCCTTCAAAAAGCGTGCCCCTTGGGCCGTAAAATCCGTCGTCGATTTCGCCCGCAAGTCGATGGGCACAACCGATGTTCGCTTGGACCCCAAGCTCAATCAGGCATTGTGGGCTCGGGGTGTCAAGAGCGTCCCCCACCGGATAAGAGTAAAACTTGAGCGTACGTGCTGTATTTTCAAACTGATTACAATACTAACGGTCCATTTTTACAGGCAAGCGTAATGATGAGGAGGGCGCAAAGGAGAAGCTTTACACGTATGCCAGCCATGTAGTTGTGACCTCGTTCAAGGTGTGTAATCTCCCTCTGCTATTTCTTCTGTCCTCGACAACAACCTTCTTTTACCTAGGGCCTCCAAACCGCTGTTGTAGACGCAGAGTAAGGGCTGTCGCCAGAAGGTCCTGTGTAATCCTTTTTCACATATTTCATGCCGCCATGCATCATCACATCCAGCACTATGCTACTCCGTCAAAACTTTCGCGCATCTTGATGCTGTCCATGAATTTGAGTTTCTCTGAAACATCTCAAGCTAGTGTTCTTGCCCGCCCAGCCAGGATCCTGTGTTGGCCTCGAAAAGCACAACCCGAGATGTACTGGTTTATCTGAAGCAGATGGGTGATTCACATTGATCTGTCGTGGAACCACCTTTGTGACAATGCGAATATGAATATGAATATTTCATTTGGCCATCTACGCTCACAGGTATCTAAGTACCGATGGGATATCCGTAGTCACGTGATTAAACACTGCCAGGCAGGAGATCGATCTATTCTGATTCTTGAATTTCTGTTAAGTGACTCCTGTCTGATCAAGCGAAAGTGTCGGTCGATGCGCCATCATTCGCTCTTTCGCTCATTCAAACGTCTCTCGTATCAATCTGGCAACTGATCTGACCCTGGACTAGTGACATATCCAGCCATTATGCATCGGCTGCCAGTAGAACTTCTACAGGCGGTATTCTTACTCCTCGTGAACGACATACCAAATTGTCCTAGTATCTTCTCAACTGGGACAACCACCATGTCAGCAAATTTCGCTAGCCCGCCCCTACTCTTCACTCGAGTGTGCCGCCATTGGCGAGACGTTGCACATTCAACGCCAGGGATCTGGTCGCGCATCAAGGTCGAGCTTCCCGGAGCACTCGTCCAGCCACTTAAGCCGTTCTTTCCCTCTCTACTCCAGTATTGGCTAGCCCGGTCTGGAAATCTGCCTCTTACCATACGCATAGAAGAAATTCTCCCCTCAAACCTCTTATATGCACGGGCCCCCAATGATGGGAATTCTCGACTGCTCAAGATTATTTATGATGAGATGAGGCGTTGGGAAACAGTGTTTGGCTGCCCAGCTGAACTCGGGTTGAGTGATAACTTCAATACGCCCCAGCTGCGAACGCTAGAGCAGCTCTGGGACATATCAGATCTCACCAAATTTAATGCACCAAATCTCCGTCACCTACGTGTGATGTATTCACTGTCGGTTAGCATCCGATCATTCAGACCCAATGCTGCCTGCGGAAGCATCCGTCATCTGTACCTCCATCAAGTTTTACCCAGTAGGATACGCTACTTTCCAGCCATATTCCCTCGTTTGGAAACCCTCGATGTGCATGTACTTACACCTCATATACAGGGTATGGATATGGGGAGTCATTCGGACACGTATTCTTGCCTTGAATCGATGACCCTCCCCTTCGACCGTCTTTCTCGGGACACGTTTACCATAATATTCCGTGGACTTCATCTTCCCGTGTTGCAGAAATTGACTTTGGTGTTGGGTCCAGGCAAACCAAGAGTTGAGAAGATTACGGAGGCGCTTGCAGTTGCTGGGTCTTGCAATATCAAAGTGGTAGATTTTCGGCTGCACGAGTCGGGGAATGATCTTGATGTACATACCCTTGAGCCATTGCTCTCAGTAGTGCAGGAGGTTGCGGTTTGTGGGGAAGTAATGGTATAGGAACAGGCCGGTACATGAATTGAGGCTCTTGGGGGAAAAGAATTGGACTACGAGTTCGTCTACGCGTCGAGTCTGTGCAGAGGCATCTACTAGACTCTAGTCAGTAGCGACCAAGCCCAACATGCAAAAATTGTACATCGCCTTATGCAGCGTGATTGAAGCGTTCTATCACAATATTAGCTCCAATTGGTAGTTAGTGAACTGGGAGTTCGGCGAGGATATAATTCACCAACTACCAAGAGAGAAGATTACAGCCGTTTGCATATGTAATGGTACTGGCGCCTCGATGTAAAACAGATGATAACATAGACCGAAAAAGGACTTAGCGATATTTAACGAGTTGTAGTACTGTGATATCTTAGCTTCCGAGTCTACTGTGGCAACATGGGTCGTAACCCGAAGACATTCAAAAGCGCAGAGTTCATCGACGACTCTGATAGCTCGGATGACGATGGCAGCGTCCTTGACATCTCGTCGACATCTTCCGATTCCGATAGCTCAGGGTCATCGACAGCATTTGTATCCGACGCAAGCATTTTCAATTTCGATACTCGAGACAGTATAGATCGTGAACTAGATGCCATGGCTGCTCCGCCTCCAGCTGTAGAGCCTATTCCAGTTGCAGAGCCTCTTCAAGCACCTAAAGTCAAGTCAAAAAAGAAAAAATGTTGCGCATATATTCTGTTTGTGGCCGAATGACTGATGTGATCACACAGCTAAGCAACCTCGACCTGCAACTCCCCCTCCCAATGAGCCAGAGGTTATACCTGCTCAAGTGGCTCCACTGCGTATCGAGGCAACATACAGCATCACAATTCTGCCACACAGTGAGCTCAAGAAAAGTGACATCAAGAAACGTGTCGGCACAGCAACCATTCTCAGCCTTTATCTTGATGAGCCTTTTGACACATTCAAAGCACAAGTTCTTCGAAAGATCGAAAAAGAGACCAATCCAACCATTTTGTCCTTCGAAAACTACAAGACTTTCTTTACCATTGTTCACATCGCTCCGCAGCCAACCTCACTCGCAGATGAAGATGATTATCAAGAGCTCATCAAACGTCTGCAGCGAACGAGCACACCTGCTGCCACTATTTATATCCAAGAGCTTTTGGCCGTGAAAAAGGTGCTAACTGCGTGTGATTTCTTTATGAGCTAATTTGAGTCTGATAGCGCAAGGACCGGCCATCAGACAAGGAGAACAGTAGAGAAACAAATGAGGATAACAATCATAGCAGCTCAGAATCGAGTGACGACGGTAAGAAGAGGAGCAAGAAGAAGAAGAAAACAAAGGTAACACATCATTCTATACTATCTCAATGTTGGTTGACGAAAAGTTTAGGCACCAAAGGCTGCTGACATAGACGAAGAGATGAAACCAATCAACAAGAACATCAAGGCATTATCAGATCGGTGGGTTTGCCACAAAAAGCCAGGCTGCTCGAGCGACTACTACTGCTACCTAAACCCTGGCGACAATGGATCTCATGTCCGTCTGACATTTCCCCTTCTCGAATGCTGGGCAGCTGCAATGGTTGGTATTCGTTTTTGAATGTTTTATTGACCGTTTCACTTTGAACACTGCACAGGAAAAAGGGCCAGAGTATGCCACTCTTGAGATGCCTCCTAACCATTCTTCCTTCAGCATGATTTCTTCCGACTCTCTTGGGCAGCCCTCACTTCTTTCCGTCCGCTGCCAACAGCTCGACGAACAATCCAAGAAAGCCACTCAGGCTGAGGCTGTACCTGTCGCACCCCGCACCAGCACAAGCTATGCCCGTTATCAACGTCAATTTTCCTCCTGAAATGTTCTAAGCTATACGCGCAGCATCTGGCTCACAACCTGTCCATCATGCACTAGCCCCTGCCTTGCTTCCACCTGCTGTATTACCACCTGCTGTTCCAGCCTCTCTCAGCTCTTTGCTCTCGTCGACGCAACTTGCTTCCCTTGGACCGAGAATGAACCTAATGGACTTTTGCTCTGCTTACAAACTTTCACAAATTCTTCAGTCAAAACTTTCCGATCATGGTTTCACGTCATCACATGCCCTTCGTTATGTCACCGTTGATGATTTGCAAAAGGTGGGCTTGCTTTGTGGAGAGCTTGCTGAGCTCAAGGATGCAGTTGCCTGTTGGTGTGGTGAATAGTTGTTACACGTTACATTTTTTACCATTACTTTTGCTCTGCATGTTCTGTTGTCTCTCACTGCTCTCACTCTGCATGTTCTGTTGTTTCTCACTGCTCTCACTCTGCATGTTCTGTTGTTTCTTGCTACTGTTACTTCATACACTGCTGTCGATTATTGATAATGTTTGTATTCTAGAAGTACCCTGAATGACGAATGTATCCCTGTGCATCCTCCACCGTAATGATCTCCAGGGCCTCTTGTAGGTCATACATAATCCCATCATTGTCTGCTGCTGCAGAAAACAGGTCATAGTTACGACGAATCCATGCCTTGAACTTTGAAAAGGCTTCCTCAATCGGGTTGAGGTCAGGGGAGTAGGGAGGTAAAAATATGATTTGTACACCTGCTCTGAGTCAGCATCACTGAGTACATAGATACCATGTAACATAGGCCTACCAAATCTGTCTGCGAGCTCACGAATTTCTTCGCCATGGTGGATCCGAGCATTATCCATGATCCACACACTGTTCTTGCCAGGATAAGCCTCACAGTCGGGCAGCTATCAATGAACATGAATTGACGAAAAAAGTCAAGTGTGATGAGTCCCGACTCACAACAGAATGTTTGAGGAAGTGAAGGTACCCATTGCGACGCAAAGATCCTTCAAGAACATGTCCTGCAATGATTCCATCTATAGTCAAAGCAGCAACAACTGTGAAGCATCGTCCGCGAACAAATGCACCCTTCATGCTTGCATATCGGCTCCTCTTTGCTCGTCCATACCTCCGAATTTGTGTGTGTTCATCTTTCGATGTCTCATCAATGAACAACAGTTGATCTGGTGTATACTGCGCCACCCGTCGCTTGAAGTCTGCATGAACATCTTCGTTGCACTCCTTAGCAATCTTGCGGAGTTTTTTGAGTGAGATGCCAGCCCGTGCAAGCTCTCGGTGAATTGTGGAATAATGGACGGCGATGTAGTGATTGTGTCACATAAGTGTTGTCAGCTCATCAAGAAACCAATCAGGACGGTGATGGATAAGTTCTAGAAGGTAATGGAGGTCTTCGAGATTGAAAATGCATGGACGACCAGTGTATTGGCTCCTTGGCTTGACAATGTTACCAGTGTCATTGTGGAGCTTCTTGATTCTATAGAATGTCATGCGGGAGAAGCCAACACAGTCGAGGATCTTGCTGAGTCTAAGAATCCCTTGTTCATGCAGGCGAATAGCTGCAAACTTCAAATCAGCTGAAATCTTTCTGTTGCCCATGATATTGATGATTGTGGTATGCAGGTCTTGTAAAAATATCGCTAAGTCCTTTTTCAGTCTATGTTATCATTTGTTTTACATCGAGGCACCAGTACCATTACATATGCAAACGGCTGTAAATTGAGGTACATTTTGTGATTACTTGCAGGAAGAACGGAGGGAGGCGCAGTAGAATGAAGAACTTGAAATGACGAAATTTGCAACGAACAATCACAAACTGGAGGGCATCGTAGGAAAGGAACTTCCACCCCCGGCCTTGGGACATCTCCATTAATCCCCATTTGAAGCGTTCAGCCAGGAAGGTGGACACACCAGATCTATCATGCAAGACTGGCAACATGTGTGAGTCCTCTACAGGGCCAGCGAAGCGGCGGGCCGCGCTGCAATGGACTGTCACGGTGACAATCCATTGCAGCGCTTCGCCAACTCGATCTTCGCAGACAAATCGGAATTGACCTACGTGGCACGAGTGTGAGAGGTTTAAAGGCAGGACTTAACGTCAGGACATGATAAAGTGCGTGATCAATGGGTAGACGATTCAGCCTACTGTCACTGTGCAAACAGACAGTACGACTATGTAGGCGGCCCGGCATTTTCCATTAATATGTCTCCGCTTCCCACCTTCGAATTTGTGCATCTTCCAAACATCTTTCATAACAAGGCTTGCGACTCTTCTGGCAGCCGACGGACACCTCCGAGTCAACCCTTGATTCTCAGGATGGAGAATTAATTGTGAGATGTGTGCAATTCCAGCAGAATGCCAACGGACCTCAGATTTGACTTACTCTTGTGCCATAGTCCCTGATACTCTATTGGCGGTTCTGATGTGTCCATATACCAGCCTAGTACCTACGTTATGCGGCACGAGAATCCCCGAAACTGAGTCCACGTGTCTCATCGTGTGTCGGGGAACGCGAAACCGGATTCCGGGAGATCAACAGCTAAGGCTCAGGAGATCCAAATTCCAAAGGAGAGTGCTCCCTAAAATGTTATTTTCTGTATCACTGTACAGTTTGCCATTCTGTTAGACAACTTGGATGTTTACGACGTGCATCTGGCAGATTTGCTCTGGGGCTGCACTTCACCATAGCTTTCGCTGCTGCATATGGCTAACCATGAATCAACATTGACAACTTCATTAGCAGAGCCTCGCTCGATGTTGAGTCTCTGTTGATGACTTACCTTAGTTGGGTTCGTCCTCAGGAACCCAGCTCACAACTGCAATCCTTTCGGAGCTCGGCTGACATGTCTTCAGTCCGACTGTGTATGGCGTCATGTCATCATGTGAGGCTTTTATAAGTATTCTACAAGCTTGCAACGAGGATAAACCGTAAGTACATCAGTAACGTCATGCATTCAAATGTTGGAGATATTCCTCTACTCCAAGATCTTCATTGCTTGAGCAGCAGTAAAATTTGTTCAGAGGTAAGCACTACACATTGCCCAATGAACTACTTATGTGCGCTGTGATTAACAACACTGCACCAGTGAGAAAGCAGAAACACGAACTCACTGTAGCTCATTTGAACTCAATCGGCACACATCTTTTTTCGTCGAGATGCTACCATGCTGGTGAGTCAATAAATCTTGGATGAAACTACTCATGCTCACCACTGACATGCATCCATACAGAGGGCAGCAATCTGCATCTGAGTCGCAAACGTGGTAACTTGTATAGCATTCGCTATCAGTGCTGACAGCCATAGACACCATCAAAGCAGCAACAACAGCAAGGACGACTCTGAAAGAGAGGCGCATTATATGTGAGATGTAATATGGGATCTCGAAAATAAATCTGAAGGGGGCCGGTGGGAAGATGGACGGCTTGCTTTTATGTTCTGTGCAGACCCTATCCACGTAAGTTCACTTGGAACAGATGGAATTTGCAATGCCAGCGGATTGCCAACGACCTCAAATTTGGCTTGCACTGTCCCGGGTATTCTATTGTGAAGGTGAAAGAACTCAAGGACGTGTGTCACGAATTCCAAATACAAACCATTATTCTTTCTTAAACACTCGTAAGACACCCGCTAAGCGCTCGTCACAAGCGCCTGTTGTTAGCGCTCAATCAGCGTCTGTACCTATAACCTTTACAAACCCTAACCCGAACTTCTCTATTCTGTTAGCGCCCACTACTTCTATTTCCGATGTTCCTGATTTTGACTTTCTTACTCAAGCGATTAAGTCACGTGACTCCAGAACCTTCGAGAACCCTTGCACAGCCATCACACGTTCCATGACATCATAGTGTAGTTATATTTAGAATATCGTACGATTCCCTTTTCTATTTAATGATTGGCTAGTTAGTTCAGACTCAGATTCATTCTCCGTTTCAATGTATGTATATAGGAAGCTCGTTGTAGTCAGTAGTTCTCCAGTTCAAACCTCTTTTGTATTAGCTTATTGCTAGCAATCCTAAGACGTCCCTGCTATCCTCTTCTCTCTTGTTGTGACAACCTTGTTTGAGTCCTAGTCTCTGCCCCTGCGTTAATTCGTTATAAGGGTTGTGACATTAGGTTTGAACTATAGGGGACTCCGACTCCACGCACTACCGCTTGCATACCTTTTCTCCTTGATCTGAGCATCTTGCGAATACCCGCGATCCTCATTCAAACAGAACCATTACACGTTTTACCTTGCCCGGCTTAACAGCTGCGACCTTTGATTTCATCACTCTCCCCTTTGCTCACTTGAGCGCATTCATACCTATCCTTTCGTAGTTAGTAGTCCTATACCAGGCCCTGCCTTACATTGCAGCCGCCAGTATACGGAGGTGTTCACGACATTAGGCGTGTCACTACAACTTTGAGTGCTGGCCCAAAACCCTGCCTGCTCAACGTTACTATAATTTCCTTTTTACCTATCACTTTTCTTCGTACGATACGTAGGCTACTCTACCCGAGTATTTAGCGGAATTTCCTAGTCCAGACTCGGTCGCTTGTAAGCTTCGGCTGGAAGAGCACCTTGGCGTTCTAGTTTTCCCACTTGGCGAGTATAGTTGTTACGTACACATCCTTTTAGTCAGTATCTAGGGAAGAGTCAGTTGGGTTTTACCAGGACCCTTTGACCCTGAAGTACGAGGTAGATCCGATTAGATATCGGGGACCGCTTCAGTTTTCCAGATTACGTATCTCTTTCCATCTTCCCTTTCATCATCTTTCCTTTCCGGAAGAGCCGTTACGACTAGCTCTTCACAGACATCAGTAAATCGGGTTCCAGAAAACAACTGGTACTATGTCTGAACCAACCGCACCAAGAATGCCGAGTAGCAGCGAAGAGTTTGTACAATATGTACAAGAACAGATCGCCGCAAACAACGCACTGTGGCAAAACCAAGTCACGGCTTTACAGAACAAGAATGACGAGCTACAAACCAAGAACGAAGATCTAGCTCTACGGATTCAAATGCAACAAGCCGAGATCGACAAACTCACCGCTTCTCCATCCCTCGGATCATCCGCCGTTTCCACCACAGCCTCAATCAAGATGGCTAAACCCACGGAATTCACAGGTGACAAAGATTCCATCGACGCCAAGATGTGGGCAACTCAGATAGCGCTCTATATGACGCAGTGGCCCAGCATCACGGAAAGGCAAAGAATTTCGATCATGCTTTCGTTCATGAAAGGATCTGCTGCTAAATGGGCGCAGTCCTACATTGAAGAACATGCGACTGGAACTCTCACCATGAAGAAGTTAGATGAAGACTTCACAGATATGTGGGCACAAGAAGACCTTGAAGGCAAGGCAGTTCGGGAATTGGATTCCTTAAGACAAGGATCCTCTACCGTCCCAGAGTATACAGCTACTTTCAAACAAAAAGCTGCACACACCAAATTCTCCGACTACGATCTACGCCAGAAATATAGGGCAGGATTGCAAGATCGCGTCAAATTACAACTCGCTCATGTCGCCTACAAAGACAAGGACAACATGCAGAAATTGATAGAGCATGCGATCCAGATAGGACGAAACTTCGAGGAGTTAGATGCGGAGAAGAAGAAGACTTCTTTCTGGACCCCCAGAGCTGCAAGAAACTTCGAACCAAGGGCTGGTCCCAATAGAGACAGTAACGCCATGGACGTCGACGCCAACAAGCAGAGAGGAGCTCCCAAACCTCAAGGAAAGACTGGTTCTTTCAACTGCTACCGTTGTGGCGAAGAAGGCCATATGGCAAGAAACTGCAAGGGCGCTCCCAAAGCACAAGTGAAGGCTACTGAAGTGCCAAAAGAAGACTCGATGCCCCAATGGTTTAAAGACTATGTCAAAGCCAAAGGAGATAAGGGTTTTTAGAGAGGTCTGAGTTAGAGTCTGCGGACTTGGACCCGAACAATCGTTTCTCAATCTTATCTACGTTCTCGGATGTAACAGAAGTATATTTGCGATCGAAATCAGAGCATTTTTACATTCCGATTACCCTGAAAGGAAAGAATCGACAAGCAGACGTGAAAGCACTTGTGGACTGTGGTGCATCAACATTATTTATCAATGAGAAGTTTGTGAAGAAGAACGATGTAATATGCCGTAAATTATTAAGGCCTATTCCGGTAAAGAACATAGATGGTTCTTTAAATGCCGCTGGATCAATGACTCATTTCGCGGAACTAAGTCTAAAGATCGGTGATCATGTAGAAGACAAAGCAGCCTTCATGATTACAGACTTAGGAAACGATGATGTTATTATCGGCATCGACTGGTTAAGATATCATAATCCAGAAATAGACTGGAATGCAGGACAATTTTCGCTATCCAGATGTCCGCTTAAATGTATTACGAAAAAAGAACAAAGACAAAAAAATAGAGAAAACAGAAAAGCACAAAAACAGACAGATGTGATTCCAGATCTGATTCCCACTGAAGAGGATGACGATGAAGACATGGAAATGAAGAAGGCAACCTGTGAAGAGGTAGAAGACGAAGATAGTCCTGAAAGATGGATTAGATATAAAGCCTCGGTTGCCACGGAGCAGAAGGTAGCAGAAGAAGCTACGAAGAAAAAG